GGCGCAGATCTGAAATCGTGGCGCAATTCTGCACTAGAAAGTGTGGCTAGAGATCTTCTGCAGTGGCTGTGCGCTGTGCAGTCACGTGAGGAACATTAAAACTTTACCTCTACCTTTCCACGCAGATGTCTCAACAACGAGAGTAGCTATCGACAAACCGAGTAAAGATTTGAAATGCTGGCGTAAATCTGCACAAAATGGCTTCTTTCGATTTTCTCTAGCTAGCTCTCTGGTGTAGCTAGCTAACCGCGATCCTACTACCGCGATCCTACGCCTCGCTTCTTATCGCATTCTTATCGCTACTAACAAAACAGCGCGATTGTAGTGCAATCGCGCACATCCTCTAGGGTAGGCGAAGAGTACTATCTTTCTTAGGTACAAATAATATAGGAGCTCTAGCAGGGCTAGTACTGTATTAGATCTAACCTCGCTGTAGGGCTTCTTTAATGTATTCGCAGAGCAGTTAAAGCTTACGTAAAGAGAGGGTGTAGAGCAGACTGTAAGGCGGCTCTTTGCCTTCTATAATAGAGATTGCATAGTCTAAACTTTTATATTGTAGTAGGATCTCTGCGTTGCAGTTGTTAAAGACATCTGCATATTCTAATAGTTTATGCGGGATGCAAACCTCCTGCGCTGTATATATATAGTACACACGCGCCTCTAGTTCTAACTCTGCGCCGCTTAATAAAAGCGTTCTTAGTAGATAACTGTCTAAGTTAATGCGCTCGGCTTCCTTAAGGAGTTCTTTTGTTAATACTAAGTATATTTATGCTTTAGTATATCCCTAACGCTAAGTTTAGCGTCTACAGTCTATAGTAATATCTTCTTGTTTTAGGAATAGGTTGCCTAATAACAAGGGATAACCTTCTTTGTCTACTCTGTATACAGTAGCGTTAATCTAGCGTTCTACACTGTTATTGTTAGTAAGGCGCAGGTTTAGCGTATACGCGGCATATATATTCTGTTGTTGTAGGCTAATCTACTCTAGCCTAGGGAGTTTAGCTTCTTTAAGGGGAGTAAGACCTATTTCTATAGCACTCTTTTAGCTAATTAAACTAACATTAGCTTATAGATCTAGAATTACCTCTAACTTATGTTCTAAAGCTGTGTCTGCGCTTGCGTAATACATGCGCTTTATGCCTAGCAAGATATCTACAGGTATGCGCCTTACTAATCCTAGAATTTTAGGGAGGCTTAACCTTTTTCTATGTAGTTAACACTAATAGGTAGCTAGTTTAGATTGCTACTTTAGCACTTATTTGCGTAGTAACCCTTTTTTTAGTATTTATAGTAGGTAATTATATACTTGTCTTTTAGTCTACTCTATTAGCTTAGTTAGAAAGTAAGAGGGCTTTGCTTTTGTTTCTCCTAGGATGCGACTTAGGGGTGATATTTATACGTAGCAGGTGTTTTTTGTAAATTCCTTTTAAGCGTAGAGGCTAACGCTATTAAGTCTTTATAGGTCGCTAGGATTTAGTAGTAATTAGTAATTAATTACTAGAGTTTAGGTCTTAGTTGTGAGGAGTAATTAGGCAGGCACTAAGATATAGGTATAGGCTTATATTAAGACGAATCCTTAAGGAGCTATTAAGCCTCCTAGGGAGATAATATATACCTATGTTACGTAATTGTAGCTAGTGTAGGCCGTTAGTACCCTAAAGGGTTCCTAGTGGCTTACCTGTCTGTGGCTAGAACCTTGTAATAATAGAACATCGTGATATTAGTTTTGTAAACAAGTGTTAAACCCTTTATATCTTAGTGTAAGGGGTTAACTAGTCCTCTAAGACTTCTAGGTACGTAGCAAAAGATCTAATAGTCTAGTCTTTTTGCTAGAGAGCTTAGCTGTGCGCTGTAGCTGCTTTAAGGCTGCGGTTTACAGGATCTGTAAGCAGGTTAAGCAGGTACTGCTTATAGTACTTCTAAGTAGGGATTTGTTTGTATGCTTTAAAACTGCGTTTAAAGTGCGCGTACTAAAGCTCTTTTAGATCGCCTTTAAGGTATTGCATTAACTATATTACCTTATTCTTGTCCTCCTTTAGTGTCACGATGTTCTATTATCACAAGGTTCTAGCTACAGACGGGTAAGCCACTAGGAACCCTTTAGGGCACTAACAGCCTACACTAGCCACAATCACGTGACATAGGTATATATTATCTCCCTAGGAGGCTTAATAGCTCCTTAAGGATTCGTCTTAATACAAGCCTATACCTATATCTTAGTGCCTGCCTAATTACTCCTTACATTTAGCTCCTTAGGTAGCAAGCGAAAGGCTATTTTATAAGAGCAAATAAACTCCTAATATTCCTAAATATTCTTACCCTAGTACTCTGTTAGATCTTTTAGTTTTAGCGTACGCCTTGTATGCGCTACGCTAAGTGCTGCAGTAACGTTAATTGTGCGCCTCTCTTGAGGGTAGGGACCTAACAGATTATCTAACACGCCTACATTCCTGCCCTGCTCTAATTCTTCTAGCTAGAGAATTTCCTCCTCTAGTTAGCGCAACTAGTTTTATTATTATAGATTTAGGAGTTTATCTCGTTATATCTATGCCGCTTAGATGCGCTTCTTAATTAACAGGGTTGCGCTTCGCTTGCGAGGTATAGGCTTAGCGCTTAGGGTGCGTAATAGGAGGACTTAGTCTAACTCTCTGCTCTAAGAGCAGGCATGTTGCTCTAATTGAGTAGAAGGAGCTATCTCCTAACTATCGGCCGAGAAGAGAAGGATTATTATGTAAGGCGTAACTGTAGGCAATAGTGCTTGCTTTACGTTACTAAGGATAGTAGGAGATAGCTTGTGTATTTAGACTACAGGTGTAGGTTGTAAAGAGAATAATCCTTACCTCGCTCTGTAGAGCGAGGCGCGCCTTATAAGCAGGTTTAGCGCGTACTCTGTTCCTTTAAGGGACGTGTGTCTCGAGCCCTCGTTACAGTTCTAGCCTATAATAAGCTAGAACGCACTAGATAAGCTTAGTTCCTAACACTAAGGTCTATAGGTATTTAGTTCTCTGATTGTAACAGTCTCTTTCTATTGTATATTTATCTACGCTTTTGCTTATTAGCTTTTAAGACAGCTTAAATCCCGAATTAAGGTTATAGGCATACGCATTAACAACAAAAAGGTAAAGGTAAAGAAGGCTTACAAGACTCTCAAAGACTGTTAATTAATATATAATAGGACACCACCCTGTCCTAAGCGCCTATAGTAGCGATCTAAGTTAAGTAAAGAGCATTGTAGGAAGTGCTTCTTAGACAACGTTCGACGCAAGCAAGGAGACTAGCAGACAGACTTTAGTCGCTTAGACTTTGAAGACGCTGTCTAGTAGGAGCTGAATTATCCGCAACCAATCGAAATTGAAAAGGTGTACGAGAAACGATGAATGTTATTGGTCTACATAATGTTCGGAATCCCGCTCATGGTGTGGATGGGCTTCTACGTCACCTGGCCAGATCCGAAGGCGCTGTATGTCTGCCTGCAGTCAACATGACTTTCATCTCAGCCTGTCAACGACGAACACATACATCTGTGGCAAATCTGCTCGTGAGTGACAATCTTCAATAGAACTCTTATTCGTTTAAGCGTGACGGGAATGTATCTGCAACCGAGCGATGAATTGCAAGCGGCTTTTGTTCACTCCTGTCTACCGATCATCATAACTATGTCGATAGCTTCAAGTCTTGACTATCGACCCAATTACCATGTAAGCCAGCTCTCAATCGAATAGGCAAATCAATAATTGCCTGCGCTTTCCCGAAGTTTCTCGTGTCTACGATATGGAGTTCGCTAGCCATAGTGGCGGCGTTATTGACAAGAGCGATAACCCACCCGTCACCCTCTGCAGTGGTCGAGCCTTTCCTTGCGACAAATACGGGTTCCTGAACAAAATGTGTAGGCCCAGGGAAATACTTTTCAATCGCCATGGTTTGGTAATTCAGGTGGCCTAAGGAGTTGTAAGGAGCATAACCGCCTCCCATCTTCGGCATTGTGTTGGGAAAGTCAGTGCCGAGCGTCGAATCCATGACGTTGAAAAAGGCATGCGAGTGCTTCCTCCCCACGAATCTGTCGTCGACGCGTGGAAATTCGCAATCGACTCCACTGATAATTTCGTGCTGTGGAAGATCTAAATCTTCTGAACGAGGATCGAAAGTGAAACGAACGAGCTGCGCCGCAATCTGCTCGGGATTAGGTGCGTTGCCTTGGGCATCTGGCCACCAGAAGAAAACGTTTTTGTCTGTGAGAGGCAGATCGAAGACGATATTTCCGGAATCATCCTCGTAGGCGTTGACTGTGTGTCCGGGGAACGCGTTCGGTGCGCGAAACCACTTGACATTGGTTCCAGATGCACCACGGCGAGGTAAGACTCCGAGGTAGAATGGGATATCCGGATTCCACTGCCAGTGTTCGCCGCCCTGCTTCATCCGCTCAAGATCGCATGTCTGTGGGATGATTGGGAATAAAACCTAATGAAGTCAGCTGATACTAGTCCTACAGCAGAGCAATCTCCATACCCAGTTTTCTGTAATAGCGAAGTCATGTATCATAGCAACGACAGGCGAGACAAGCCATACAGTCTCAGTGAAGGTGCCTGTAGAATCAATGGAAAAGTAGCAGATATCTGGCGTGCCATCGCCTTTTGCTTCATATCCAAACCCCAACAGCTCATTTCCGTCCAGTTTCGGATGAGCTGTAAAAGTCAAAGAAGGTAGTTGGCCATTGAAGTCTTCCAACCGAAGTGTTTCCAGGGTTTCCGGATCTAGAGCATAAGGAGGGGAGTCTTCTTTGCATGCAAGAAGCTTTCCATTGAAATGGAACACGTTGGTATTTGCGGTGCTGCGCACTTTGAACTCAACAGCATCAGTGAATTTGTTGCGATATTTGCCTGCAAACGGTGGTCAGCACAAGTTGCATCATGCGATCAGGACGCAGCGCACCAATCAAGGCTCTCTTCGCCTCTCGCTCTCGTACGAATTTCTCTGTCCGGACATATCTCTGTTTGAAGTGGGAACTGCCACCTTTGATTTTGAAAGCGCTGATATTGCCGTCGCCATTGAACCACTGTTTTCTGAACGTCAGTGGTTTCCCAGTCACTTCGGCGAGTTCACGGAAGTCTTGACATACAGGATCGTTCTCGATAAAGGGAGGCAACTGTGGGTCTGGCATGACTCTGTAGAAAGTGCCATCGATCTCTGAAGGTATCTCACCACGGACTGATAAGTTCTGAACTTCCCCTTCGAAGCGACATGGGCTCATGAACCCTGAATGCAAAGGCGTTGGAGGAAAAGCGCGTCTTGGCTGCATTGCAATCGCGTGGCCAGCCATGTTGAAAAGTTGTCGTGCTCAACCCAAAGCTACGTTCTTGTGGCAGTCACATATAGTCTATTTGTAGCGCGCATCTGGTAGCCAGAAGAGACGCGTAGAAGATGTCGTACATCGCCGCGAAGACCCCGGATTGTACAAAGATGCCGCTCGACAATGCCAGCAAAGATGGAGCGGGGTGAAAGGTCCGAAAGGAACATGGGTCTTAACTCCCCGGGTGGGCCCCACTCCGCCGAATTGTTCCGCGCTAACGCAACACGAGATAGATTCGCTGTGAGCGCAACGGACGCAGACCGGGCTTGACTTTGGAGTTATGGGGACGAAGAGCTATGCCAATCAAGGGTTCATGTGGTGCAGGCTGACCGAGAGAGGTGACACCTCGGGGTCCCATAAGCCAAAGGGCGTCTGGCGTTCACGGGTATCCAGAAAGTCTAATCTTTGCCTGTCACGTGCATGTACCGTCGGGATCAGAGTCGGAACTAAAATCAAATTTGCGCATCCAGCACGCTCGGTCCCTCGCATTCCCGTTACAACTATCTTAGATCCATCGCATTCGACCCGAGTGACCATCCAATCATGGATGCAAGATAACAGTTTTCGTCTGTAAGAACTCGTCAAACCCAAACGTTGAACCGAACCTGCCCCATCCACTATCCTTCCTTCCTCCGTGGGGCAAAGACACCTCATCGTGTACAGTGCTCGAATTTACATGTACTGCACCCGTCTGCAGCCTTTTTGCGAGCTTCAAAGCGCGCATGTGATCGCGACTGAAGATAGCACCTGAGAGACCGTAGGAAGATTCGTTCGCCAGGCTGACAGCCTCTTTTTCGTCGTCGAAAGCTCGAAGACCTAGCAGTGGACCGAACGACTCCTGGCTCCAGAAATCCATTGTCGAAGTGATGCCATCGATGATGGTAGGTGAGGCATCAAACGCGCTCTCAACTGTCTTTGTGGCAGCTCCACCATCTTTCGCGTTCGCCACGAGCGTGTCTATTCTCGATGCGCTTTTAGCATTGATTAACGTGGTTACCTGCTGCTCTGCGTTCGGCAGCTGCTGATGTAGGAGTTCCCGGAATCGTCGCTCCACCGACCGGGCTACGAGCACTATATCGGTGGACATGCAGATCTGACCCGACTATTGTTCAAGATGGTTAAGATTCGTCTTTCGATCAATAATCTGGTCAACATACGTTAAGCATTGCTCCGGCGAGCACTTGATGCGCTGCGTTCGCGAGATCGGCATCCTCCAACACAATGGCGAAATTTTTGCCTCCGAGCTCCATCGTCACAGGTTTGAGATAAAACGCCGCACGCTGAGCAACGTGACGACCTACCGCGGTCGAACCCGTGAAGTTGCACTTCCGTACTGCTTTGTGCGAGATCATAGCCTCGAAGCAGGTGGATGCATTTTCTGGACTGTGCTGAATGAAGTTAAGCACCCCCGGAGGGAAGCCTGCTTGTTGGAACAGCTTCGCGATTAGATGATGCGTTCGAGGGCACATCTCAGAGCCCTTCACTACGTTAGCAGTCATTTTCGATCAAATTCTCGACGACAGCCGCTGTATCTCACCTTCAGCACGGCCGTGTTCCCTGCGGCAACAGCTGCAGCGACTGCACGAAGTCCCAAGATCAGTGGCGCGTTCCATGGCGCGATAGCAAGAATCACGCCATAAGGTTCTTTCAAAACGATCGCTTGCGCATCCGGCGCCCTTACGATAGGTGCTATGCCAGTAAGCACTCCGGAGGTCACTGTGGCAGCAATGTCTTCTGCGATGGCGATGGAGTCTAAGACGTTTATCTCTGCCCATAGGGCTGAGCATGAGATTTCTCGCTGTATCAGTGTCTGGATATACTCGCTCTCATCACGCATAAGCTATCGAGATGTCAGCTCGGAATTTAAAAGAGCTTATGTACCCGTACCTGTGCGAGTCGATTGAAGAGTCTACGACGCTCAAACGGCTTTGAGTTCCTCCAAGTAGTGAAAGCATCGGCACACGACTCCACGGCCTGCGTACACAGGGCCTCCGTGGCGCCTACTGCATACATGTTTCGATTGGCCTTGTTGTCTGGATTTGGTCGAAACATTAGACCTGGGCTTTCGGAAGATACATCTGAAGGGGCGAAGTCAACGCCATGAATGATCAGGGGAACGACTGTAAAAGTCATGTTTGTGTTTTCAATTATTCAATAACTGAGCTTATCTACATTCCAAATCCTTTATGAACCCACTGTCCTCAAGTTCGTTTCCCCCGTGCAAATAGTCTATCGGACAGTCAGACCCGCGGAAACCTGTGCCGGGCCGGCATCCGACACATCCGGGAACATGTTCCGATAAGGTATCGCAGAGCGTCTCAAGAAATCATAAAGTCTCGATACGTCACGGGTCATAGTCGAGTGCATCTTTCCAAACACAAAGTCACAATGCGGGTCGCGTGGTCCAGACTAATTCGTTTCGCCGCTACCGACGGCCGCATCCTTCGCGGCGAGCCCATCCTCCCAACTCCAGATTTCGATCTCGGCAAAACAACCGCAGAAACCAAGCTACAAGCAAAAGTCATTGTAGGAGACAACATCTACGATAATACGGGTGAAACAAAGGTTTCTGACGAGGTCGTTACGGTCAAGAAGTTACTTGGACCTTTGACGCGAGATGATGTCGATATTCTGCGTTGCGTAGGCCTTAATTATGCGAGACATAGTATGGGATGCAGACTATCTCTGGGGCTTGAACTTTTACTAATTGATCCCAAGTCAAAGAAGCTGGTCGAACTCCGCCACCATATCCTTTCATCTTCTTCAAGCCCACCACCTGTCTTCACGACCATGACAAGGACGTCGTCATCCCCAAGATTGCTCAAGATGATCAAGCGGATTACGAAGGCGAGCTGGTGATAATTATCGGGAAAGATGCCAAAGACGTACCGCTTGGAGACGCACTAGACTACGTCGCTGCATACACGGGTGGCAACGATGTGTCCGCGAGAAAACTGCAGCGCGACCCGAAACTCGCAGGAGGCATTCCGCAATGGGGGTTTTCCAAAGGATTCGATACGTTTGCGCCGATAGGCCCTGCGCTGGTTGCGTCGGAACTGATTGGTGATCCGAAGAAGCTGCTGCTCCAAACGATTGTGGATGGTGAGGTACGGCAGAACGAGTACGTGGATGACTTGCTGTTCGATTGCGCTTATCTGGTACATTTTTTGTCCCAAGGGACCACGTTGCGTAGGGGATCGGTCATTATGACGGGAACGCCGGGTGGCGTTGGCGCTGGATTGAAGCCGCCGAAGTATCTCGTTCCGGGGACAATCATGGAAGTGTCGATCAGCAAGATTGGCACACTGCGGAATGGTGTCAAATTTGTATAGAGGCAGCAAGCAATAGATAAAGTCATGGTTGCTCGATTATATTCATCGTCATAACTCATAACGAGCGCACATCAGGAAGTCCCTGTCCTGTGACGCATGACTTCACTGAGGAATGTCGTGGATTGTTTCCGTTCTGTGCGGGACTGACTGAAACCTCGATCCAATCGCACGCCACGGGAAATGAGCAGAGAGCTCTTTCAATGTACATGCTATTTGTTGGATATTGGTTCAGTTGCAAACGTGCCAAAAAGACAGGAGATGTCATTCAATAGGACTCATCATTCCGATACTAGTGACTCCGCATCCTGCCCTTTGTGTCGATAAAAGCCCAAAGCTTTGAGCATAGGCTCATCATTCACTCGATATAAATACACCGTGTTTGCATCATCTGCATGGTGCTGATACTCATGCCACGAGGGAATGCAGAACGTGTCGCCCTTTCTCCAAGAATATTCTTTACCCGCAATTGTGGAGGTCCCAGAACCCTCAATGACATGGAATACAGACGAGGCTGTCGTCTGGATTGGCGGGCTTGACTTACCGGCGGAAATGCGAGTGGCAGATGCGCCCAAAGTGCGGCTGACTGTATTCAGTCAGCTTCCGTTCAGACATAGTGCAAACATGACATACTCTCGGATCCGTCAGCCTTCAGGTACGGCTTTGATGTGCTTTCTTCGGTGTCCTCGTCAAGCTGAGCCTTCATCCGGCTCCATGGGAACACGATAGAAGATGCCGAGGTGTCAATATCTTGAGCCGGATACCTTGGATCGGCATAGTGCTCTACAAAGTGGACCGGGTAATGGACAAAGTTAGGGAGGTCTAAGCCATCTAGCCAGATCATCGGCCCGGATCCATCTTTGCCATGGTCGTGCCAATTCCAGGTCGGAGTTAGGATGACATCGCCGCGCTGCATCTGAATACGCTTCCCGTGCACTGCGGTAAAACCTCCATTCCCTTCGATAATAAAACGACAAGCAAAAGCGGTATGGCGATGAGCTGGCGCAACCTCGTTGGGCATGACAAGCTGAAGTCCAGCATAGATCGTATCAGTTGTGAACGGCGCTTCTGTACAATGTGTAAGTTCTTCTATGGTTATCGGATTGCAGTTGGCCGTGGTTACCTCGCTTGGGATTCACCAGCATCAGCACACGACGTTCAGCCTGCTTCTCCGTGATGAGTTCTCCAGCTTGCAGCAAGCTCGGTCGGATCTTGTCGTACTCCCACACATGGGGAATGCATTTTGGGTCTGGCAGAGGAGGGTTGAGACGCGCCATCTGTGCCCATAGAGGCTTGGTGTGTTGCGCTGCAGCATTCTCCAGTAGCTCCCCCGTCGCTTGTTCGCGATTGGGCTGCGGAGAAAGGCCGCTCTGAGAGCTCGTGATGGTTGCTGTGAAGCTCATGACAACGATGGGTGAATTTTGAGAGATGATTGTAATGATAAAAAGCTTGCTTCTGATCTGAATCTCGACTTGATAAATTTCAGTCCTGGCGCACGCGTGTCAGGGCCGGATATCTATGCGCCCTGATTGCTTTCGCCCGGAACACGAGGACTGTGTTCCCGCTATCATGTTCGCTTTCGAGTCCGATGGCTCAAACGGCTGCGGGGTAGTGCTATACCGTCTGGCACAGGGTTTGGAGAGGCGGAGGTGGCTGCGCCCGTGTCGCGGCGGGGAGATAAGTCGCAGCGCCGTTGCGCGTTCTCTTGGCGTGTTCGTGACAACTTGACGCCCATTCCGGCCTCCCCGCCTCGTCTATTGTTCACCCAACTCGCCCGCCATCACAACATCCGGAACAACACTCCGAACCGGTGTGAAATCAGCAATTTCCTAACTGGGATCCGTCATCGATGGATGCATCCGAAAACACGCAGGCTGGTGGGACGGACGACCCCGGCACAAATCGGAGGGCAGCGAAGCGGCATAGGATCATGATAGCATGCACGTGTTGCAGACAGCGCAAGTCCCGAGTAAGTGCTTGCTCTGTGGAGTTTGTATTGTAGCCATGCAAGCTGATGTATTGTTATCTGAAAGTGCGATGGTGTAAGACCGAAATGCTCAGCATGTGCGAGTCATAATTATGAATGCACATATGCAAACACAACAACTCTGACGAAGAACTCTGCATCTACAAAGTCTGGCATCGCCTAAAGTAAGCTTTACAGATACGAGCTTACCCAAGTCAGATATATCGAAGGGCTTGAGTCACGTTTGACAGTGCTTGAACGATCTCTTGCGGAAGTCTCAGGCAAAGTCTCTCGTATCGAGTCTCTGAGTGCAGATGATAGCCTGCCTCAACAGCAGTCGCCAGAAACTATACACATCACCGACCTTCAAGATGAGGATGGTATAACAGTCGAATCACACGATCCTACTGATGGAATTGGGTCGATTTCTTTCACGAAAGAAGAAGAATCAGGTTACTTTGGTGCCTTGATACTCATTTGGTACTCAAATAAAACTGTGGCTGACATACTTTAGGGCCCTCATCCAACATAGCTTTTACGCGTCAGATCGTGCGGTCCACAACGGAAGTTCTGAAGTCCATTTCCTCCACCGCAAGTCCAGTTTCTCCTAGCGCGGCAGCGCTTCAAAGTCATGTGCTTCATGTTTCCCGACCAACATCCCCCCCTTCCAGAAACTTCGGCACGCAATCGAACCTAGTCCCTGCTGGCACTGAACCCTTCGTACTCCCGCCAGAGAATGAAACCATGCAGATGATAGAAACCTATTTTAGCACGACCGGTGAGCTGTTTCCGTACATTGATAAGGAGGCCTTTCTGCAGCAATATCACGAGCTCGCTTCATCCAACATTCGTACGGTGCGCAGATCTTGGTTGGGTTTGTTAAACATGATACTAGCGATGTCTACCAGTGCTAGTCACGGCGTCTCTTCGGCAACCGAACGAACAGCTATCTCGGATATTTTCTTTCGGCGAACCATGACTCTCTGCGAGAAGCAGATTCGCCATGGGACGAACTTGGAAGTCGGCGAGTCACAGTCCCTGGTGTTAGTGAAAATACTCTACTGACTATTGATAAGTCCAGCTGCTGCTCCTCATGAGCCAGTATCTACAGGGTTCTGAACGATCTATCGAAACCTGGAACATACACGGGCTTGCCGTCAAGGCTGCATATCAGCTCGGCCTGCACTCTTCAGATGCGATGCAGAACCATTCAGCCGTTGAAGCTGAGATCCGCAAGAGAACATGGTTCGGATGCGTAATATTGGATCGGTATGCTTGTTATCGTCACACAACCTACAGCACCTGACAGACGTAGCACCTTGAGTATGACCATGGGTCGTCCAACATCTATCCCCGATAGCTTTGTAAAGTTGAGCCTCCCATGTTCGTTAAGGAGCATTTGTCCCAGCTCTACTATCCTTGGCCAAAATGAGAACGACGATGATAGTACTGTATTCTATAGTGCGACAATGTGAGTTTGTGACTGGGCGCGCTAACTTTTGCTTACAAGAATGCAGAACTCTATACAAGATATTAGGAGAGGTCATTGAGGTCTTGTATGAGAACAACCTGGGCTGTGAGGCTTCTGTGAATCTGTTCGGTATTGCTTCGTCACTGCTGCAATTTGAGCAAAAGTACATAGGCTGGCAGCATTCTTTGCCTGCCAGTTTCTCGCTGATCGTACCGGGAGCCCAACTGTTCGATGGGAGAGGCGAGCTCAACCTAAGGTTCCGGCTCATTCTTACGCTGCGCTTCTTGAACGTACGCATCTTGACGCATCGACCGATGCTCTCGAAGTATCTTGAACTTATCGCCAATCCACATTCAGATATGCAGCAAATGGCCATTCTAAAACAGATCGGGGCGAACAGTATGCGCATCTGTATAAATTCAGCAGTCGATGTAATCAAACTCGTGCGAGAAGTCCTAGCTCCCCAAGAGCCCCGTTCCCACCTACTTGGCGCCTGGTGGTTCTCGCTGTACTACAGTATGTAAACAGCTCTGTTGACATTTGCTTCCGGCTAATCACTTGACTAGCGTTCAATGCTTCTCTTGTCATTTATTCTGCCCTTCTCATAATACACCAAATGCAGGCTCGCCAGCTTTCCCTCGACCTTGATGACACCGGCATATCGATGGACTCCCTCAATAAGGCCATTGAATGCTTGTCTCTAGTGGACAAAGGGAGCAGGATGACGGAGAAATGCGTCCGATACATCACTGCGCTTGCGAAGACGCTTTCTACAATCTGTAGGTCAGCCCTTTGCCCATATTTATTGAGACATTCTGATGGCTGACCGATACGTTAGACGTGCCGGATAGAGCATTGGAGGTAGACTCCGATAATCTCGCAACTAACCCGTCTACAGCATTCTCCACGCGCCAAGCACCAATCAATTTCGCTCCGCACGAGATATCCGATTTCTACGATTCGACCGACTTGCACATAGGTATGACCCTAGACGACTTGATTTACACTTCAGAGTTCAACTTGATGCCTACAAATTAGCTTGGGGCCAAGCATGCTCTGTGCAATCAAAACCACATCGCTTACAGGCTTGATGATGAACTTGTTCCAAATCATTGATGGCAAGATGATATTCTGCATTTGTGCCCTGTGTGCTGAACACTATTTATTCTGCCTGATCAGATCGCTCACAGATTTCGCCCAAGCATCTTCCATCGCCTGTTCCGCATTATACCCATAGGCCCACCACTGCGTGACCGGATCACTCCACTGATTCGCGCTGCTGAGCATAGGCAACCCAGCAACTTCCGCGGCCATCGATTCATCTCTAGCCCTCTGTTCTGGCCCATCCGCAAAGTGCCATATCGTCCCGTTCACGGTACTAGCGTTCTGCATATCTCCGCTTCTTTTGATACGCTCTTGCTCGAACACGCGCAGCGCAAATGGTACGTCATCTAGAGAAGATACATGATTGAGCGCCACCGCGAGGGCGGCGCCATCTTCGACAGCCATGGCGGCGCCCTGCGACATGTATGGCAGCATGGCGTGGGCGGCATCCCCCATGATTATTAGTTTGTTGGATGGTGCGGTCCAGGATCGGAGCTGCTGACCAACTTTCAAGGGCCACTTCAAGCAGTCATCGATGAGAGAGATGATTTTGGTCAACCTGGAAACTTGTTAGTAAGATACGTACTCTTTAATAGCGATACAACGTACCCAGAGTCCCATCCACCGAATTCATGCTGTATATCCTCCTTGGTAAATTTACCTGTCCATGTTGCTGGGTCGGATCGATCGATATGGGACAGTACCATGTTGAATGCCTCGCCGGCGGCGATTGCGTACGTCATGACATGTCTATTTTCGCCAATCCTGCGCAAGTGAATCGTCAGAAGGGCAGGCTCTAAATGTCACAGACACCACCAAATTTGAGCGTGCCTAAACGTACCAGATATTCAGCGATGGCTCTTCGATGATCCAGGCAATCTCTGGATCCGCTTTTATCTTTTGAACATCGACGGTCGCCCGATACGCAGCGAAGCCATTAAAAGAAGGTTCATGAATTGTGTCCTTGTAGATAGTTGCCCTTGCCTTTGACTTGATACCTACATATTTAGATTAGCATTATCCGCAAACAGCATCCCCAAGCTTACCATCCGCGGCAATCACCAAATCTGCCATGATAATGCTGTTATTCGCCAGCTCAACTGAAGCACTCTTCTCAGAGTACTTCACGACCCTAGCATTCAGTTCGATCATAACGCCCAACTGCAGCGCTCGTTGATGCAAGGCATGATGGAAATGCGCACGATGAACAACATAATATGGAACCTTGAAGTTCTCTCGAAAATCTTTACCAAGCGCCGTGCGCCCGATCTCCCGGCCATCTTCCCAGCGCCTGAAATGAATGGCGTCAGGTTTCACAACCCACTTTTCCAAATGCTCAAAAACACCCCAGTCGTGTAGTAGGCGCCCGGAGTTTGGTGGAATCTGGATTCCGGCGCCGACCTAAAGATTGCGTCAGCATACATATGGTTGAGAGGATAACTGATCGTACCTCTCCGAGTTTCGACGCCTGTTCCAGCACCCGCACTGAATGACCTCGTCGGGCTAGCGCGATGGCGAGGGCGAGTCCACCTAGTCCTGCTCCGACGACGATAATGCTCATTTTGATGCGGGCTTGCTCTGGTAAAAAAATAGAAGGAGTAGATGTTGCATTGCGTTCATTCGCTTTTTCGAGGAAGCGCAATGCTTGGGAGGGATATGAAGTTTTCAGGCTCAGCGGATGATGTGGTGTAGCGATATCTTCAGTCTTTCTTCGTTTGAATCGTTCAGATGGGTCTGCAACCAACTCTGGACTGTCCTTGATATCTTCGATGATTGCGCGCATTTTCACTGAAGCAAGATCGTTTGGTCTTAGACGTGGATACCAATGCAAAGAGTTGAGTTGTTTCAGACTTTGATAAGGATCTTTGAAGATCAGATATGACTGAAGATTTAGAATCTGCAGGTCGAAAGAGGGCGGGCCAGGATCGTCCGACTTCGCAAAAGATGGCGGGGAGGAAGGCGCAACGGCCGTAGCTAATGTGCTAGCCGATGCGGCGCAAACGGATGTGGATCCGCCGCTTTTCCGGGCATGAACCCGAGCGAATGCTCAGATTGGCCGTATCCAAAGACTTGCAACTGTCACGAATGTTGAATTTCTGTGGTGACAACGCCTTGATTGTGTATACACAGAGTTTGAACGTGACGCATTTTGACGTTGCTATCGCAAATGCACAACTCTGAAATCTAATACTACATAATTTCGTACACGTCGATCTTAACATGATTTGGCACCTGCGGCGGAAGTAGACCGCCAACAAAGCAAGTGCTGTTCAACCACGCATGCGGTCCATCGGCAACCTCGAACCTAGGAAACGTTTTCGTGTACCAATTTGCGCCTCCTTCCTTCATCGAAACCTTACAGGGATCTTGCCCGAAGACAGCGTCCATCATTTCCTGACTTGCTCGGCCGTACCCTTCGTTGGTGATGTTTACCAGAGTTCCGTCTTCTGCTTGAATGGTGTATTTGGCCAGAACATGAACCACGCCGTCTGGCCTTGCTGCGTTCCAATCGCCGCCACCAGGAAGAATTGTTCCTTTTATCTTGGGTCCTTCAAAGCGTCCGCCGGTGATGGGAATAAATCTTCTTTCGCCGGACGCGATTCTGCCAAAGCATTGTGGCGGAGCGAGGTCGACATGGAGTGTGAACGCGTAAACGAGGGTCGGAGCCATGTTTGGCGCAGATCGTATGTGCACCGAGTCAAATGGCAATAGATAGAGTCCGAAGGCGAGTCTTGATCGTTGATGATCGTACCGGGCCTTTCTGAGCATATGATGCGAGGAGATTGTGGTAGGAGTAATGAAGTGAGCGGTGCCGATCGCTCTCTTACTCGATCCATGCCCCTGCGTACGTACGCACCCAACGTATACATTAGATACTTCCTGTTTCCATTGAGCACTAGAGATAGCCAATCTCCGGTGCCCAAGCAGTGTCGCAGGCGGCGTCGGCCTCTTTGGGCATGAGATCGACCGAAGCCGGCAACGGCCTTAACTCCCCGTGTCAGAACCCGCCAACCCTCCTAAGGACACATCTCTTCGCTAGGAAGCGTTCCGAGCTGAAATCTTACCAATCTTGCTTTTGCTATCCATTCAGGCGCTTTTTGGGCCGAATAAGTGAGCAAAGCGAGCTGACGCTCGTCTCCAATCCAGGGTCTGTTCGCTCGGTTGAGCGTTTCGGCAGTCCTGGACCTCCACTTACCTCGCGGTGGTCTCCATTGCAGAAATACCCCAGATTTCCATCGTACTTTAACCACTTTACGCTTAGAGTAATCTCCGTTAAGATGACTTCACCCGAAAATATCCAACAGGCTGCTGGCAGAAATCATGGTCTGCCTTTGCTGCCACGCCCAACCGACGACGAACGAGATCCTTTGCGATGGTCGCGGCGTCTGAAGCTTATGGCGCTTGGAGCGACCGCCTTTGTCAACTTCACGGCGAATTTCGCTGGCTCTGGACTTTCTGTAGCCGCTCCAGTACTTGAGATGCAGTTCCACAAGACTGCAAACCAAACCAACGCTCTCATGACAGTGAGTCATTGATCATATGAGAAACTTACCCCCAGATCTGACTCGTCACCTAGTTCAACTTCTTGTTCCTTGGAGTTGGTAATTATTTCTGGGTCCCATTTGGAGTCAAGTTTGGCAAAAGGGCATCACTCGTCGTTTCCACCTTGATGCTCTTTGCGATTCTCGTCTGGACAGCCAAGACCACAAATTTTAACAGCCTGTTAGCTGCAAGGTGTTTGTCCGGTTTTGCTTCAGCAGCTGGAGAAGTAAGGATTCCGTTCTCTTGAATTGTGTGGAATTGATCGTGTCGCAGAGTGTTGTTCCCAGTATCGTGTCGGATGTTTTCTTTCTCCACGAACGAGCATCCATGATGTCAGCGTAAGTTCAGAGACCCTCTCAGACTCCCAACTATTGCTGAAAGACCAATAGATATACTATACTCGTTTCCAGCGCTACAGCCATTGGCCCACTGCTGGCTTCATTCATCATACAGTACAGCCGCGGTGGCTGGGTCGATTACATATGGGTTTGTGCAGCTCTCGCTGGAGCTAACACCCTGGCAATCTATCTCCTATACCCAGAGTCAACGTTTGAAAGACCAGAACACCATCACCCTCCTGCGAGTTCAGCGACAAGTGATTCCGAAAAGCCGGCAATACAGAGAGTGGAAACAACTTCCTGGCACGGCGTCAGTGTGGTACCCAAGTCATGGCGATCGATATGGACATCCTTGTTCAGCATTAATCATGAAGTCAGGGTCACAGAGCTGTTGTACAGACCGCTGGCAATGTTATTTAAGCCAGCTGTGATGCTGGCAGTCTTCATATATGGCACGAGCCTTGCGTCTCAGGTCATTCTCATGTAGGTAACCCCTTATCCATCATCGAAATATGGTAATCTAATGACTTGGTAGATTCGCCTTTCCAAACCTGTTGATGGCACCTCCATATCTCTTCACTGGGATCGGTGTTGGACTAATGCAAGTGGCAGCTATAATTGGTTTTCTGATCGGCTGTTTCGCAGGTGGCTACATAGCGGATGTCATCACCGCGGTGGTGGTTCGAAAGCAGAAAGGTGTCGTGTATCCAGAGCAGCGACTGATTGCTATGCTTCCCGGGTGCCTTATAGCTCCGATAGGGTGCATCGTGATTGCATTCTCATGCGCTCACAAGCTGCACTGGGTTGCAATCGCATTCGCTTTTGGCATGGGTAAGTCTCTATAGCATCTTTTAGATTTCGCTGACCCTTGCAGTGTCCTTCGGAACAATCTTCGCGCCCAACATTGCAATCACCTATGTCGTTGAGTGCTTCACTAGGAACGCTTCCGAGGCTCTGGTCGCAATCAATGTCTTCAAGAATCTAGTTGCCTTTTTGTTTCTTTATACTGCTGTAGATTGGATTGCATCGAGCGGATGGATCCAGGTGTATATGATCATGTTCATGCTTGTTTCGATGGGTATGATGTTGTGCGTTCCATTCTATTTCCTCGGATCGAAGTGGAGGGGCCAGGAGGAGGTAGGATTGGTCTAGATATGCTACACTAGGAGCTGTGATGAATTGGTTGAAGTTCAATCAGCTATTCTTCTCATAGTTTGGTGGGGCTTTTATGTCACCTTGCCGGCACTAATAGCGCTGTATATCTGCACGTAGTAAACAACACTTCCATATAGTCTGCCTCAAATAAACACATGCATTTGCGGTACATGTTCTCGCGTGTAGAGAGTTTTGACCGAACACCTTCGTTGCTCTACTAAGGAGGAGTAAGACAATAGAGATCTGTCCGCAGTTTGCACAAAATCATGACTGCTTCGATGCGCGCTGGATCAAACTACGATGTTCGAGCACATTTGTCTTGTGATGGTAGAATTCAAATTTGTTGAACGCTTGTTCCTGTACTTGGGTACAATGAATCGCTATATACTAGTACCGTGCTTGATTGAACACGCAGAGAAATGAGCAAGTTTGGTAGGGTGTACCCCCTGCTCATCACTCACGTTAACTTCAACCCTCTGATATCTCTCCTTTGTTAGCATCCGGCTTTCGCGCCATGACCCAGACAAACTCAGACTCGTAATCGGGCTCATGTTCTTCCAGCTTGCCATCACCTGCCTTCACAGTCTCAACCTCTAACAATTCGAAGCCTATATCTTCCAAAATTTCGCAATTCTTTTGCATTCCGTAGCTGCTCCAAAACATCCCGTAACCCATCATCTCGCCATGAATTTCTTCTTCGTCAAGGCCCGCAAGGTTGAAAACGAAGAGACCTCCAGGCTTGATCCATGTGTAGATCTTGGCGAGCAAATCCTCAAGTTGGGCGCGAGGGAGGTGGAACAAGGTGTAGAAGCTGAGCACGCCGTGGAAACTCTCAGCTTCGAACGTAAGTGTGGCCATATTACCAGCGACGAACTTTACATTCGGGCAACGAGCTTTAGCCATTTCAATCTGCTTGGCAGAGATGTCGTTTGCTGTCACTTGGGCTCCACGGTCGACCAGCATATTCAATACAGGCACACCAGGGCCGCAGCCAAGCTCTAGAACGGATGGTGAGGCCGGTAATCTGTCGAGGAATCTCTTTGTGTATCGTTGGCGTGGTGACATGTCGCTCTCAACCCATTCCAGATACCATTGCGCAATGTGATCATAGGCGTGTTCGACGATATTTTCGGGTGCTTCAGACATGTCGCTTGATTTTATGAGCAGTTACTTAGGATATCGGGTGGAAGTGTGCGCGATCTTATTGTTGAAGGATGTTGTGAGTGGAGTGAATGAAGCGAAGTTTCATATGTCAACAAAGACCTTCGGTACCCTTATCTCTCAAGCCTTACTGGTCTGTTCGACAGCCCCCTGGCAGCTCAAAGGAAGAGATACGCCGAGAAGGAATGGGGTACCCACTCGCCACGATCCTTCAGTTTACGGTCGGCCTATGCCGCCTTGCGTTCCTCCCCCGCAAGCTTACCATCGAGACGAAGGCTATATACTTGCTCACGCTGTGCAACAAGTCGATGCATCTGTCATCATCTCGATTCCTACATCTACACCAGGTGCAGATTCTGTAACCATCTGCACGTCCAGTCCGATTTTTGTGCAGGTTCCATAACCGCCATACCCTTCTCTTCGCTCACCCGACCTTTCACCTATCATTCAAGGACAAGCATACCTTGAAGAGGCGGGGGCCGACAGGGTACATTGGCATGTACATAAGCATTAATTATCAACTTGGCGGTCAATCCCCAAGATAGGATAATTCCATTCCTGAAACAGCCAGAGTCGACCTTGGGTGGACCTGAGTTAGACGCAGCTTTGCGGCACAGTCGTTTTCTCTGCTTGCCGCCCACAAACCCCGCACCAAGCAGCCACGAAGGAGTATCTACGACCGCAACCGAAGACATCTATCTTTGCTTGTGCGCTCTCTGTTGCCAAAGAAGAAGACGTCCTACGCATACCAGATACGACACAACCAAGTCGGAAGACACCTACGCCCGCTGCCAACGCTATCTTCCTACGTGGAGATGGATATTGTGCTAAGCCTAGCGCTAGCAAGGGGGTGAGTGCCATTACCTATCAGCGCTACGAAATCAAGCTTTCTCAAGCTCAAGTAACCTTGCTTCGGCGTCGACGCGCAGAACCCTCCCGCCGGTACCGACCTTCAGGCCACCCGCTGTGCCGCTGTTCCCGAGGTCATCTCACCAACAGAGCGTAGGCGCTACGTGCGCAATGCGATAGTTCCGCAACATGTAGCCTTTTCCTAGTAGCCCTGTGTGCCAGCGCGAACAACAGGCTCGTTCGGACTCGTATCAAGCTTGTATTTTCGCGTGCTTGATCAATGCTTCACGCATGGTCAATGATATCTGGACTAGATCTTGAGACATCTCCAGTCGGTTATGGAGCTTGTTTGTCCTGGATCCAAAGCTGTTCATTGGTGAGACCCCTGCCATTTGATTGTTGTTGAGTTCCTGCAGCCGGGCAACCAGCTGTTGTCTGGGTCTCTACTCAATAGGATGGAGCATTCTTTTACTGCGTTGCCTATTTCCCCCGGCACCAGGTCTTCGCACATTCTTGACATATAGTCGAAACCATGACTCAAGCAAGTCGAATACGCGCACAGTATCAGAGCGGCGGGGAGGATGGATGCGAGCGAGACAGATGAGGTACCACAGTAGATGCTTGCTTCTAATCTAGTACATTTTTGTACCGTTGACGCATTGCGAGGTAGATTGAGTTCTAGTGGGGACCTAACAGAAACTCACCATGTATTTGCCACCGTCACCCGCTTGTGGAATACATCAAGCTTGTTTCGTGAGTATGGAACAAACACATCATTTTAGATCATTCGAACCGTATGCAGCCCTTTCTCGTAGCGGAGACAAGGCAGAGAAGCTCTTGTCTCTTCGTCAAGCTCCGCTAGTAGTAACTCTGTTCCACCTTTCGGACCACCAGTTGCGATACCAATGCGCTCGAACAACCTCCGCTCTGCATCGCAGAGACGTAGCAACAAGATCGGGATGTACTCATTGTCGCTCTCTGGTGTCCGAGCGATCATAAAGAAGAGACGCTGCTGAATCATGTCGTGCACAAAAGCGTCATCTGTAGCGGGTACGTCGAGGTGAACAAGAGGACCTATACGCTTCCAGTCTGGGAGACTATCGTCTTGCGGGCGCACAAGCACGTTGTTTACCAACATGCGCCATCGATCTTGTGTTTCGTGCGTAACACCTAATGGTTTCAGTGCACCTTGCAAGTCAAGCCAGCCACCGGTAACAACACCCGTGGTATCGTTTGTCGCGTATTTAAGGTGGTGGTCGACAACCTCGATCGCCCATTCGCTTTTACTTCTCACAGCTTCCGTTACCATAACGCCGTCAACTGAGGCCCATGACCAGGTTGGAGCTCGGTAGGGTGTAGGTCGACAGGAAGGCGAGCCATCAATCTTTTCGTGAGTTTTTATTAGCCAAAGCAATGCGCTTTCGAGGTGCTTTCTCCATATACCAGCAACATATGTATCGTTGTTGACGGTCGGCCTCATTCGCTTTGCAATACCAGACAGCGCGATCAGTTTGTCGGTTGCTACCGTGAGGAGTGTTTCGGAGTACGCTGAGATGATCTTGTTCCAGATCACATAACAGGCAACGTCTCCATCGACTTGACGCCCTTGAGCTTCGATCTTCCTGATGTACGTGTCTGCGTCCAGGGCCTTAAAGTTGGTGAAGACTTGTTTCTGGAAGAAATCAGGTAGTCTGTTTGGGTAAGACTCGGAGGCGTCATGTTCCATGCATTCCCAGAGAAGTTGTGAGTGGCCAAAGCACAAAACGCGTGGTGCGAGAAGACGTTCTTGGACAACCCAAGCACGTTTGTTGATGATACAGCCAGGGATGTTGTGCGACCAGAAGAAGTAGTTGTGAATGTCGCACTGGATGTGGGAACGCGATTCGTCAATATCGGCGACGCAGAGTTCTATTCGTGTCCCGTTCAGCGCCTGTGGATCTCGCGTGCGAAAGAGACCTTGACTGCCGTCGAGTGCCGAAGCAGCAGAAAAATTGCAATATGAATGCGAGTATACTTTGTGCATGAGCGCTAGGTCATGCCTTGTTAGTGCGTCTTTTGGAAAACCTGGAGGAGACGGGTACGATTACCTGCTTCATGAAACCAGTCAGATTGATCGTCCTTTTCGTTGTGTTCTGTCAGCCACCGTCTTGAACAGTCCTCGCCCATATGCATCCATACCTGCTGTATACACATGCTGTCGATCCAAATGTACCTGGTACCGAATCGTCTCGTTGTTAGAATAGCTTCTCTAAAGGTCTTTGGCATGACTTCGATGGAAACGCCAGAGCGCAGACTGGCGGAAGTGTTCTTGTTCAGTTGGATGAACTGGGATTTCCCCGAGCAGTGGCTCAATGTCACGTACGGACCACTCATCGATTCATCGGCTGTTTGAATCAGCCGCAAGATTTGGTTATCATTTTGACCTGATCCAAGATCCAGTAGCCTTGTTGGGTACCAGGCCGGACGGTCGCGGTTTGGGTTGCATTTCACATGCGTTTTAACGCATTGGTCGAACCATGTCATTGCAGTAGCCCAGAATTCATCTGAATCTGTGCTGTATGAGTTGACTGCTTGAGTAAGTTGACGGTCTGGATCTCCTATGTTTTAGTTACTTTCAGAAGTGGAGCATGAGTCACGTACTGAAGCATATCTGAAAAGTGTGAAAACCAAGCGCAGGAGTATCTTTAGGGCTGACACTTCTCCAATCGACTCCCTCGCCACTGAACTTTAGCATCAAAACGTAATCCACCCCCAAGCCCCATGGCTCTTTGAGAAGCAGGGTGAAAGTTAGCCATTCGAAGTACTCTTCCAGGTTATCGGGTTCTGGCTTTTCCGGCGGTCGGCCAGGGGTCGCTAAGAGTCGTTTCGTCTCAGCAGCTCGCAAAGCGTCTTGTTCAGTCTCAGACACTTGCAACCAAAATGCTTGACATATGTGGCATCCTTGCGCTGCAGACATCTCAAGGGTTTCTAGCGTTCGGTGGTGTGCGCACATGATGGCGAGACCATCATCTCCATGTTCTTTCGCGATAAGATTCGCTCGGTGTGTTAGAACACCAACGCAAATGTTGCATAGCATGTTTGCGCTCTCGTCGTGGTGGATGAAAGAGGAAGATGAAGGTGGGCGGCAGTTGTGATACTCGCCAAGTCATGTGGCTACGACGTGCAGGAGGGGAAGAACCAGGATAAGCGAGGCTGATAGCCAATACGGCTCAAGCAGTTCTTGCGTTTGCTAAAACCACAGAAATGCCGGTGAAGAATGAGACTAGAAGACTGATCCAAGCACTGAACAGCTTTCTGGTTGCTTGTACGTAGATGGAACACTCATACCAAGGTGACATCACCGTATTTTGAGGTTTCTCCTATCTCACCATCCATGATGCCGTCCACATAGGCTTCGCTGACCACGCTGAATTGGTCCTTGTCCCGCGGTCTAAGTACAAACGGAACCTGGCTTCCTGCAATAATCGCAATCTTATCACCCTGCATTATACGTTCAGAACTCAGGCCGAGATGACCATTCGCAGTGACGAAAGGAAGTCGTCCCAAGCTCTTTCCTATGATCTCCGATGCTAGCTGAACTTCGTTCGCGATCCCCCTCTTGACTTTACTGTTTCTCTTCTGACCTTTTAGGAATTGTTGAGCCTCGCGTCTGAAGCGCGGATTTTTGATTAGATCGAGTCCGTCTCGTAGAAGGATAACACCATCAGCGAATCGAACGTTTCCGACGCGACCAAACTTTTCATCTTTGTCGAATCCAACGTCCCCGATTGAAGTTCGTCCGCTGGCGCGTAATCGATTGCAAAATCCCTCGTAGTTTTTCCTTCTGCAATAGCTTAGGTGCAAAATCTCGAGTAGCCATTCTACCGGCCATGAGTAGGTCTGCGAAAGCGGTACCTCTTTACTGTTAGTCCGATTGGCGAAGCGACCGACCTGATATATATTATCGTATAGACAAGCCTTCATTGATATGCGCTTTATTGCCCCATCGTCTTTGTATATTCTGATTGAATCTTGATGTGTCCGATGTCCTGAACAATTGAACTCTGGATATGGAGTTACATGGTCGTCCCGTATATCCTGCAACATATCAGTCACAGATTGAGACCAGTCCGGAACCCACGATGGGAGATCCGGTGACCTTGAGGCTTGACACATTGAGAGCAGGGATATATGACCCTGTCGTAGTAGTGCTGCCATCGTAGTAGCATAGGTTTGTTTATACGAAACATCATAGTTCGGGACGACGCCAAAACGTTCCAACTCCTTTCGATCTGCAGCTAGACCTAGCAGCGCGAAAATTTTGTCCTCTGGTTTTGTTGATTCAAGATCATGAGGTCCATGTCTATCCAGGTTTATGCTGCCAACGCACGTCGCACGAAGGAGGGCTGCCATTGAGAATCTGCTTCCGTGATAAATTCTTGGCATGGAAAGCATGATGGTAGGACGGTGATGGAATAGATGCGAGATAATGTCGTGCTGATACTAGTTGAAAGATGCTCGATCTCTTCGAAGCCTAGTGTACATGATGGTCCACAGTGCAGCATACATGTGTATGAAAGCATCGCAGCGGTACCTCGTGACTGTTTGCGCTCCGCAGATCAAATGTGTGTCCCTCGAAAGAGTAATCTCTTGCAAGATCCACACCCGTGCCCACCAGGATCTGGTAAAGAACTCCTTCAACTCAGCGATTGGTAGCAAGTTGCTCTGATTGCTCTGGCCGCTAAAGACATCGAATAAGTCTCGGAAGGCCTTTCTGGATACTGTAAATATGGATCCATCTATGTCTCGAAAGATAGGGTCGACCGAGACCAGCCGCTGACTCCCTCCGAGCACACAATCCATGTCCTGCCAGATTTCGAGGCATTTCTCGAACGCATTTCTTATACCACGATCTTCCGCCATCTTTCTGATAGTGTTGATGCAACAGATCGCTAAGTCGCTGCTCTTGTTTGCTGGTCCCAACCAAGCAAAGACATGATGAGCCCGCTGATAGATCTTTGCCATCAAACCAACCTGGAAGCTTTTCTCCTTGTTATTCGTCTGATTTATACAAATAGCATCAACCCAGAAGTTCAGAGGCTGGCTATGAGGCATCGCTCTAACCAGTCTTTTGCGATCCTCTCGAAATTGCCACAAAGCTTCTTTGAGATTTCGAGTAACAGCGATGACTCTCCCATTACACAGGACAGGCACAGTGTCGTGTGGATCTCCCCATGTGTAAGACAATGCGATGTACGGCGGATGATCGTCGATCCTGTACGTACGCATACCGAGGCAGATGATCTCATCGCCATGGCCGAAGTGAAGATCGAGTAGCCGTAGTTGCTGGTCACACAGACTGTCTGAATATTGAAAATCCGCCCTTGCAGAAACTGTCAGTGGCAATGTAGTACCCTGTGCATGACTTGTACGACGATGTCTTGCGTGCTTGCGGAAGTAGGACGAAGTAGAATTCGTAACGATGAAGTTTTGTAAACAGAAGTGAATTGAGTAGATTACCCTCCCAGATGTTGACCCAACAAAGATGGGGTGTGAACCGAGGTCTCCATGGTGGTCGCTTCCAAGATACAAAAGTTGGATCTCGAACTTCAATGCGGAGGATGATTGGTGCTGTATATACCTAGGGCAGCGTTCAGAGATCGTGCTGCTGATCAAACATCTTGAAGATATGGGCTTCAGAAAGTGCCCTAATGCTAGAGTCTCATGTACATGCAGCGAGCCAATATATACCACGCCTTATTGACATTAGGCAACAGTGTAATCTGAGCGCAGATTGGTGAATGTGCTGTTGAGGGGTAGTGGTGGCGTTAGAGACCGGTGAGCTCTGATCAGACAAAGGTTCAGCCAATGTAAATGATTCTCATACGTGTTCGACATGCAGTGTGTCGCAGGCCAATCGCTACAGTGTTAGCGCACTATCTGATTCATGCTGGCATTCGATCCACCCTAACATAAAGCTGCGATAATAGAGATAAGGCTGTAGAGCTACCCTAAGAAGCTATTATCGCGATATTTAACAGTAAGTCCTTCTCTCCTGTTCAAGCCTTGTCCTCAATGTTCATGCAGTGTAAGTGTGTGCGCGTAGTGTATCCATGTCGGCTGTGCTGTAGCTGTGCGTCTTGCGCTGCAGATCGTCGAGCGGGTGCAAAAGATGCGCGTCGAGTTCAATCACAGCGATGTGATGGTCCATGCCTAACAGAACATCAAAATCGTACCAAAGACAGAGAGTACTGCCGCGCTTGCTAGACAATACCTGTGCGCATCCATTAGGGAGTTGGCTGCTGCTCGTTGTCTTAGTACCCACGGCAATATCCCTTTGACGACATGCTGGCCCTTTCCTCGCTTCTGATTCCGGCCACCGCGGGCTGTCAAGATGCGTGTGTCGGTCCATAATCTACAACCGAAACTCGGGACAAAAGTTCGGCATGAACTCTACCGATGAAACTAGCCTTGTCAGGGACTGCGGCACGTGCATGTGAGAAATGGGTGGCTTGGGTCTAACTCATTTGAGACAACTAGGCCAGTTTGCGGGGCAGATTGATGCTTCTTTGTGTATAGCTCTACCGGCTCCACATCTTCCCCATGTTTTTCCCCCACAATATCAAGATGTAAAATCTATACATGCTAATCCGTAAACAATTTGAATGATGAAATGTACTTCATTGTGACAAGTATATATATTCATACACCATCAACTATGAAATATTCATTCATCGTATGCGTACACGTCTCAGACCAACGAACATGTTCGCGTTCACAGCCCTAGGCGCATCGTTTCTTGCATTCTCCTCCAATGTCCTAGCAACCCCCACTCCATCGCACCGCGACGACTATGTCAATTGGAGAAACTTCAGAGCCAATGGAGTTAATCTCGGTGGATGGCTTTGCCAGGAAGCCACCATCGATCCATATTTCTGGGGCACATATTGCAACGGTACCGCCGATGAGTGGAATTGCTGTGCCAAACTGGGTGACAGGTGCGCATCAGTCTTTGAGAAGCGCTATGCAACGTATATCACTCGCGATGACATTGATAAGCTTGCCTCGGGCGGAGTGAACCTTCTTCGCATCCCGACCACCTACGCAGCGTGGATCAAGGTTCCAGGTGCGCAGTACCATTCTGGAAACCAGCAATCGTACATCAAGAAAATCGCTTCGCACGCCATCAAGAAGTATGGCATGCATATCGTCCTCGATATCCATGGTCTTCCGGGTGGTATCAATGGTCTGGACATTGGCGAGGTGAGTCCATGTACAGATGCAGTGCGTCCCACACACGTTTACTAATTCCATCTAGCGCGTTGGCAAATGGGACTGGTTCAACAACCAAACCAACCTCGACCTCTCACTCCAAGCAGTCGACCAAGTCCTGAAGTTCATTCAAAAGTCCGGAAGCCCACAGTCATACACACTCGCACCCATCAACGAACCAGCAGACAACCCAGACTTTTCCAAATTCGGCACCCCGGCAGCTTTGTCAGATAATGGTGCTGCCTGGGTACAGAAATACATCAACGCCGTGGTCAAGCATACCAAAGCCGTGAACCCAAAGATCCCAATCATGTTCCAGGGCAGTTTCAAGGGAGAGCCATTCTGGTCTGGAAACTTTGCTGCGAGCACAAACATTGTGTTCGATGTGCACAACTACTACTTCGGCCGCCCGAGCGATTCGGACAACGTTACCACTAGCATCTGCGCAGACGCAAAGACGCTTGCTGGTGATGGCAAATTCCCTGTATTTGTGGGCGAGTGGGCCATCCAGACATTATCGAACAACAGGTTTGCGAATCGCGCTAAGAGTTTGAATACCGGGCTCTACGCGTACAACAAGTACACACAAGGGAATGCGTACTGGACAGCAAAGTACTTTGGCAATGTTTCGGTCGCGGGTGAAGGCGAGCAGGCCGACTATTGGAATTATCTCAACTTCATCGACATGGGCATCATCGAACCTAGCATGGGCCAGAAGTACTGTTCATAATTGCTTGACTTGAAAGAGAAGAGAAAAAGAAAGAGAGAAAAAAAGCACGTCTTATCTCTCCGGCCGTATCAAAACATTATATCATCGTGCAGTCATGAATCAAAACCCAAAGAAACCTAGGACCCCTCCCACAGCTCATAATACCGCCCTTTTCTATCGCACAGCTCCTGGTGCGTTCCCCTCTCTACAATGCTCCCCTCATGCAACACTAGAATCGAATCAGCATCAACAATCGTACTCAGCCGATGCGCGATAACAATCACAATCCTTCCCTCTTTCAGCTTCTCAAACGCCCTCTTGATGCTACCCTCTGTCACCGTATCGACCGCACTCGTCGCCTCATCCAGCAGAACAATCGGCGCGTCCTTGAGCAGCGCCCTCGCAATCGCAAGTCTCTGCGCCTCGCCACCGGACAGCTTGACGCCACGCTCGCCGACGTGGGTGTTGTAACCCTTGGGATAGCGCATGATGGTGTCGTGAATCGCGGCTGCGCGACATGCTTCGTGGACGTCTTGGTCGCTCGCGGTGCTGCGTGCGTACCGTACGTTCTCCATGATGGACGTGTTGAAGAAGGTGGGTGCCTGAGGAACTACGCTTACAGCGTCGCGCAGCGAACTCAGTGTGACGTGCCGGATGTCTTGTTTGGATATGGTAACCCTGCCGGATGTGACGTCGTGCAGACGTAGGAGTAGCTTCAGAATCGACGATTTGCCAGCGCCGGTTTGGCCTACGAGCGCGACGGTCTGGCCGGGCGAGACGGTGAAGGAGACGTCGTGGAGTGCGTAGCGGCTCGAGTCGTACTGGAAGGATACGTCTTCGAATCGCACTTCGCGGTCGCGCACTGCGAGTGGGTAGGCTTCAGGTGCGTCTGTGACTGACGGCTGGGTCTGTAGAAGGTGCAGAACTCGTTCGGCGTCTACAAAGTCGCGCACTAACCACCGGACATGTTCTGTCAAAAACTTTAGCGGGTAAATGATTGAGTCCCAGTACGTGAGGAAGAAGACAAAGTCTCCTGGTGATGCAGTGCCTGCAGCGATGCGTTGGAGGATGAGGTAGGCTAGAGCGAAGAAGGTAGTCGGTACTAGCAGCTCAACGAGAGCCTTGATGAATGCTTGCCGTGCTTCGAAGCGTGTCCTTGCCTTCATGTGGTTGTTCACAGCATTGGACAATACGTGGGCCTCCCTCTTGAACTGGTTAAAGTAGGTCACAGTTTGCCAACCTTGAATCGCTTGGTGCATCTTTCGTATCTGGACTCGTTCCGCTTTCGTCACATTCCTCCGGGGGCCGGTTGTGAGTCGCGTTGAGAAAGCTTCGGCTGCCAGGAATAAGATTGATGCACCGAGCAGAACCATCCCCACTGCCGGAGTAAACTTCCGGTAGAAGATGGTACAAGCTACGACGACGTCGATCATGGTTGGTAGGATTTCGATGACTACCGACTCGAGGACGTTGCCCAACGCTTCGCCTTGTTCAACAGCCTTCATGACCTCTGCTGAGTCTTGCGTAGAATGGAAATCGATTGACTGGGCCATGACATGGCCGAAAGCAGTGTTGGTTAATTGCTTGTACGAGAATTGCTTGATGGGTATTTTAGACAGCTCTTGAATGAAGATCAAGCCTGAATCGCCGTTGAGGTGGTCCAGGACAAGGAAGATGAGGAGTTCTCGAATAGGTATCGATCCATGTGTGACTTTGTCCGCAATCATTCCAAGGACGTACGGGATAGCCACTTGCAGAACGCGCTCTATCGCGATCGTGATGAGACAGATGAGTAGACATATCTGTACTTTGATGTCTCGTTTGGGTAGGACATAAGGCAGGAAAATGGTAAAGTCATTCAGGTAGCCAAGCCAGCCTCCAGTCTCGCGCAACCGCTCAGCACGAGCCTCTTTCACATCCTCGTCCTCATCACTATCGTCGTCGCTATCCTCTTCGTCGGTTTTCAGGTAATCGTCGTCGATTTGTGGAGGACATGCTGCCTCGAGCAGTGGATCGGTGTCTTTTGAGCCTTGTCCAGGCGATCTCCAGAATTGGAGTGGCATCGTTTGTAGTCGAAAAGTCGTTGTGTGGCTTGATCTGTTTACTCACCGACCGTCTCTTGTACATGTGCCTGGAAGGGCCATCTTGGCAGCGAGATGTGTTTACCACCGGTCAAACGGTGAGTCACGGCAGCCCTTTTCTGTTTTGTGTCTAGATGCGCATGAAACGGACTTCAATGCACCAACCCAATCGTTCGTCGGTACTATTGGTACGCGCGGCCTGAGAGGTAGTGCGCCCTTTTCATTATACGACCTTCGGCACCGCACAGCCACGGCGCCGGTCCACATGCTGGCGTAAAGCCACTCCTGGTGTGATTAGCGTGTGACTTGGGCCGTGGCGCAAATTGAGACTTCAAGTAACGCGATGTCATCCCAAGCCGGCGCATTAAAGCCGGAAGCGGAGCGACCGAAAACAGCAAAATTCTCATGATGGACCTGGCGCCCGCTGTATCCGGACTTTGCAAAGCCCGGAACCGCGGAGAACAGTCGTTTAGACAAGGGCGTCGCAAGCGGCGGGACATTTGCTGTGAAGATTAGAACTGAAAGACGAATCACCTTACCTTCGGAACTTACCTCACTAGCTGATTGATCGGGGTTGCATTCTCGACCATCGCAGATTCGGCGTGGGTGTTCAACATAAGCACCTAGGCGTCCTCCCGAAGCGCGAGGATCCCGCCGTCTCAAAGCTTGTATAGGCAGTAGCGCAAGTCCAGTACCCGCAATTCCAAGCACTCTTTCCCTGTAGGTAGCAGACGCCATTGGTGTACTCTGCAACCAGAATCGAAGTTGGTCAATCTCTGTCTTCGAATCTTCTTCATGTCGTTCATACATCAGACTGCTTCGGCATACGAACAGAGAGCTGTTCAAGAAAAGCGTGCCGTGGAATGCCGCGTTCCATCACCGTGTACGCGGTGCGCGCCATCAGTCGAGGCGCCGAATCACCCCTTCAGAGGTGCCAGGAAGGCCGAGTCGGCAGAGCCACGCACAGTAGCTCCTACCATGGGATAATTTGGAGGGCTACTACATACACCCATCCGACAAGTTTGCTCGCTCAACTCCTGTATTTGTCTTGATCGTGCGGGTACTGCAGTTATAGATTGCTGGTAGTGACAGGGTTTTAGCGCGTCGCTGACCTTCGCTGCGCTGGCGCGTGTGTAGCAGGGTATGCTGGCGCGTCTGCAACGAAAGGAGTATCGCTCCTGTTTGACTGCATCAAGCGATCAGAAGCGGATCTTCAGTCGAAGTAATCATCCTAACGATGTGGCACCTGTGGCAGCCAAAGCTCGCAAGAGGAGCCGTGACGTCACAGGGCTTTACTCAGTCACTTCTCACTACGCGACCGACATCCCTCTCAACCTGGACGCCCTGCGCGACGCTCCTCCAAGAAGCTTCGCAATGCGACTCTAAACATGTACAAGCCAGCGCTTCAGCTCACCTGCTGGGCTCCGATACGCCATACACCAATCCTACTTTACTCCGCACGCGCACCTCTCAACACACCCCTCACCTCCACCGCCGGCCTCGATGTGGGCTACTATGCGCTGCGCTCTGAGCACCGCCAAGACGACGCCTGAACGCTCGCTCGCATACCCAACAGCCTTCGCGACGACGTCTCTCCTGCCGCTGCCCATCCTCGATCCGCCTCCGTTCTTCCCACCCTTCGCAAGTACCTGCAGCACGGCCATGTGCGCATTGCTCCACGACATCACCATCGCGATGCGCAAGCCGGTTAGCTGCAGCTTGAGCTGCGACTATATGGTTGAGGTGGATAGGTTGTATGGCTACAAAGCGCGTCAAGGTCAATGATGGGTAGGCACTACGCGCGAGCCTTGATTCCCAGCGCATTGTGCTTCTCATGCGCTTCGTTCAGAAGAGTCGTAAGGTTCTTGTCTACCTTGTCGAAGGACTCTTGGATAACGCGGACATGTGTCTCGCTCCGGGGCTCGAAGATGCACGCAAAAGGCTTCGGAGCCGATACAAATCCCGTGGTGAACATGCTTTCTTCCACAACGAGTTTCTTCCCACTTGGCGTACGGACATTGAACGCCCACAGCAGGCGCGCCACTACTATGCTTGCTGAATTGCGCGCGATGTGACGACGAGGACAGATTCTGCGGCCGTATCCAAAGTTGTTGAATTGCGATTGCGACTTGCCCATCCAGCGTTCGGGGCGGAACTCTGCCGGCTTGTCAAAAAGGTCCTCGTTGTGACGCATCGCGGAGAAGACCGGGATGACAACAGATCCCTTGGGAATAAGGTAGCCCTGATAGTAGTCCTCGTGGGTTGTGGCGTGCGGAATGCCGGCTTGTTGTGGGTGGCGCCAGCGGAAAACCTCTTCTACTACGGCCTGGATGTACGGCAAGTCCTTCAGATCCCCAAACCCGGGCAGTCGCTCGCCTACGACTTGGTCGATCTCCTTCTGCGCCTTCGCGAGCCATTCAGGATGCGCGACGCATGCGAGGACAAAGATCATGAGGGTAGCGCTCATGGTTTCAACCCCAGCATCGGCGAGAATACCAACATCCCAGGCGACCTGCTGCTCAGTCATGCTTTGGGCTTCGGCAGCCCTCTCAAAATCTTTCGCCCAGTTCCAACCCTCGCGTCCGAGCGCCTCGTTGTAGCTCTTGACGTGCAGGTCGTCGAGCTCATGGAACCACTTTGCGGCCTGGCGCTTCCAAGGCGCAATGGCTGCGGGCAGGTAGTTGAGCCACGGCAGCGCATCCACGATCCAAACTCCCGGTTGCCCGGCAACGTGGAAGTTCTTCATGCATTCGCGAGTTCGTTCCACCTGCCACTCTTTTCCGGTGTGAATACGCATCCCGAAAGCCATAGAGTACGCCAAGCTCGTTGCAAACACTTCGACGCAATGCGCGATGCTTCCGGATGACTCCAGAAGGCTCTTGAGTAGTTGCTGACTCTCCAATTCTTGAATAGGTGTGTAGCAAGCCGTTGCCCGCGGGCTCAATACCGGCGCTTGAAGCTTCTGGTGTAGAAGGAAATCTGTACCAAAAGGTTTGAACACGATCGGATTGCTGTTGCACACTAACTCGTGCCCCATGACCTATCCGCATCGGTCAGTGCTACTTCTTGACACGTCGTGGTAATTTCCTACGAGACGTGGCCTGCTACTATAGATGTTCCTTCGCTTGTCGAGAAGTTCTTTGGCCGTTTCATAATCACCAACTATGATGATGCTACCTCCAAGGTTAACTGAAACAATGTTCCCGTACTGCTTGATCCACTTGGTGAAGGTCAACCACGGTGCACCTTTCGGTGCTTGGTGGAGGTTCCCGAGCAGTGGCAGGCCACGGGGACCTGGGGGTAGCTTTGCCCGCCGAACGAGATGGGCAACTATATATATGACTAGTATGCCTCCAAGTAGGCTAAGGATGGTTGTAGCCATGGTGTGAAAAGTGCTCGAGGTGTTCGTTGCTCCGCTGAAGTGTAGGACGAAAGCGATGTTGCTGGATCCAGTCTAATCGACCGTCCATGTTCAAGATGCTGAGTGCATTTATACGAACATGATCGACAAGACCGGGCGATTGCTATACATGCTATACACGCAGGTGGGGCTTGTGTGACCAAGGCGGGGCTGATGACCAATCCATTGCTCGTACATATATTAGCTCTGGTTACTACCGATGTGGTGAGATTCCGCCTCGCCTCATGTTTACATGTCACTACGATGGTAATACGTGTTACTGTCAGAGGTTGCTTCCCCGTGGACAATGTCCCGCTTTACAGCCCTCGCAGTACTCGCTTTCGTGTGGTCCTTGGAGCATCTTGGAACTAAAATGTGTATGCTCAGTCCCCACTCCTGCCCATGTGTTGAGCCTGAACGTAACCCGCTCTATGTACGACTTCTCATCCATCTTGAGGCTCCCTAGCCAGCCGCAAGACTTGCAGCGCTGGTTGAACACGACAGCGTTGTATCCGTTACGAGAATATCCTCTGATATGGATTGCTACCAGTCCACTACTCCACCCATCTTTTCCGCATCGGTTGTTGACGCATGTAAACGATCCTATAATATTCGTGTCCTTCTCTTTCTCAGGACGGGCCTTCGTATTGGAATTGAACCACGTCGAAGTTATGGCGGGCGCGACAGCTTCCGCAATGCGTTGGTGCAGTTCGGGAAACGTAAACGAAGTCCTCGTCTCTTTTTGTAGTTTAGCAATGCGTGCCCGACCGACTTTTGGTAGTGTGGTAGTCGTATTAACATCGGATATAGTCAGGGCCTGCAAAGTGTCTTCAAGTGGGATATAATCCAAGTCGAACGTCGGATTTGTGTGTGAACTGTTTCCCGTCGCGGTGTGGCGGCTGCGCTGGCCATTGTCCGGTGCCGAAGAGATATTGGACGGTGCTGAAAACGGCAAAGGGACATGTTGAGTAGAGGGAACAGGCGTGACGGCTGTAGTGACGGAGTCTCTTCTGGATCTTTGGTGAACTGGGGAATCGTTTTGGTGCTGAGACAATGCATTCTGGCTACTAAAAGAGCGATTGCATGCCTTGCAGTCAAAAGGTCCATGCTTTGGTGAGTCTTCTTCGTGTTGCCTGAGTGCCTGGTCGCTACCGAAAGTGCGATTGCACGGGACACAGAGGCTCATTGTGTGTCCAGTCGCAGTCGTCCTTTGGGGAATTGCAGCTTACCTGAGTGAGATTGCGGCTGACTGATAAGTGCAAACGTTGGACGTATTTAGCTTATAAAATATCACACGGCGCAAGGCCACTATACTGTTGGATTGCTATGCATATCTCGAACCAATGGCACAATGACACATTACGCGCCGTGGCTGCGTCTGCGATGTCGTTTCCTGGAAGTGCTCGCATGAATCAATGCGGAGTGTGGCAACCATAAACAAAACATCGAGAGGCGATGTGATCCAAGGATGTAGTCTCTGATCGAATTGAGTGTTCAAGTGCGGGGTCAAGCGGCTAAGCGGCGTGGTATGCAGGTTGTCGTGTTTTCGCATATGCAGAGGTCCTCCACGAACAACGCGTGAGTGATTGGGTGGAACACCATTAGGCAACAATTATGCACGTGCTGAACACGAGGGGTATCTACAACCATCATGCGTCCAAGATAAAAGGTCGTTCTCTCTGACTACATCACTGACTTAGGTCCTTCCTCCCCAGGAAATTCGAAAGGAGAATTCCACAAATAGTGCTACTTGAATCGCTTCGATCACGATGGCCAAGAAACCTAAGCGTGCGACGAAGGCCGCCAGTATTGCACCTCCCCGACCCGTGACAAGGTGAGGCCGTTTTCCAGCGTTCAGGCAAGCACGACCTTGCAAAGCTAACTATCTCAGCCCATACACAAGCCCAAGTGTCACCTTGCACTTTGGTCCTACTCTCCAGGAATATCATCTACCAGATGTCCTGCTGCAAAAGTTGGAGAAAATTCCAAGTCGTGATCCTTGGACAGGGAAGATCCACCTCGCAGATGTTGATGCGAGTATTGGTCACGTCTTGATTCACTTCCTGCACACAGGTGTGTATCAGACTCTCAAGGACGAAGGTGTGGAGACCACCGGGAACACACAGCAAGATATCGTCCTCTATGAATTCCAAACAGCTCTCCTTGTACTTGAGGCCGCTAAGAAGTACGGCGTCCCTGGTCTCCAGGACTTAGCGCAAATCGAGCTGGAGCGAAGAGGCAAGGACATGTGTCTACGTGATGCTGTGCGCGTTATTCGAGAGGACCTCATTGTAGGCCCTTCTAGCGAACATGCGTGGCTTCGAGACTACATTGCGATGAAAGTTCGATCGGCCTTCGAACACGACACCTCCGCGATTTTGGCACCAGACTTCTTCGACAGCATCGGAAGCCCTACGTTGACGAAGTGGGTCGCTCAAATTATCGTTGGTCTATACAGCGAAGAAGTAAACACCTTGCGCAGAGAAAAGACTGCAGCCGTTCGAATCCCAGCACCTGGACATGACGAACTTCAAGGGCCTTGTTCGCCTGACATAGCAGCCTTGCCTTCCAAGCGAACATCTGAGGGTCCTAACGGATGGCCTACGTCTGTACAAAAGTTCGGAGCTTTCGATGACTCATCAGCTGCCTGGGGTCCTCATGATCTGGCTCAGGACGGGAGTAGCAGTCAGGAGGCTGATGCGCCTGCAGCCTTACCTTCAGGCATCGAGGAAGACAGTCACGCGACCGAGAGAGAGGACTTCGAGTCATGGGGATCAGACAAAGACAAAGTTGAGACTCAGCACATGCAAGCCGAGCAGGCAACCATTGCGCAATCTCAGGAGGGGGATGATGCCGCCGATAACTCTACCGTCACCAAAGATGAGGAAGACGGAGCAGGTGATGAACCGCTGTGGAGTAGCTTGGGTAGTCTTGCAAAGAAGAAAAAGAAGTCCAGGGTGAATACGGGCTGGTCTACCCCTCCTGTGTGGCCACCTCACCTCCAGCTCGAGGTCGATCCAACATTAGTCATTCTTGATGTCGACACTGATGCTCCAGTTGTATCGGCTGGACAGGAACATCCAGAGACGGAGAAAGATTCTTACGCAGGACTTGGTATGTCAAAAAGGAAGAAATTGAAGGCCAAGTTGGATAAAGAGGCGAAGTTGAAGGAAGAGGAAGATGCGAAGCGTCAGAAAGAGGAGGAAGAGGCTGCTGAGATCAGACGACAGGAAGAAGAAGAGGCAGAATGGATACGCCTAGAAGAGGAAGAAGCCGAGTTGAGGAGGATGGAGGAAGAGGAAGCTGCCGCAGCCGCCGCAGCAGAAGCCGAAGCCGAGTTGGAGAGGATGAAGAGGATGGAGGAAGAACGGATGCGCCTAGAAGAGGAGGAAGCCGAGTTGAAGAGCATGGAGGAAGAGGAAGCTGCCGCCGCCGCCGCCGCAGAAGCCGAGAAGTGCAAGAAGATGGAAGAGAAAGAAGCGAATCCCTGGACTGAGTTTCCTGTAGCTCCACTTAAGAAAACGAAGAAGAAGAAGAGTAAGGAATCAGAACTAACCACTAAGAAGAAGAAGAAGTCCAGGAAACCAGAAGTTATACGCCTAGTAGAAGATGAAGAGAACAAAGAAATCCGCCGGGAAAGAGATAACGTTGCTGCCGCTGCTACTACAACTGATCTGAGCGTTGTCGACTCAGCAGGTGCTACATTTGGTGACGATGACTGTAGACTGCGTGTGGAGCATCTATCACAGAATTTTGGGTGGCAGGACTGCGAACCATGCCAACTCTACATACAGAAGATTGCCATGAAGCTTCACTCAGAGGGGCTACCGATCGAAGATGGGTTCAATACGATCAATTGATCGGAGCAGATAGGAAAATTTACTTTAATCACGAACAAATCTCTCACGAAGCGAACCTGAAGCTCATTATCTACGGTACATCTGCTTGCTCGATTTAGCCAAGACTTCGAAAACCATCATGTGAATCCTGATTAGCGAATCGCACAACCAATAAACATTTACACAAGCTCAGCCACGTTTGCCCACAAGCGGTTCGCAAATGTCTTAATTTCCGCCTCCTTTTAGCTTTGGACCAATGAGGGTGGTTCTAGTCTCATGGGTGGCAAAAGGCTTGGCTCCAGATGTTCAACATGATGATCGTGGCTGACAGCCGTAGCCAATCGAACATATCTGGAAAGGTCTAGGCCACCTGAAACTTACAAGGAGTGCGTGAGGAGCTGACCTGCCTTGTTGCCTTCTTACACGCTTTGTGATTCTATAATAGAGCGACACGGGCCTCCCCCAGAGGAACGAGCGACGACAATCTGCATGCGTATCTGGTCATCTCACCATCTCGTCATCTCTGGGATAACCTCTTCTGGTAGCAATTCTTTTATCTGGTATACTTAGAGACCTCTGGCTGCTGCTATGTGTGCTTGCTGATTGATGGACACACCAGCGCTTGATCCCACAAATTCTGAGCTGTCAATCAATAGACTGAGAAGTGTGTGAGCAAGACGTCGCGGGATTACAGCATCATCGATCATAGCCATCAAACTGAGCTGAGACGTGCAAACCAAACCGTGGACGTTATCGATCCTTTGTCCATTGAAAACCGCAGTTTGCGACTCGCTCCATCAAACGGAGAGATGGATACAACGATAGATCCCTTCTACCAACACAGCGTCCTCGAGTCGCAAAGCGGAATCGGTAAAGCGGAAGTCACGATCAACGAGCTACCGAAATCGAACATCGATGGGGATAAGAACGAAGTGGTGAGAAAAATTGATATCAGAGATACGAAAGAGTCGAGAGACTTGCGTTGGTCGACATGGTGGTTGATAGGTGCTGTGCTCATCGTGATACCTTGTGTGGCAATCGCTGCGTCCGCACCAAAAACAGCGATGGGTGGCATTCGGACGACCGGCTTTCTCATCTGGATCGAGATTTTGTGGACTTCAGTGTGGATTCTCTCGTTTTTCCACTTTTATATTGGCAGAGGCTGGTTTTGGTTGTGCCAATTCGACGCGAGCCTGATGCCGTGGGATACGTTCGTTACCAACATCATGCGGACAAATGTGTGGTTCGCAATGTCTCTTGTGGCATGGGGAAGTTCTTCTATCATGTGTCGCGTTAGCGGCAGCACCTACAACGAAAATTGGCTTATGGTTTTGAGAAAAGTGCTCCTTGCCAGTATACCTGCGACCGCTACATTCTGCGCAGATGATGTTCTCATGGAAGTCATTATCACCTTCCAAGCGGCGAGGATGGGCAAGGAAAGACATCTCAAAACAATGGTGCGACGAAGGAATGCTATTTTTTTGATAGCCGCAATCTATCTTGGGGTCAAGGAGAAGGAGGGTACTTCGCAGGAGCCGCCGGTCAATTCTGCACGTACAGGAAGCTAAGGCTCTCGGTGTCGATCTTTCGCTTCTCGTCTGCCCTCAAGGACGGGCAAGTTCCTCGGGACTCTCTTCCTACGCGATCCACCAGACCTGAAAGACGTGCGGGAACAAGGCAGGCGATATGTCCAAGGTAAAGGCAGTGATAAAGAGTTTGGTCTTGACGGAAAGCCTTTCCCAGATATCTTAGTCGAGCACTACCTTCACGGAGAAAATATGAGTTTCACAGAGGCGTTTCTGCAGGAGAAAATCAACGAAGAGGCCGGCAAAACTTTCAATAACGCACCAGACTTCACAGCGGCGGAAATTATGAAGATGATGGATAAAGACGACAGTGGCGAGATTACGACAGATGAAGTCGCGGATTTCCTCAAGGAGCTGGTGATGGCAATGCGCGACATCGCAAAGAGTGTGAACAGAATGAAACGTGCGGCAAGAAGTGCAAATGCCTTCGTTAGCTTCCTGTTGCTCTTTGTAGTCGCAATTATATACGGTACGTCTCCAACCTCCCCAGACTCTTGTATAAGCAGCTCATGATACAAATCCTCAAAGCCGCATTCTTCGTCAAGAACTTAACATCGTACCTGACGCCGATCTTGACAACCGTCACCGGGCTCTCTTTCGCACTGAGCGGCACCGTTACCGAGTTTATAGCAGCATGCCAATTCGTTTTTTCCAAGCAGCCCTACGACGTCGGCGACCGGGTCACCATCGAAGAAAAGGAGCTCATCGTCGAGAAAGTGTGCCTGCTCTACACCGTCTTCCATCGCTGCTCTGACTGCGCTGTGGAACAAATCGCGCACAAGAAGATTTGCGACTCGTGGATTACTAACCTGACGCGCTCCAAGGGCCTGTTTATCAAGGAGGTCGCGTCCATCGCGGACAAGACGGACAAGTTCACGTCAGCCCAGCTGGAGGCGCACGAAAAGGGCCTCGTGGCGTTCATCAACGAGGAAACGGTTCGCAGGAGGTATCTCGACGTTGGCGGTGTTAAGGTGTCATTACACGCTGAGCAGCAGCAGCTGGTCGCCGATATCAAACTCAAGGAATTGATGGTGAGACATGAGAAAGTGCTCTCGCGGATGAGAGGCCAGATCAGAGATTGGTTGGAAAGATTGGTTCGCGAAGGAGGTGGGACTTCTTCTAGCTCGTAATGCTTCAACGTAAAAATATGCTATTAGATCAGAAAGAAGTGTCTACAGTGGTATCTCATGTCTCCCACTCTCAACTGATCCTTTCGTGTTTACGCTACCCATGCTCGCATTTAGGCGATACTGATAAGGTAATGCTCGCGGCACGATGCTGAAGTCCGTGTCCTGGAGAAGCCGAAGGATGACATTGCATACTATGTTCTAGGTCGGACATGGGTATATACGCGACATGCGAATGAGTCTGAACGAGGTCACCAGCATGTCTTCGTGGGTCAAATTTGGCGGCTAGTGGCTTGGCGTGTCAATCCTGCATGATTCAAGCGATTCATCGTAGCGGCTAAGGTTGACTTGGCCAGTACCTTGCAGGCAACCACCCGCCGCGCTTATGACTGTACAGCTTTGCTTCAACGATACCTTCGCTACCCCCGTTAAGAATGTACCACACCAGGAAATACGCCAGCAAACGTTACATTTTCGGAAATTGTAATCATGCCCTGGCCGGACGACAGCACCCAAGAGGGCCATGGCGCTGGATTCGCGCACGATGTCTCGATCCACCAGGCAGCCGTGAGCGGTGATCTAGCCAAGGTCTCCGATCTGCTAGACGGCGGAGTCGACATCAATAGTCGCGACGAGTCACTCCAGACCGCATTACACTGTGCCATACGCAACGATAGTTCGTCAATGGTTCAATTGTTGCTATCTCGTGGGGCTGATACAAGCTTGCGCGACAACGGGACCTTCGATGAACCTGATGGCTTCCTTCCAGTAGAAACGGCCGCGCGCTGTAATGCCATCGCTGCAATGCAAGAACTCATTGCTCATGGCGTTGACTTTGAGTCTTCCAAAGCTATTTTTCTCGCGGCAAAAGAGAACCACATGGACATGCTTCGTCTACTTTTCGAAAAGATCTCGGGCAGCCTGTTAGATACACTACATCGACGGGCGATTGCGGATGCCCTACGGGTATCGGCCAAGAACCAGAATCTGGAGATGGTACAATTTATATTGCAAAGATTCGGTAGTGAGCGCGACACGAATGCGCATGACGATTACCGGCAATTCGCATTAGACAATGCTCTTCTGTCAGTATTCGATTGCGACTGTGCAGATGGAAACGTTGGCCTGTTGGACTATATTCGTGATCAGCAGTGGGATCACGCGGTCCACATCATCGACGTCTTGATATACGCAGGCGCATCTGTCAATACCCATGGCAAAGACCCACTACGACGCACCGCATTACATGCTGCTATCGCTGAACAAGGACCACCGGTGATTCTCATAACTTCCCTATTGAATCATGGCGCTGATCCGAATTCTCCCGATTCTTCTGGACGCTCGCTATTCTTTCAGCTACTGGGTGATCCTCGCGCGACCGAGGAGCTTGTCAAGATATTCACAGACGCTGGCGCAGTAGTTGGTTCTCCAGCTGCGGGGGGTCAGACGCCTCTACATCATGTACGCAAACTAAGCATAGCCTCCTGGCTAATCGCTTCAGGTGCAGACGTTGGTGCTATGGATTATCAAGGAGAGATTCCTCTACATAAAGCCAGCTCGCTAGGGATGCTCGAATTAGTGTCTTTATACCTAGACGCTGGCAGCCCAGTCGATGTAAGGAATAACTTGGGATGGACGCCGTTCATGCAGTCTTCTTCCGCCAGTATCTCTAGAGCTCTGCTCAACCACGGCACAGATATTCATGCTGCCACATCTCAAGGTACTACAGCTATTCATAAGGCTGCCGCGTCATGTAAACTGGAGTTGGTCTCCTTCCTCTTAGCAAATGGCGCAAATATTCACGGTCGTGCAACACGGGAGGATCTTACGTGTGGCTCCAACGAACGGACCACTGTTCTGGTTGAGGGCTATACACCGCTTCATCTAGCCATTGCATCTGCTCATGGTGCGTTTGTGGGAGCAACTCTCGAGGTGGTGACTGCGCTGCTTAACCATGGTGCTGAAATTGAAGCTAGAGAGGGTACTGGAAAGACTCCTTTGCTGCTCGCGATCAGTAGAAATTACAACTCCAACGCTAAGAGCTGTACACACAACGAAAAAGTTGTGAATTATCTGCTGGAACGCGGAGCAGATCCTTATGCCGTTGATGATGCGGGGAAAGATGCCTTTGAGCTGGCCGGTGACAGGAATTATACACTGAGCGAGGTGGGAAAATTCGAAAGGAAGCCCGCTCCTCCAATATCTGTTCATGAGCGGAATATGGGGCCGGGACGAGGTCGAGGAAGAGGAGCTTACGGCAGGGGCGGCTTCCATTCGTAGGTGACAACGAGTTAGCGTCCCCTGTACTTGAAGCTTGCTTCACGTCCATCGACTCAGTGCAGAATTTGTGGGATGGGACATTGTCGAACAGGTGGATTCTGTAGATAAACTGGCACCTGTATTGACACATGTAAATATGCATTTACTATCAAGATCGAAGCAACCGACGACAAACTAACGTCCAATACTCAACCAGCTACTCCACAAGACTATACTGGCCCCTGGATTGCCTTCGAAAGACACACCACTACAAACACCAAGACCGATGTGCTACCAACAGGAGTATATTGGCTTTGACATTCCGACAGATTACCTGGAACGGTAAGTGGACGTTCGAAAGAGAACGTAGGCTAAGATCTTATGTATTTTTGAACGTCATACTCCGTATCATGCCTACCACCCTAACCCATCACGTTCAAGCAACTTTTGCACTGGCGCAAGTATGACACCATATTGCTTGGTGTCCTGTAGATTTACAGCATAGCCTACACCACTGTGCCATTGCTGCGCTTGAACAGCTCGATATCCCTTGGCTACAAGCTCTGGTACCTCGTCGTCACTTATATAGTGAACGTCAATCACCTTGCCACTTATCGTTCCAAGAACCTCAGCAAGCTCCGTAGCAGTCAGTTTCTCACTCGCGAGTGGGATTTCCTGTCCCGAAAATGTTTCGGGCTCTTCGAAGGCTGCAGCCGCGAACTTCGCGATATCTTGGGTATCGATGAGATCAAGCCGAGTTGAAGGCGTATACGCTACAGACAAACGCTGCTCCTCTGCCAGGCCTGGAAACATATGCTCGACTTCAGGGCGGCAGAAGTTCTGAATGAAGAAAGCAGGGCGTAGAATGGTCCAACAAGTAAAATTGGACGTTCTCACTAACCCTTCTATTGTCTGCTTGTTCATCCAGTACCATCCTAGTGGATAGCTGTCCGCATCCCAGCCAGGGAAACTCTCATGCTCTCCGGCGCGAGCTACACTCGAGTACACAATGCTCCGTATATTTGAGTTCGAAGCGGCTGCCAGGATGTTCTTCGCAAATAAGATTTCGTTGTGTGGATGGGCGGGAATAGCGAAGAAGAGAGCCTCGGTGCCATTGAGGGATGCTTCTATAGATTTTATGTCCGTAAGATCGCCCTTATGCACGATTGCACCAAGGGACTGCAATTCCTGCGAAACGTCTGATGATGGATTTCGAACCAAAGTGTGTACAGTGTAGCCGCGATCACGGAACACCTTGATAGCTGCCTGCCCTTGTTTTCCGGTGCCTGGTAGGATCGCGATCGAGTTGACCATAACGTCTGGAGGGGATAGAATGCATATGAAAAGAGGATACTGCAGACTTAAGATGCAATACGCTTCTGAGCTTTATAGTCGCTGATTACAAATACTGCATCAGGTTTAGCGTCGGAGCATCGGAGGGTGCTTCACTCCATCATTTCTAAGCGAATACTCTTTTTTCTACTTCTATACCCGTGTGCAAAACGAGTCAGTTCATAGACAGTCAAGGTACTACAGCTATCCATGATGCCACAGCGTTGTGTGAACCAGAGCGAGTGCCCTTCCTCTTAGTAAATGGCGCGAATATTTACGGTCGCGGAAGAGGAGCTCACGGCAGGAGCAGCTTTCATTCATAGCGTAGTAAAGTGATTTGTGTGTTCTCCATTGGTAACAAATCCTTGGCGCTGCATCGTGTAGTACTCTTAACTATGAGTCCGTGGGCGTCTGTCATTCCCTACTCTAAATGCCTTCTACACTACGTCTTACAAGACAAACATTACCGCCGTAACCACACTGACCGCCCATCCCACCGTCTTAGCACTAACATGAGCCCCAACACTCTCCCAAGGCGTCTCTTGGTCCGGTATACGGCTCCCCATCACTGTATTGTTCGCAGTCATACACACGAACTCGACGCTCCTTTGTACCCGATTTGATTTTGGGTCAATAAACCGTCCCAGTAGGACGAGTGGGATTGTCTGACGCGTTAGGAGATCATAAGTCTCATTCGCACCAACTTTGGCGATCGTATCGGACGCTTGGAGGCCTATGACTGTTCCGAACGTGCTGTAATTGTCGGGGATATTCACCTCGGGCATGTCGGTGTAGGCGCACGTGTTATTTGCCACGTCGATGAACTTGGTGTCTGTGTAAAGTTAATAGCTAGATACACAAAAGTTATAGATCCCGGGTTTCAAGTCGATAGTATCTGTTCTGTCCGGGACGTGAGAAGAAAAGAGAATGATCATTACGGGATCTTATGCAGGAACAACGGAAGGAACATACTGTGTGAACCGCCTCTCAACATTGGACACGCCTTCTTGAACGCTTCTGATGTGGACCCAGTGTCGGGGCTAGGACAGTAGGTCGCTACTTCGCTTAGTGCATTGGTCAGATGGTCTATGCAGACCGAGCTGATCACACCGCTACAGCTATTCTCTCCTCCGGATTCTAACGTCGCATTGATGTTGTTGTATTGGTAGCTGCAGTATCCTGTGCCATTGCGCACGTTTCCAGGAGCGGAGATGTAAGCAGTCGCATCGACGTCGCTCCCATCATTCCATTCGGTTTCTCGAGATCCAATGAGGACAGAGACATACCACGAGTCTTCACCAGCGTAGGAGGAGTTCCAAGTGAATTCGTGCTGGCCGGTTGAGTTCACGCTTCTGTAATCCCGGAAATTGCTTGGGCAGGAGTAATTCTGGGCATTGACAAACGTTGTGGTCAGGAGTCCCGATATTGTAAAGAGCAGTGACTTTCGATGGTTAGACGTCCACATATTGTCGTAGCGTAAGGGTGGAGCCTCAAGAGATTATTCGTCTGCACTTGCGAGAATACATCTATTTGTATTCTAGTGTATGTGGCGCCTAGGTAAAGTATTGGACCAACTCAATAGCCAAGAGCAATGACGTGCACAATAACTTTAATATGCCAAGTCCCCACGGTCCTGTGGTTATAATTGACCCGATCGACAGAGTTAGGCATCCCGTATCCGCCCAAAGGAATATTGTGTTACAGTAGATCCATACTGCTGTAACGCTGAAGATCTACAGTTAACTGCACTGCGCCGCTGACAGTAATGCCTGTAAGCGCTGGGGTTTGACTCCGTGCTGCGCCAGCGGGTAAAATAAACGGTACTACGGCACACTTCCATGTGACCAAGGGAGCTCTTTCATTGGCTGCAAGCGCAACGAAGGAGCGACGCTATCCACCATACTAAGCGAGGCACCAAATACTTGGCCTTTGTTGGCATGATCGATCTTCCCTCAAGAAACATTGTGCGTAGGTAACTATGTGTAAGGTTGATTCCTTTCGACTGTGCCGCATAGCGGAGGGGATCCGATCCCGATCTGGACTGGTCCTTGGCGGGACGATGCCGAATTACAGAGATTGTTAACTAACTTATCCGGAGGCGCGGAGCCCACTTAGAGCCAATAGTTATTGCAAAGTGATGGTTCGCCGAACGACGTATCAAGCCATTGCTGTTTTGACATCCAAGTGGATAGCGACGGTGTAGATGGGGGGAACGATCATCTACGGTACAGCTTCGCCTTCTGTCGAGCTGCACGGTACCTTAATAGATCTATAACAGTGGTTCAAAGCAGAAACATTAGGTATTATTTTAGAGGATTAGCTCTTCCAAGAGAGCTAGGCGAATTTCGCAACAGCCGCGCCTACTATAGGAAGCTGCAAAACGGCCTATATTATCACCCGGTTCTGTACAGTCCCGGTCCACATCCTGCAGGCCCTAGCAAAACATACTAACAAAATGACGTAGATAAGGTGGCTATGAAAAATCAATACAATGATGCCAATAAGACAAGCTATAAGGTTTTCGAGCTCGCGGCAATTGGACGTCCAGTTACAAGATATAAAGCAGCGCACTTTACTCTGCAAGAAGAGGCACACATGCTTCTTTTCGGGCTTTCTTCCATCGATATCAAAGTTCAAAGAGCTCTAAAATGGCCGGCGCACTCTACCTAAGTGCTCTTTCTAGCGTCGTACTTATTGTCGTTGCCCAGTATGCCAATGGCACTATCATCGAGCCGGCAGCAGTAGCATCACCATCAACACTCGTCGATGCGGGAAATATGGAACGTCAGGCCAGTGGAACGACAGGACAGCATCTCCAAAAACGGAGCTGCACCAAGGATAGCTGGGAAGGTGGCGAGATTCTTACCAAGCCTGCTGACAACGTCCAAATCGTGATAGACTCGGTGTCTGGACCGGCATCTGTCACAGTGACCAAAGATCGCACTCAGAGTTGGAGCACCTCCATGAGCATTGAAATTGCCGACATACACAGTCTCGGTGTCAGCGCTGACTTCAACGAATCAGTCAGCTCCGGCAGCCCAGTGTCTATCACTATCCCCGAAGGTCAGAGTGGAGCACTCGGGTTCACAGCGACATTGTCGTGCAGCACTGGAATGGGCCATTGCGATAGTGGTGACATGAAGGGCGAAGTTTGCTGTAAGCCAATCTTGTCGTGCCGGATTAAAGCTGTAGTCTAATCAAGTGGCAGGGCCTACGATGAATGGAGACGATGTGGCGGGAACGTACAGCGTTATAGTTGAATCTTAGATCAAGACAACGCGGGCTAGGAATGACTTTGGCTAAAAAGTCTTTCGAGAACTTCCTCACGCTCAAAAGCGTATCTTAGTGTTTAGCGGATCACATAACGTTGTTCCAGATATACAGTCAGCGTCTGCCCTTCGGTCCGAAGCCTAGTAGCTCTGTTCTAGCCTTTACCCCACAATACTGACTAACGTACTCAAGATCGGATCTCGGAAGTTCCACGAGCCGTGGGGTTGCCGTAACAGGATAGAGCGCAGTGTAGCCCCAAGACAACCAATATAAGTATCTAGAAAATGTGCACTGATTGGATCTCGCAGACCCTCCCATCGTGCGACTGTCGCGCAATCTTATCGTGCATACACATATTCGATAAACCGGAACCTGTCTTCCGGAACATACGCCAACTACAGCCATGGTAGACGTGCCTGTCCGACCTCCATTCGATGTAGGGTACAAGAATGGCAGCGGTATGCCTGGTTCCAGCCAGACCTTCGACCTTGAAGCTACGCGAAATATGATATTGGCTTTCAACATCAACCTTGAATACATCGCCCAACAGCAACCGGAATACAAACACACTACCCTCTCTGCATCCGGCGTTAGCGATCTAAGTGACTACGACGTGACTGTATCGCTTTGGCAAAGCACGCATGAAACGCGCCGCCCGTGGTCCAGTGGAAGACCGGTTATCTACTATATCCACGGCGGTGGACAAATAGCTGGAACTCGATTCTTCGGTGTCACAGAAGCCATGGCGCACTTCTCGCCGGCGGACGACGTGGTCTTTGCGAGCCCGGAATACAGGCTCGCGCCCGAGCATCCGGCGCCCGCAGCTGCGTACGACGTGTATGCAGGGCTACAGTATCTCGTATCACATGCGAAAGAGTTGAATATCGACCCGGCAAGAATCATACTCTATGGGAACTCAGGCGGCGCAGCGATTGCGGCGTCAACCAGCCTTCTCGCACGTCAACTCAACGGCCACAAAGTAGCCGCGTTACTACTGAACATTCCGATGCTGGACGATAGGCACGAAGACTATGTGAGTGCAAGTCAGTTCCGGACGGAAACAATATGGCCTGGGTGGACGGATGAGTGGGCCTGGAATGCTATCTTGGGGTCGGACAGGAATGATCCCACGGGCGTGAGGGTTGCCGGTCGGGCTGAAGAGCTATCGAATCTACCGCCAACATTCATCGACGTTGGTGCCTGCGAAGTCTTCAGAGACGCGGCGGTCAGATTTGCGACGAGGATTTGGCAGGTTGGAGGAACCGCTGAACTACATGTGTGGCCTGGGGTGTACCATGGGGCCACCATGTTTGAGCCGCAGATTGCCGTTGGAAAAGAAATGGTGCGATGTCAACAAGGGTTTCTGCATAGGATACTGGGGATGAGCGAATGAACGATGAGCCCTTCGGGGGATCATGCGGATAGCTGGATATCAACCATCGAAGAAGGTTAGCGATGCAGTATTGGCGATCTCTCTTGTCCAGAATAGCTTAACAAACAAGCATTGCGATGATGCCATGCGCGAACAGCAGTGAGGGTGCTCACCGAGGTTGATATAAAGATACATAATCGCAATTGAACTTCCCAGGTAGCCTTTCGACTATTAAGTTTATCGCGCTCGGCCAGTTGCGTGCTCTCTGATGCGATGCGGACAGTTGACGTGTCTGATTCGTTTGGGGCGAAGGTTATCTTCAATTTGCCGACTGGCAACTACTCGCTCTCAGGCAAGCTGAAATCACTGTTCTGAATCCCGGTATCGATCCACGGGGTCAGGAAAAGCCAGGCACAACCGAGAAGGAAGAGCTTGGATTACTCTTATGTCGGGTGGTGGGGGTCCAAATCCCGTTCGCGCGCAGGGTCTCCGAGCCGCGAAAGTAGGCTGTGGTTTCCCCGCATCCCCACTCCACTTTCTATGCCCCGGAAGAGACAATATCCAGCCACAGAAATCACGATGCTGCGCGCACACGCAAAACGACTTGCTGTATCCGGCGATAGATCTGAAGTCCGATCAATAGACAAAGTCCAGTGAAGCAACGATATCGCAACACGTCGCACGTCTCGACTCAACTCTTGCTACCCGCCATTATCGAAGCTGACCGGTGACTCGTCTTTGGCCCTCGTGTAGAATCAACACCAAACATGTCACACAAGCTCGATATCCTGATAGTCGGCGCTGGCCTCTCAGGCCTCGCCGCTGCGATACAATGCGCATTGTCAGGGCATTCAGTCACGGTATTGGAAGGCGCACGGGAGCTGGCTGAGGTATGTGTTCGCGCTCACGGCACCGAGCCGCTGCACACAGCATTCATACTTATCACGACTCCAGATAGGTGCCGGCCTTCAGTTGACACCTAATGCCACACGTCTGCTCCAGAAGTGGTCGGTATACGACACTATCCGCGGCCAGGTCTGCGAACCCGTCACATTGACTGTACACAACTATCGCGGCAAGATCCTCGCACACGAAGAGAACTTTGATGCAAACATCCGCCGCAAATACGGCGCGCCATTCTCCGATTGCCATCGCGTGGATCTGCAGCAAGCGCTGGTGAAGCGAGCGAAAGAGTTGGGCGTGATTGTTGTATTGAACGCGAAAGTGACGAACGTAGACTTTGGCTCAGCTACTGGCGATAGAGCGCGCGTGAAGACCTCTGAAGGCCAGAAATATGACGCCGATCTCATCGTCGGAGCAGACGGACTGTGGTCTTCGTGTCGATCTACAATGCTCGGACGAAATGACCCTCCACTACCCACCGGCGATCTAGCATATCGCATCGTGCTCAAGGTTGACCAGATCAGCGATCCGAAGCTGAGGGAGATGGTGCAATCTCCGGCGTGTCGATTCTGGGCAGGTCCAGATGCACACGTTGTAGCATACAGTATGCGCGGCGGCAATATGTACAATGTGGTTTTACTCGTGCCTGATGATCTCGAAGAAGGTGTTGCAAGGACAGAAGGCAACTTGGACGAGATGAAGAAGTTGTTTGAGGGATGGGATCCAGTGTAAGATGCTCTACCCGCCTCACCCTATGACCGCACTATAGAATTAACATCGATTCAGGTTAACCCAGCTACTCGGGTGTGTGGACAAAGTAGACAAGTGGAAACTGATGCACCGGGCCGAGATGGAATCCTGGATCAACGCGCAAAACAATCTTGTGCTCATCGGAGATTCATGTCACCCGATGCTTCCCTATCTCGCGCAAGGCGCGAATTCTTCTATCGAGGATGGTGCCGTTTTGGGACTTTTACTTGCACCTGAGCATCTCAGCTCGAAGGAGAAGCTACCAGATACGCTTCAACTCTTTCAACAATTACGGAAAACACGCGGCGAAGGCATCGTACGGGAGACATTCAAGCAGCGAAAAGACTTTCACCTCCGCGACGGGCCAGAACAGGAAAGGCGCGATGAACTGATGTTGGGCCAACTTGGCAAGGAACTTAAAGGCGCATTTCCAAGTCGGTGGACATGTCCCGAGGTACAGCCTTGGCTGTACGGATATGACGCGATGGATGAGGTGAAGGCGGCTGTGCGGGCAAAGTCATCGTGATGGCGCAATAGCGTAGGAAAAGAAAGTTTGCGGGACGTTGAGAGAGAGGCACAGAAGCCAGCCTCGGATGTAAGGTAAGAGACATACATCTGATTGGGTGGATGGAAGTAATTGTTAGCAAACGTGCGATTCATGGTTGATGTTGCACCAGGGTCATCGTGAAACGGCCCACATGGTGGCTGCCGAGGCCCGTCGCAGGTCGCACCGTCGACATGCATGAGACAGCCCTACGCCATTCTACTTGGTTGCAATCTCTCCACGCCCTGGAGAAGATCATGGGTGGTAATTGAAGGATGGCTGGGCCCTTGGCGGAAGATGCTGTCTCGTCCTTTGCCATCGCTGGCAAGTTCCAGATCAAGCAAGGCATTGACGACAGTAAGCCAGCCGAGCTGACATGGCTTGCTAAGAAACAACGACGCAAAGGTTCCATATCGTTGGTAGAGCTTATACATATGTTTGACAGCGGAGCCTTTTTGCGTGAACGACTCCGAAAGGCTGTGGTTAGCTCAAGTCGGATACTTTGCTTTGAAGGTATAACGACATGCCATTGCATTTCCTCCACGATGCGAGATGTCGCACCGAACATTGCGCACAGTATTCACAACTCACTCGTGCCAACCCATGACTTGTGTCACTCGTCAAGGTTGATACGATACCCCAGTAACCCGTCCGCCGCTAATGCAACGGGAATCCTGCTCGATGATCGAAACGGTCACTGGAGTCATGCGCCCACATTCATCCTTGGTCGTCGAAACAAGAGCTTCACTTGTCCCAACAGCATGCCGAGGCTAACCCAGGGTAAAACACACGACATGCAGAGGTCACCCGACAGATTCAGTGGTCAGGCACGGAAAACATGGGTACACTTCCCTGTACACATCAGCCTCTTCCCGCACAACGGGGCAACGCACCCACAAAAACGTCGCGTTGATGGGAAATGCCTTGGCATTCCTTTCATCACACCTCGCCGCAGAAGCAATGTTTCGAAACCCAACGGCGTAACTCGTTGTAATGGCACTCCGAGGAAGTCAACCACGAATTCGTGTATAAGATGTAGGCCTCCAACACAGATTTGATGGGCATCGACTTCGATCCTACTTTCGCTTCAACCTTACCACCTTCGCTTCCAGCGCCAGTCTTGTTCTTCGTTGTGCAGTGCACCTACATTCTTTTGTTCAAACAAACTGTTCTTCACAGACTATTTAGCATCATACTTCCAAACCAACTGTTCAACAATATCTCAAGATGAAGTACTACGCCGCCCAAGTTTTCGCTCTTGCCAGCATTGCAACCGCATTCCCGCATCCCCAGCTTCCCTCGCTACCATCCTTCTCGCTACCAACCGGAGGACTAGGCTCTGGTCTAGGCTCAGGTCTTGGTGGAGGATTGAGTCTACCAACCAACCTTCCATCCCTCGGAGGTGGAGGTGGCCTCCCATCACTCGGAGGTGGCCTCCCATCACTTGGAGGTGGAGGTGGAGGCTTCTCCCTCCCCACCAACCTCCCTTCTCTCGGAGGTGGCCTCCCATCACTTGGAGGTGGAGGAGGAGGCTTCTCCCTCCCAACCAACCTACCCAGCCTGGGTGGAGGCAGCACCGGTACAGGCGGCTCAGGCCTGAGCAGCTGGCTCAGCGGCCTAGGCGGAGGCCTCGGCGGCGGCCTTGGAGGACTCGGTGGTGGCGCCGCGGGTGGTGGTGCTACGACGACAGCCGACGCCGTTGTGCCCTCACCCTCAAAGACTGGTGCTGCTGCAGCACCCTCAGCGACTAGCGGAGGCAACACTGGCGGTGCCGGCACGATCGGCGCAAACTGCCAAGCTCAGTCTGGATCTTCCAACGCTTTCGGAGGAAGCGAGAACGGCATCGTAGACAAGAACTGCTGCACCGATATGACCATCGTCTTCGCTCGTGGTACGGGAGAGATGGGCAACGTCGGAAGCGTCTCTGGACCGCCAATGTTCAAGGCTATCCGCGAGAAGCTGGGCAACGACCGTGTTACCGTCCAGGGTGTTGACTACGCTGCTTCCGCTGCTGGTAATGCCAACCTCGGTGGTGACGGTGGCCAGAAGATGGCCGACCTGGTCAAGCAAGCCAAGTCTCAATGTCCTGACACCAAGGTCATTGTGTCGGGTTACTCTCAAGGTGCCATGGTCGTACACAATGCTTTCAGCAAGGGTCTTTCTGCCACGGATGTTAGCGGTGCTGTCATGTTCGGAGACCCATTGAAGCGCCAGGCCATCAGCGGCCTTTCAGCCGACCAGATCAAGCAATTCTGCGGTACTGCTGATCAGATCTGCGGTGGTGGTGGTGATGGCGGTGCGACTGGAAGCCATCTCAGCTACGGCAGCAGTGCGGATGCGGCAGCTTCTTTCGCTATCCAGGCCGCTGGCCTTGCTTAGGTGGATTGAGGTTGGAAGGTGAACTCGCACTGCTGGTCCGTGTGAGCTACAAAATGAGATATGCGCAACTGTTTGGGATGGCGCCATGAGACGCTAGTGTACATTTAACTGTAGATACTTGACCACTCATTGTCACTCATTCAATTCTTCAAACTATTCTTTACCACCATATTTCTTGATCAGCTCATTCATGATACTGACCGCGCCGCTCCGATAACCTCCCCCGAACATCGCATAGTGGTTGAGGTGATGGTACAGCTCATATAGCTTTACTCTATCTTCGTACTCTTCGACCGGTTCCGTCTTCGGACACAGCTTGTGGTACTCCTTCAGGAAGGGCCCACCGAAGCCACCAAACATGTTCATGATACCTAGTTCAAACTCGCTATGCGCGTAGCATGCCGAAGAGTCGAAAATCACGTCTTCAGGCTCGCCCTTCTTGGCACCAATAAAGCCTGCGCTGGCATTGCCGCTCCATAAATCGCCATGCACAACGACTGGCGTGACTCCCTTGCCGTTGTTAAGATGGCTGTCACCGATTAAGCGGGGTACGACCTGTGCCGCAGTCTGCTCAACTAGCTTCTTCACGTCGCCATCCTTCCTCCCGTTCTGCTCCGCGCATCGCAGAATGAATCTGAGACGGTTCTCCGCGTAGAAGTCTGCCCAGCTCTCCTTGTAGCTGTTATCTTGTGGTGTATCGCCGCAGCACGTCGTCACTGGAAACCCAAATACGGGCTTGTCGTAGCCTTCTGGTATGGGCGCGGGCGTGGTATGTAGCTTAGCGAGCTTGGCTGCCAGAGATGGCGCTTTGGACGATTTCGAACTCGATCGTCCGGTGAGGTGGAGGAACTCAGTCACGAGGAAAGAGATAGAAGGCTGCGATTCGAATTGTCCGTAACCAAGTGGTTGAGGACATAGCGAGGATACGGCATGGTTGATGGCTTTGAGGGATGCGTACTCGCCTTCATCGCGCTGCCAGTCAATTAGCCAGCCCGGGTGTGCTAGGAATTGCGCCTACCTTGGAACATAACACCCGCCTCTTTCCCGTTACCAGTCTTCATGAAGAAGGTCTTTTCGGTGCCATCGTCAAGTTGCGACGTGATCTTCCACGTCGATGCCGAGCTCGAGCCGCCTCCGCTTGCAGAGGACACTCTCGTTTTCTCGGGGTTCAGGCCGAGGCGATTGACGACTGCTGAATTGAGCTTCATGTTGGATTCTGTCGTGAGAGAGCGCGCGAGCTTGAACATGAACGTGTCATGGTGGTGAAGGCGGCTGATGTGTTTTGAGATGAGTTGACGGTGACGTCAGGTTTAGCATCCGATGTGGTGGGAGCTCCCGAGGTCGTGTCGCGCCGACGCGTCCCCGGCGTTGCGACTACAACCACTCGCACACACAGTAACAGGTTGTGCTGTGGGACGACACCTAGGTCCTTAATACCGTGTGCATAGTCATGCGCCAGTCGCCTCCGAGTAGCCAATCCAATGAAGCTTTCACACGTTGCAGATACTCAGCCTCGTGGCTGCCTAAACCACAGTCGACCCGAATGTTCGTGACGCCCGTGACCTTCACCGCACCTCAACTCCACTATCGCGTCTTTCGTAGCTCGACACTATCATGATAGGTTACCTTCGAGCCCCATTCGCGCACTGCCATTAGCAGGTAGAGCCTATATCTCCCGCGCGACGAGCGACAACTCGACCGAACCACGATACCAGCGTACTTTTCATCATCATGGACACCTCGCAAGCAGTCGTACCTCAGCCCCCACATTCAGCTTCGCACTTGAGACCTGAAGAACCTGATAGCCTTCTTCCAAGTCTTAGCGCGCATGTGTACCAATCTATTGATTCAGAGAATGGGGAGATTCGTCTACTCGAGGTGTTACCCGGGCGCTACAACGATGTGATCAAGATCAATCTCTACGCGAAAAACCTCAACGACAAACCGACATACGAAGCACTTTCTTACGCGTGGGGTACCATACCTAGCTCAAACCGAGCCATCATCAACTGCTGTCCAGTACCTGTGAGAGAAAGCCTTGATTTGGCACTTAGACGTCTCCGAAACCCCAATCAATCTCGCATACTATGGATTGACGCTCTGTGCATCAACCAAAGCGACACCAGGGAAAGATCACATCAAGTCCAGCATATGGCTACCATTTATAAGTCTGCGACTACGGTGGTGATATGGCTTGGCGAATGGCAGGCTCTCGAAAAATGCTCAGACTTTCCAACCAAACCAGAATGTCAAACGATGTGGATACGACACCTGAACCGCTCGATCAATCTCATGTTTGTTCCCGGCGAGTCTGATCCACATCATCTTCATCTGTGGCAGCACGCTCTGGAGATTAGTAGGCTACCCTGGTTCCGCCGTCTTTGGATTATTCAAGAGCTCTTATTAGCCTCCTCCCAACCAAAGTTCATGATTGGCGATTGCGTGGTTAACTCGAGCGACTTGTTTACAGCCTTGAAAGGAGTTCTATCGGTCCTTTTACAAGATAGATACTCTTACAGGTTGAAGCGCGAGCAAACGACGCCAGGGTTAGGGACACTTCCTCGTTCCTCAACATCACAAGCGATGGGACCAAATCAATCGTTTCACCATTTGCTGATGTTGCACAAAATGCTAGAGAGCTTCCTGGACTCTGGTGGAGCAAGCCTCTATGAGTACTCGGTATTGTCACGATACGCTATGGCTACAGACTCACGAGACAGAATTTACGGTTTGCTTGGCATCGTCAAATCTTACGTGGCTGAGCCTATAGTACCCGATTACACAAAGGCTTGGCCACAAGTTCTCGCTGAGGCGACGATAGTGATGATCTCAGAAGATGGACAATTTCCTTACATGAGTGATGAGTTTGCTTTTCCTTCTGCGGATCGACCCCAAGAAGGCTATCATACACCTTCGTGGGTGCTAGACTTTTCCCAATCGATTTCAGGCCATGGATCAATCGACTTTCCAAGCTACAATATAGACAGGCTAAGTTCAGAAGTGATCGAGCGCCGACGAAAGTCACTACGTCTGTCGGACGATTTTCGAACGCTTTATAAACACGGATGGTATTTTGGAAGCATTAACAGAACTTACTTTTTCACACCGGAAGACTCTCTCAGAAGCCCTGGGGAGATTGCCATGGAATCGGCGGCTGGACTGTACGACTTTTATCATGAGGCCTTGAAGCCGAGCGATATAACACCGAATCTCCTTTATGAAGCTCTAATCAAGAGGCACTACTTCGGCTTTAGTCTTGAAGAATTCACCTCTTCTTTACTAGGCCATAGAGATGATTTCCTACTATCATATCGAGATGGAAGTCCAAGCTTGTTCTCGCATCGTCGGCAGAGTGTGGGTGGGCACCCGTTCAGCGTATTCCTTACCGATAAGGGCTATGTCGGATACACATGGCTTGACGAAAATTCGGATATTCGAGTAGATGACATACTTGTCGCTCTTTTCGAACATCGAATGCCTTTCATTCTACGACCAGTCGAGGGAGGTTCCACCTATCGAATGGTCAATCTAGCTCATGTATCGGAGCGTAGTGGTAAATATTCCCAGTTTTACCAGTTATCTGGGTTCGAATTTTACCAACCCCATGAGGATCCGCGTGATTGGGTTTATGATGAAGCAGAGGGCTGTTTCGAGTATGCTATCGTTTAGGTCTGCCTTGACGCCTGGAAGTCCAGCAGCAACACCAAAAGTCGACCCCACGCGGATAGTACTATGGAAACGCACCAACAGTAAACAGCCCCACACGGAGCTCGGACTAGATTCCCATTCGGGAGCAGAGTCAATCCTCGAATTGCCTCTCGCAACTGGAACTCTATGGGAGCTTGGCTCGCGTACACTTTGTACACGGCGATCGGATTTGTTATCCACATGGACCATGGAACCCTTGAGATACGTTATAACGCATGGTCTTGGCGAATAGCTATGACCAACGTGAGCTCCACTTTGAAGTGGGCATGCCGAGGTACAAGAAAGTTAGTATCGCACGAGCCTTCATCGGCCCTTTTCTCAACCAATATACATACCTCGAGTACGTGTCAACATTCATTCGAACATCAACAAAAAGATTGCACCAGCTTTTCATCATGGATTCATTCACAGCAGGCGACATCACTCACAAGAACGGCGAAGTCACCCACTACTACGAAGGAGGATCAAAAGACGGTATACCCCTCATCTTCATCCATGGCTGGCCGGATATCGCGGAGTCGTGGAAGCACCAGCTCACGCACTTCGCTGCTGGGGGAAAGTACCGTGTAATCGCGCCCGACATGCGCGGCTACGGCGACTCTACTGCTCCCCGCAAGAAGGAATCCTACGCCCTTGAGGTCCTCATTCCAGAGCTCGTCGAGTTCGCCGAGCAACTTGGCGTCAAGAAGGCAGTCTGGATCGGTCATGACTGGGGATGCCTCATCAACGCGCTCTCCGCTCACTACCCCGAGCTCTTCATCGCTCAGGCAAACCTCTGTGTACCCTACCGGAGCTTAGAGCTCGGCTTGGACTACATCAAGACCACGATAAACCGCGACATCTACCCTGAGAGCGAGACCGAGTGGGGTCAATGGGAGTACATGAGATACTACGAGCTACACCCCGAAGAGAGTGTCAAGGCCTTTGACGGCCACCTGGATGTCATCACTAAGATCTTGTACGTAAAGGGTGACCCTAGCAAGTGGGGACAGCCATCACCCACGAGTCGGGTCCTGAGAGATGGCGGTTGGTTCGGTGGACACCCAGAGCAGCTTCCCGACATCCCGCTCGAATACACATCGCTCGATGAGTCTCTTTACTCAAGCCTGCTCAAGAGCAAGAAGAAGCATGGCTTCTTTGGCGCGAACGCGTACTACTTGAACCACAAAGCGAACGCCGAGTATGCCAAGAGCGAGAAGAATGGTGGTGTGTTGGAATTTCCATTCCTCTTCATTGATGCGAAGTTGGACGCTGTGTGCTCGCCTAGCACGGCACCAAAAATGGCTGAGATGCAGAAGCAGTATGTAAAGAATTTAACATACAAGACGATTGAGGCGGCGCATTGGGTGCATTTGGAGAAGCCGAAGGAGGTTAACGAGACGTTGGAGAACTGGCTGGCTACTCTGTAAAGGGTATAGCTCTCACAAATATTCACATGCAGATCTTACAGCGAGTTACCGGCGTAATGTATTTCCATTCTCAAGGACATATTGTGCGAACAGCGTCATTTTCGTTTCTACACCATAGCGCCATCAACGACTAACAGTCTCTAAAGTGTCGCATTTCTAGGATTACTTGGGTGAAGCATAATTTGGGTCCCGCAGATTTCTCAGCATAGTAGTCTGTCCTGCACAGATAAATGTGAGATAGTCAGGGTTGTTCTTGATAGCTGTGTAGCCAATGGTCAATTCCTCTCAATCACCTTCGAACAACACAACCAGTATACATGAAGGCGTAAGTACGACTGCCCAGCATGTCATGAGCATTCTCTTCGAACGGTTGCATGCATCACCGTATCAGGCTCACTGGTGTTGGTATTCATGACGAGGCTGGCGAATCATGCTCGAGCAACGAACCAGGTGTCTTCGCCTTTACAGGGGATTCGTTTATGGGACAAGCCGAGGAGTTGCGAATCTGACGTAAATTCCGTCAATAGCACTTTGTAAAGCGATATCAGCATCATGCCTCGAGATCAACTGTAAGTCTGTTCTGGGGCTTTGTGCTATGGATGTCAGCTGTTATAGTGTTGTGCAGCCGACAAGATAGAATGTGCTACACCTGTCTACCACATGGAGTACCAACCACTCGGTGATGGAGAGATTCGTTTGTTATCAATCCGACAGCCACTTGATAGCCTACCATGAGTTGAGTCTCAAGCGAGACAAGGTCTTCATCCTGAAGAACGCGTGAATTGTGAGCTCCTTCATCGCACCTTTCACAACTGTCGCATATCATCGACCTTCTCTCTTGAAGGCCCGGAAACCGCCTTCGTTGCTTTGAGTTACACCTGGGGCAGTCAAGATGACCAGGAACCAATCTATGTCAACGGAATCGCGATCAAAGTACGAATAAATCCCAAGAACGCCTTGGAGGCATTGCGAGAGACTGACGTCGTGAAGAGAGGGTGCATGATGTGGGCAGACGCAATGTGCATCAACCAAGGAGATCCCAAAGAGAAGAGCAAACTAGTCCCTAAAATGGGGGAAATATATCGAAAGAGTTGGTGTGTGATCAATTGGCTGGGAGATGCCACCGCCGGCAGTGACGAAGCGTTCGATTTCATCAATGGAGTATGTGAGGCTCGTGAGCGAAGTCTCGAAGCGACAACTGAATTCCTGGAATACATGTCAACTTGCAAACGTCTATGTACAGTATGGGAAAGCCTAAAGGACGTTGTACATCGACCGTACTTTTCTCGCCTGTGGATCATGCAGGAACTAGCGATGAGTTGCGACCGAAGCCTGGTCTTATGCGGTAAAAAGATCACGACATGGGGACGCATGCGGAAGGTTTACCAATGCCTTAGAATTCTTGAACGTGACTTAGAGGACGATAAGTTCAAGGACATCCTCAGAGACGTAATCTTGGGCCACGACGATGTCAAGAGTGCTTACGAACGCGTACCAAACTATCATTGGAAAGTCCTTGACGATTATCATGGACTTCAGGACCTAGAAGCGAGGCAGACCGACCACTACCAAAGGTGCCTTATCACGCGTTGTCGCATAGCAAAATGCCAACGCCCACAAGACAAGGTTTATGGCATGTTGGCCCTCCTCAGAGACGACCTTGCGTCGCAAATCGTTGCGAACTACGAACACGACCTTCAGACAGTATATGCAGATTTCACTAGGAAATGGATCGAAACTATGGATGATTTGAATCTTCTCGGTCATTGCGGTGGGTATGGCGATCATTACCAACGTAAAGAAGCGCTGGATTGTTCGTGGGCTGTCAATCTGTCGAAAGAGATCAAGCAGCAGACAAGCAACTACCACTGTCGTTATCGCGCAAACGGAGACATGAAAGCGTGCTATCGCTTTCAAGATACCGACCTCATCGTACGCGGTGTGATTGTCGACAAGATCGATGGGTTCAGTGGGCGGCGTCATTGGGATGATGATTCCGGTGAGCTTGTAGATTCCTTAGGATCAGAGTCCTATAGAAACCCGTATGGAGCAGACGCAGACTATGAAGAAGCTATCTGGAAGACTTTGGTAGGCGACCGAAATTATGAAGGCGACCGAGCACCTGGAAAATATGCTTGCGTACTTGATATCGCTATCCTCGACAAATCATGTTTATCATCCGATCCTACCAGTAACGGGAACATTGATGAGGTTCAATACAATCTTCATCTCTGGTGGATAAGGAACGCAGAAATGAGAATTAAAGGCAAACCACTGGCATCATATCTCGGGAATATGGATATCTTACAAAAGGACCCGAAGACATACAATGAAGCTGCGGGGCGGGTTGACAGGTTTCTGTGGAACAGACGATTGGTTTCAACCGCTTCGGGTTACGTTGGAATAATGCCTCATTTTATTCAGAAAGGCGATATCATAGCAGTCATCGGAGGCTGCGCTGTACCTCTTGTTCTGCGACCACGGTGGCAGCAAAAGCCAGGACGTCTCAAATACGAGATACTTGGCGAGTGTTTCGTTTACGGGATCATGGATGGGGAGATTGAACAGAGCGCGAGGGAAGGAAGACATGCTCTTGTTGATATCATGATTTCGTAACCTCCTTGAGTTTTACTGGAGGCGTTCGTGAAACCGGGCTTATAGCCAGCATATCATTGAGTTTGTTACACTGAGGCCATCCGGATCCCAAACGTGACATGGACAATTGGAGTATAGAGCGCGAATCATGCTCCAAGTTGGCGTCTCTGCTAACATAAGTAGCCCTTGTCGCAGATGATGACAATGCTGGGACAGAAAGCACGGTTCTTGGATGTTGTGTTGGACTACTGTCGACGCTGTGCTCCGAAGTTCCAGCCATATGTCTTGCGCGCGTCGTCTTCATCGGGAGGATGATAGCGATCAAACGAATGATCTACCAAATTGATCGTAGAGACACATGAGTGTCTAAGGCGTCTTTGACCAAGTCGAAAGAGTGTCTAAACTGTCTGATTAGGCTGATAGTAGCTACTAAAAATAAGTATTGGTTCAGAGACGTCGGGGTGGGGCTGGTGAGCCCCGAACCATGGCCAGCTAGGACTTCCTCTGGTTCTCCTTATTGCATTGCTTCAAGTCGTGCCTGCAGGAGCGTGCTAATGATAAGGCACCATTGGTATGTGCATCTAACGAGTTCTCCCATAGGTCTGAGCGTTGTTAGTACCCTTTCCTTGTGCGTATGTGATGCTCGAAATCGATGACTACCACTTTCGAAGGAGGAAATTGATTGTTCCGCAATGATAGCTCTTGCATTTGGGATATTCATCTTGAGCCGCGAGTTGACAATAACACCGCAACTTCTCGCATCTGCTACGGCTGGCCCAGCCCGTGTTGCATAGGGATATTCAGTGCTGATGTCGCGTCCGCGGATGCATAGGGGTCAAGGCAAGTTGTAGAGATGTTTCAGATGGCAGATACGTCGAAGCACAGCCATGACTCTTTGGTGTTGATGTCCGTTGGATGGGGTCGATGATAGGCCCCACCGAGATGGGGCTGTTCTCAACAAATGCGGGTCGCTGCCCCTCTTGTCGCTAGCGCGCTGGCCCTTCCCGTGCCTCCACCCATTCAGCTCTCGTTCACCTTATCAAAGTTGGCTCGCTACGCAGTGCCTCAGACCTATTTGATGCTGCCGTCGTCTTCCAGAGCTTCTTGAAACACGCCACGGAGACTTGCACCCGTTCTATGGTGACTGCGCCCGCAAATGGATAATGTGGGGGCGGCAGCGTAGCGCGATGAAGCGTCGATCAGCCCAGCCTCCTGAACTTTGACATCATTCACCAGCTGGCATCCGAACATCGAAGTCGCGTTGAGCTTGCAGAAGGGTTTTGCAGCGCATTGAAGCATGTTGATAGCACGACCTGAGAGAAGATAGGACAGTTGGTCAGTGCTACAGTCGTGCCTTGCGCAATCGCGGTAGCATCCCACGGATATCGATATGCAAGGCTGCCATTCCGTTCCCCAGCTATGACCACGTGGAAAGTGCAGAAGCGCGTAAGCTGCACGGATCTCGTGAGAGCGAAGCATAAGGCAACCTGCAGGGAAGTCATTGAGCCTGCCTTAGCGCAGCCACGATGCTAAGATGCGAGTGATACTTACCCCTTTGCTATACCTCAGCAAGATCATTAGGATATAAGCTCCGATCGAACCACTATTGCGATGGCATCAGACTGCAGTGAATATGGAAGGACTTTCCGTCGCGGCGAATGGTAGTTTTCAATACCTGACTCAATTGTCCTTTGCTGATTCAATACAGGCCTCGCTATCATATCTGTAGCATTTCAGCTTACCGAAGCGTGTATCAAACTCCACACTTTCTGGGAGACGGTGGAAGATGCCCCTGGAGAGATTGCAGCCATCAAGGAGGATCTACGCTATCTGATCTCGGTCTTCAAGAGGGTAGAATCTCACAGCAACCCTCTTGGCAGTTGTTTAGCAGAAGGAGTACAACACTGCCGAGCCAAGATTGCAGTAAGTACTTCGGACGGTGATGCAGGTTGTAGCTGATCGTTCTAGGATTTGACACTTATTGTTGAAAGATTCGACAATGGCTTCCAATCGCTGTCGCGAAGGAAACGAGTACGCACAGCCTTCAAAGCTGCCCTTCACAGCAAACATATCCAACGATTTCGCGACTCACTGAATGATGCGAAGTCGACACTCACACTAGCTTTGGCCCATGAAAGGTACGATTAGATGTAATGCACATCAAGAATCGATAGCTGACTATGCATACTAAGCGTGATTCAATCTCTCTCTTCTCGTCTTCCAACAAAAGTAAAGGTACATGACGAGATCGAACGATACGGGACCGCCAAAGCCGCCCAAAGAGATTTGCTTCGTTCAACCGAGATCGATGACGCTTCTGGTTGGATAGCAGTGCAAAGCGTCCCCTCGAAATACGTCGGCCAGCGTTCTCTTCGCCGTATGAAGTCTCCAAACACTGCAACACTGCAACCTTTGGGCGAAATGCTAATCAAGCATCCGTCGATTGATTACAAAGTACAGGAGCTCATGTTGCATGCTATCGCACAAACCGCTGTTACCACCTTTGAATCAACATCGATGGAGATATTTGCACAAGATGGCTATACGATTGATGCATGTGGACAGCTGCGGACCAAGACTTTCGTCTATGCTGAAAACCTGCGGTATCACGTAAACCACCATGTATCGACCTTCCGGACTGCACTCGGGTGTGCTTGGTTACGTACAACTACCCTTCACCACGACAACAAATCTTCCAAAAGACAAAGGAAGTTACAGATCATCAGATCCCTGATCTTATATCCTACAAGATGGCTACAGTACATGGGTATTCAAAATGGCCTCGAAGCTGTCGTGGCATCTGGAGGTCGGAGCTGGCTCTTCAACTGTAATATAACAGTGACCCGCCCTGTTCCTGACGACGCACTCATCTTCGGACTTTGTCGCACCGGCCAGACTCGTGCTGTAGAAGCACTTTTGGAGAAAGGAATGGCAAGCGTAGTCGACACAAGCCCGAAAGGGTGGAAACCACTGCATGTAAGTTGCTACGCCTGCATCATAGACTCTTGCGTGATAGAGATACTGATTTACCTAGTTCGCTGCCGCCGCAGGTCACGTCGATCTCTGCGCTTTACTCATCAAGGGAGGCGCAGACAAGTCTGCACTAGTGTATGAAGGGCCTTCTGACGCTATCTTGTAGGTTTCCAATGTCAAGTGATGGACCCTCCGCTGAAACAATTAGATCACCCATATCGCTTTTCGTATCATCTTGTACGGATGAGCATGCTGATACCAAGATCGCCATGCTCAGGCTATTCTGCGAATGCATTGATATAGCCGATGCTGACAGCGACGGTTGGTCCGTTCACGACTGGCTCAAGCGAGCATACGCGAGGGAACGAGTGCCAATCTCACGGAACAGTATCACGTGGCTACTTCATCTAACCGTGAATGAAGAGTATGTCGAATTTAGTGCGCGCAATATCTGGTCCGCCCTACAACACGCGATGAGATCTGTTTCCAACCACGCAAGGCACAGCAACTACCTCGAGCAAGTTCTTTGTCTTTCTAGAGAAGAACGTTCGAAGGTCAGTAAGCGACATCTGGACGCTCTAGGCTCTTGGCTTGCTCTACGGGTAAGCGGTCGAGTACTCCTGCCGATGATAGTGAATGCCGGCTCGTTCTTGCAGATGAAAGGCTTTGATTGGATGGAGGACAATTTAACACATAGGCAGTTTCTGCAAGCCTTACCGAGTATCTACTCAGCTTGGTGCACTGCCCTCCTAGACTGCATCGAGCAAGTCAAGACGTATATGCGGGAAGAGCTTGATCGCTTCTTATGCGAACTTGGTATGGCGCAAGGAGCATTTATCCGTGCACTGACCCGGGCCAACAATCTCTCGCACAACAACAGTTCTGGAAAGCTACCAAGAACTGCATGCACGCACTGCAAAGACGACTATGGCCCATTTGCTTGCGGGTTGGTCGAACCTGCGCGTATAGCTGTTACAGAATGCGTCAAATCGGGTCACAACGCGAACTGCGTCTGCGACAAAGTGCAGAAAGCCCCCACAATATCGGACGAACTTCCGGAGTACACCGGAATGTTACAAACAGACAGCGACAACGACAACGACAATACGCATGAGGACGACGAGTTCTTCGACGCCCAGCCACACGTTTTCAACGATGAAGACCTCCAAATAACTCCAACATCGAGCATGTTCACCGACATCGCGACTTTGCTCTACAGCGCTCAAGGCAAAATGTGGCTCGGTGAACACTCAGTCGGAGAGCGCCTATGCTCGACTTGCCTCTTGCTCAAGGAGAAGTACATCGGCAAAGATGGTCTATCTGCTGACTTTCCACCAATGCCGATGAGCTTCGATGGCCTACGTGTGAAGTGGTGAACATCTACAAAGTACCTAGGTCTTCCACCGTGAAACCGATGGTAGCTGGACCCACCCTTCGTATGAGCCCATCAAATGCGTACACATATACTATCATTTAGTATATCTTGTCATAACATCAACAACTCTACGATTTAGAGAACATGGCGATCCCGGTGGCTCCCTTTCGAACTTGACCTGCTCGAGCTTAGTGCATTTGCCAAGACGCTCTATAGCATTCACGCTACTCTATTCGCGGTAACGACGTTCGCCAAGAGTCCATAGATCATACGAGCGGTTAGGACCCGACAGGTCCGGTTTCGTCCTGCCGATCCTGGTATTGACCGCCTGAGCCTCACAACCAAAACCGTACCTTTTGGTTGTACGTTTGAGATCATCTCGCTATGCTTTGTAATCCCGAGCTTAGTTACCAGCAGACATAGAGGCACACTGCACATCCTCGTACATCCCTGAACCTGGTTATAAATCTTGTACGATAGTTGTTGTATATAGCCAGATTACCATAAAGATAGACCAGCATGCTACCTGGCCATCTTTAAAGTTGTTCACTGATCCATCTTCTCTGTCTTGTGTATATGCAACCCTACAAGCATCTGCTTACCAACATTCTACTGCTCACTGTTGTTACCATGGCACAAAAGACACTTCTCTTTCTCGGCGCAGGACCAAACGTTGGAGCTGCGACATTATCGCTGTTCAAAACTAAAGGATACAAGATCGCCGCTGTAGCTCGCACTATCAAACCAGATATCGAGGCGAATGCAGACATCTGTCTGACTGCTGATTTCAGCGACCCAAGCGTGATGGGGCAGATCTTTGAGAAAGTCGAGCAGAAATTAGGAGTTCCAAATGTTGTCATCTACAACCGTAAGTCATGATTTTCGTACACATTCAGGATATAAATCGCGTCGTCCAGAGCTTCCCTTTGCCCATATACTTGTATTAAGAGCTCATATTGAACTAGCCTACTCCTGGTCCATGGGTCCTGATCCTGAGAACCCTGTCTCGGCGCCGCTTCAAGATTTCCAGAAAGACCTCGCGATCAACAGTGTGAGCGCTTACGCTGCTGCGCAAGCTGCAGTAGCAGGTTTCAGCAAGCTCCCTAAGGATGCAAAAAAGACCTTCATCTATACTGGTAACAATGGCAACACATTGGTAGGTCGTGGGCATGTCTTTGCGAAGATAGCAACGTGCTTACTTTCTCAGGTCACACCCATGTTTCTGATGCTCGGTATTGGTAAAACGAGTGCTTGGTACATGATTCAGACATTGGCTGCCTCCTCTAGCCTGGCTTCAAAGGGATGCCGTTTCTACTATGTCGACGAGCGTACACCTGTGGGAAAGGCGATGTTTCATGTCTCGGGGCCTGCACACGCGGAATACTTTTTGGAGTTAGCAGAGAAGGAAGGAAGAAGTGAGACATTGGCAACGTTCGTCAGGGGCAAAGGTTACACGAAGTTTCCAAGCAACGAGAGGGCGATACTACCGCACGTTTCTGTTCAAGATGCGGCGGATCCGAAGTATGGAGCACCGGGAACTGCAGAAGCGAAGTACGGCTACTGAGAAAGCGAAGTCAGCTTGAGATCAAACAAGTATATAAGACAACATGCAAGAATCTCAGTAAATGCAAAGCTGTATACCTTGTGCCGCGTCGTATGAACTTCGATTTGACATTGTTGGTTATATCATACCAGACGATAGCTTATAGCGAGATCCAACTAGAATTATTTGACTAGACCGTTTCTGAAGGCACAAAACCAATGACTCTTGCCCAAGAAACCTTAGACCTTTGGCAAACCTAAAGGTACACAATCATTCCTATCGATTACATGTACTGCACGCAATCATTGCGCAGAGTGGAAAATGAATGCGAGACTCTAAGACTTGCGACTCGACACGCGTTCCTCCGCATTGCTCGGATGGTCCGTCCTATCCTTACTGTAGTTCGTAGGAGTTAAAGCCGAATTCATTGTGCAAAAATGAACCGTGCATCATTAAGCGATGTTCCTGAGCCGGAACTCTATTCGGGCCGACCCGACCTTGTCTTGGCGAATTTACATGCTCAAAAGGGAAAAAATGTAAGCGAAAGTGCAAATCTGGGGAAGGGGACTTGTTTTGATGCTAAACCCAGAAATTCTTAGAATGACTAATCTTTTTAACACCGACACTACATCCGTGGTAATCCTAGATTTCTTCTACCACGGACCGTGACTAACGGGCATCTGTTTGTCCGACGGCGTGTAAGAGAGATAAGCGCTCCTAGCAATTCTCCAGGCTCTAAGTCGAGACAGGAGTATAAAGAGTTGGTGGCTCCATTCGAAAGATGAATCACAAATCCTCATCATCACCATCTTCACTACTACCACTTCCCAAGAACTTTAAGTTATTCTTAAACTACAATGTCTCGCTACGCTGAAGCTCATGCCAACCCCGCTGGTCCAGGAGATGCTCGCCCAACCGCTCTCCAGATCATCAAGGACGAAGGAGTAGAGGGCAAGTTGGCCGGAAAGGTCATCGTTATCACTGGCACTTCTTCTGGAATCGGAATCGAGACTGCCCGCGTTCTCAAGCTCACCGGAGCAAAGCTGTTGTTGACTGCACGAAACCTCGAAAAAGCCAAGACTGCTCTGGACGGCATTCTTGAGCCAGGACGCGTTGAGCTCGTCGAGATGGACAACACCTCCCTAGAAAGTGTGCGCCGCGCAGCAAAAGATATCCTGGAGAAGTCGAACAACCAAGTCAACATCCTTATCAACAACGCTGGTATCATGGCCATTCAGAATCTCGAAAAGACCAAGGACGGATTTGAAATGCAGTTTGGGGTCAACCACCTCGCACATTTCCTACTGTTCGAACTTTTGAAGCCAGCTCTCCTTGCTAGTGCCACCCCTGAGCTTTCTTCTCGAGTTGTCAATCTCTCTTCTTCAGCCCATCACGTCGCCTCGATCAATGAGTCTGGAAACTACAACTTTGAGAAGACCGAATACAACGACTGGGTTGCTTATGGGCAAGCTAAGACTGCAAACATCTACATGACGAACGAGATCGAGAGGCGCTACGGATCCAAGGGGCTTCACGCAACCAGTGTTCACCCTGGTATGATCGCAACAGGACTTATGCAATACATGGACCCCAAGATCGTTGAAGGCTTCCAGGGCAACCAGGAGGTGTACAAGACGATGAAGTCGCCAGAGCAGGGCGCCGCAACAACAGTATGGGCTGCGATCGGAAAGGAATGGGAAAACAAAGGCGGAGAGTACCTTGCTGAGTGTGGAAAGACTACCCGCGGTAACGACAAACATGAGATCGCAGGCGTGGGCTTTGCAGGCCATGCTTACGACCCCAAAGCCGAAGCGAGGCTTTGGAAGGATTCATTGGCAATGGTGGGACTCAAAGACGATCAGTAGTTTGAAACGAGTGAGCATGTTTAACACCTACATTCGGGAGCTTATAGTTTTATAGTAGCGAAGCAAATAAATTGATTTATGATCTCAATTTTATGCTCCACTTCTGCTGGGTACTAAGAGCCAGCATTGTGCTTCGTGAAACTTTTAACATCTAGCAGCTAAATTGCATCGTGTTCGCCAACCGGTACCCAGGAACTGGATACAAGACTATCTAGGTCTTGAACAGGACTTCGCACGGAGCGCGAGGCGGGATTTGGGGGTGGTGACAGGGGTGCTGAAGGTGGGATGGCGTCACAACCACCTCAATGCATCTAAAGATTATGCCCCGCTTTCTCAGCACCAACATCAACATCGCTCTCCAACCACCATACTATCCGACGTCGGTGCCATTACCACTCGATATGAACATTGAATCTGGGCTGTATACAGCCCTAGCTCCCTACCAGACAAGACTTCTGTGTCTTCATGGCGCCAATTATGACCTGGAAAGCGTGCTAGTATGTACGCTCTATGTCGCAGACATACTGCATCCTTCTTTCGAGGGCCTTGGTGTACGTTCATGTAATTCAAACCAGAGTCACTTGAGGAGTTTCGAAGCTCTCTCGTATGTGTGGGGAAGCCAGGAAGGCTTGAAGCAAATTACGTGTAACAATATGTCACTTTCAGTCACAAAAAATCTCTTCGAGGCCCTCATGGCACTACGAGAAGGCGATGATGAAGATCGCTACTTGTGGGTAGATGCAATTTGTATCGACCAAAACAATCCGGCGGAGAAGGCTGTTCAAGTGCGCAACATGTTGACAATCTACGAAAAAGCTGTTAGAGTGATTGCTTGGCTAGGTCCTCTGGGGAACCGAGACTTGACGGACGTCCTGTCAGAGGGTGACTTTACGCCTTCTCCATCTATGCACCTCCGAAGGATGCCAAGTTGGGAAAAACATGTTGAGGCTCTTCCGCACTGGCCTGGATCGAATAATCGTGGTCGAGGCCGAATGCCTCTTGACCTCGAGGAGATCTGTGCTACCATGCATCTAGTCTACTCCCTCACCTACTTCAAGCGCATATGGATACAACAGGAGGTTTTTGCCGCAAGAGAGTTGAGACTGCAAAGTGGGTGGCAGAGCGATTTCGAGTGGAAGGGATTGTTGTCGCAACCTGATCTATTGTACACGCTTCCGCAAATTCGCGAGGATCAGACTCCACTCATCTCCGAGATCGTTGATCTCCATGCCGACCAACTGAGCTGCTTTGACCATTTTCGACGAAAGCAGGAGGAGCGCCCATATCTCATCGATACGCTATTATACACCGGAAGACTCGAATCTACAGACACACGAGATTACGTTTACGGTATCCTCGGTCTCACAAGCTACCCGTCACAGTCTATGTCAATGAAGGAATGGGAGGAGGCAAGGAGATCATCACTTTTCATCCCTGTCGACTATTCGTCTTCCTGGGACGCTGTTACATCCGCTGTTACATGGGTCACACTCATGACAGAGGGTCTTGCACTGATAGCCAAGTTCAAGATGCTGGACGCAAAGGAAGAGAACTCTACACTTCCTTCCTGGGCTATAGACTGGCGCATCACTGCAAGATGTTTTCGTAGACGACGAGCAGAAAAGAACAAAGGTCTCGGCCACAGATTGGTTTCGTCACGTGGGTCATTGGAGATACCCTCTACATCTACAAGTAGCCTAAAGACTTCAATTTGGGAGTACAACACGCGTCATACGATATCTTGGAAAAAGATCATTCTTCATGGCATCGTAGACACGAGGTTCTATGTTAGTGACGATCACGTCTGGGAACGAAGACGACATCTGAAAGATAAGCGCCGGTGGCAACTCTCATGCGATACCGATAGTAACGATATTGTGGTTTATATGCCAGACGTCTTGAGTTCAGAAATCGAACAGGAACTACTCGGTCACCGACTTCACGAAGGAAGTGAAGTTTCTCGTGAGTACACAAGTGGAGGTCTATGGCTCTTGCGTCCAGTTGAAAACGACGAACACATGATCATCGTCTGTCTGTCTTGGATCCCAATGAATCGACACGTGTACTTCAACCATTGGCAACAGCATATAGAGGACGATCGTTATCGCCCACTAACTGTAGATTTGGGTAATCCAGCGATCGATCATTTGATGGAAGCTCCACGAGTTGTGAATTGGAACAGTAGGCAGAAGTTCACCATTGTATAAGAAGCTGGAGTGCTTTCACTGCTAGACCGCATCTCTCTTCACTATGACGTCCTTAGATCTTATGTCCCGTCTTCTTCAATGCGCGTTGGTAGCTTTCGGTCTCTCTACAAGCATCCAACCACTTGTTGACATTCGGATACTCCTTGCCCTGTATCCCAAGCTCCCTCGCAACAATGAATTCGGCTGAGAACTGCATCATGGTGTCCGCGGCGGTGACATGATCGCCGCAGATAAACTTGCCTGACGAGAGCGACAACTCAGTTTCGAGCCAAGACATGTCGTTCTGCACATTAGCCGACATATTCTTCTCGGTGGCTTCAAGGAGGCCTTCGGGCGCATCTTTGGGGATGTGCCATCGCGCATAGAGAATGGCGAGGGCGTGGAGTGCGAATGTGGCTTCTGCAGCCTGAGTCCACTGGCGGATCTTGATTCGCCCTTTGGGGTCGTGTGGTAGGAGACGACCCTCTTTGTCGTATGTCTCGCACAGGTAGCTGTGTCTGAATTCAGATGCGAACAACAGTATAGTCGCTTTCTACATACTCGGTTATTGCGCCACTTTCATAAACAGTTAGATCACCATCTTGAAGGGTAGGGAACTTTCCCAAAGGATTGCCCGATGCCAGTTTGAAGTCTTCAGGCGCCTTTCCATTCACTCTGTCAGAGAATTTGACATTGTAGTCGAGCCCCAGCTCCTCCAATAGCCATGCAGTGCGTATGCACCTCGATGCTTGGAGAAACCAGAGTGTGATCGTGGGCATGTTTGAAGAAAAGCAGCGAGTAAGAGGAGTAAAGGTTATGACAGCGAATGGCAAAATCCGGCCTTCTTGAGGTGTATAAGCTATCCTCGTTGTGTGGCGTCATATAGGGCGTATCCTTTGGGCGGAGCTGACACCGGCGGGTAAAGGTGCAGCGGATCTACCTAGCCAATGACTAGTTGCTATTACATATCAATGGAAGCAATCCCGCATCACGCCAGATCTGCACCAGGGATCCCTCGCGAGGCGATGTCATCAAGCATGAATACACATCCTTTGTTCGCAATGAGGTTTCAATTGGAGTGATATTCTCGCAGGGTTTAATCACAGAATTCGCATCTATCGCTGAGACGAATGAGCAGTTCGCAATGTTTCTCGTCGTCACGACGTAGAATCGGCCGAGATCTATGTTGATGTTTCCGGACGAGATGGTCTTCGTCTCTTTCACGTCCACGCTCGGCTATGGTATGATGCCTGATATTAATGCGCGACGCGACCTCTTCATGTTCATAACAACGGTCGAGATTTCCAGCGCGATGTTTTGTCGCATTGTCTTTTGGGTAACTCGCACGGCACGGCATTCAAGATGCCTGGCAGCAGCCAAACCACATGACACTTTCGCATAGTCTTGAGCCTCACGAAACCATAGTGAGAGAGCAGTGTGTCGATACTGGAGTATACAAAAGTTCGGGTTGATCAACGCCGCAACGCTACAGTAATGTGGGTACTACCCAGGTATACGATCCTGACCATAGATCCCTGGCCAATCAGAGACCATACGGCGGATCACTTCGATCGCCTGCCGAATACTGTGCCGAGGCATGGTTCGCACCAGCTGACTCGATCGTTGTCGCAACATCCAATACTGCAACAACTCCGCTAGGTTGTTTCTACGCCTTGCGCCATCGATAGGTCCTCGGTTCGCAGCATCGATCAGGACGAGTTAGACTTGACGTCATGAGGTGGGTTGACCAACTGGAAGACGGCTCGTCCCGCGCCCGTGCTAGATAAACTGCCTTGTACTGATAACATGGAGACTTTTCTCATGTTCTTACAGCATCTCACGGTCCATTTCCAACATGTCGTCTAATGAGAAGCCAATAGTGTTCCACTACGACGGCTCGATCTTCTCTCACCGAGTGCTATGGTATCTTTGGCTTCGCGGTATACCTTATGACGAATGTGTGGGTGTTATCTACCGAGTTGCGATTGGCTTATTGATGTGACTTCTAGATTCAACCTGCATTCATGCCACGTCCAGACCTTGAACTCATTGGCGTTGGCTATCGAAAGATCCCTATCATGGCTGTTGGAAAAGATGTATATTGCGATTCCCGGCTGATTATCTCCACGCTAGAGTCCTTGTACCCTAACAATGCCCTTTCGCCCTCGACGCCAGCCGACGTTGGTATCAGGAAACTTTTCGAGAGCTGGACTATCGATGGCGGTATCTTTGCCAATGCTGTCAAGATGATGCCATATTGGCAGGAAGCAAGCTTTCTTTCGAATGAAGCATTCGTCGATGATCGCCAGAAGCTCATGGGAAGTCGATTTACTGCCCAAGGAATGCAGGCTGGGCGACCGGAAGGCGCGCAGCACTTACAGCAAGCTTTCGATATGCTTGAGACTAATTTCCTCGCGGACGGCAGAGATTGGATCCTAAACACACAGGAGCCGTCGCTAGCAGACATCGATGCTGTCTGGCCGTTCAAATGGTTGATGTCGGACCCAAAGATGAAAGACAGCCTTCCCGCGGAGCACTTCAATGCTAAGAAGTATCCGAATGTGTTTGCGTGGGTGAAGAGATTCGTTACACAGCTGAATGAGAAGAAAGAGACACTGCCAAAGCCGAATGCGCTCGACGGGGAAACAATGGGCAAGCGAACTCTTGACGCCACCACCGCACCAGTAACCATTACTTTCGACGATGACAATTCTCACGGGTTCAAACAAGGCGAAGACGTTGAAATCTCACCTTCAGACTACGGACAAACGGGTAAGACTGCCGGAACGCTAGTTGGTCTCACAGAACATGAAGTTGTTATCCGAAATAGCAAAGGCATACATGTGCACTTTCCGCGATGGAATTTTGCCATTTCCAGAGCTGCTTCAAAGTCTAAGATCTAGATTGCGCAAGCTAAGAGTATCGTAGTTCGCGATTGTAGCAGTCGTCATATATTTTGATCTCTTCCGTGAATATACAGTGTTTGCTTATTGTCACCTCGTCCAACCCTGTCGAACAACAAACGATTCCAACAGTACGAGCATTTGTAATATGAGCACGAAGCCTGCAGGAAGGCTGACAGCCTACGTATTAGGAAACTGACTGTTTCCAATGTAATTAAATAGATTCGCAATTGCGTCCAGAGCTCCAGTCACAGCAAGCAAAACGCACGCATGCTCACGCAGAATCGCAGCAACATACACATTGAGATGCTCAAAAGACATCAGGTGGAGTGAGTGTGATCATACGGCAAGCATTGTATTTATCGGATTACATTAGCCATGCCCGAGAACGTTCTACGAGATGGCATCCATCGAACACTGAAACAAGACGAAGAGCCCAAAACGTCCATCCAGTCCACCGAAACCCATCCTCTCGTCCTAATCTCTAGGATGCCAATGAGTCACCAGCACCGTTTTGCGTGCAGTAGTAGTTTAACTCATCACCACCAATGTGGTTCTCCAGCGATTGGCAAAGGTTCAGCTTGCCGACTTCGGTCTGCATTGTGTTAGTCTTCAGAGAATTTGATGACCATCAATCGGCTTCATTACCATCTTGCAGTCAGGGCATTTGTCCCATTGCTTGTCTCCGGTGTTTCGGTTTAGGTATGCGTCGCATGCCTTCTTCGTTGCGTCGGCGTTGTACACGTACTGGCCACCAATCTTGTCGATGCAGAGGCCCTCTTTGTGAAGGTCGGCGCTGACGAATGAGTCCATGAGGACGAAGAGAGCGGAGACGGCGACGGAGAAACGCATGATGTTTTAAGATTGAAAAGTAGTTGGAAAAAAGAGCGTAGGTAACGACAGAAGCGAGTGTGAATACTGGTGTATATACAAGACTCAAAAGAGCGTGAGTTTGGTGACCTTGAAAATCAGAGGTGCAGAGGCAGGATAAATAGTCAAAAGAAAGAGTGATCATAGAACTTGCACCCCCCTTCTCCTACTTTTGTTATCATCACCTGAGCCTGTAACAGCACAGCCAGAATCCTTCGTCCGTTCTCGGTGCAATTGTGGCGAACGTCACTTGCTCGTGAAACGTGGTCGGGCCACCACTGTATTAACGAACCGCGCAAGAACACGCCGATAAACCCAACTCCAGTTCCAGTCGGCAAGTGAACCGAACCACTTTACCCAGCAAAGTGTTCTGTTAAGAGTCAGGAACCCAATACCCCATATTATTGCAGGCGGGTGCCGAGAGCCCGGAACCTGTTTGTACGTCATGCGCTTCGGCCCGAAAAACGAGGCGAGCGTGTTTCTGGTACACATGAATTAATATCGGGCCCCTAGCAAGGTCCACTGCAAGGAACGACTGACTTTGGTATACGTACACATACCGTTGCTAGGCATGAAGGACCTATTCTTGGTTCGAGACAACAAATCACCGGACAACTATGCGGCCAATCAGCCTTGCCCATGAATACACTACCTGAATACGAGCACTCCACCACCATTGATCCTTATCAGTCCCTGCCAAGTAATTTGTCTACGCGCATTTCCTGAAAGAATACTGAACTGTGCAGATCGCGTCTCAGAGTCCAAGTAACGATTACTAGTACCGCCGGGACGGTCAAAGTGGTGCCACACTGCTGGCAATGTCTTGACGATAAGTACTGCTAGTTTTCCGGACGACGAGTGTCCATCTTGCCAACCTCACAAGTCGCTCATTCACTCTTTCTGTGACGAGAATTATCCACATTCGTTCAAAAACATAATCTGTATATAAAACCCCGCCACCATGCACTTCACTCCTCTCCTCGCACTCGCATCCAGCGCCGCTCTGATCGCGGCTGCTCCAGCACCCGTCAACATCGGTTTGGATGACGTTATCCTCCACGGCAACGGCCGCTTCACCGTGATGAAGCGCTCCGACTTTGAAGAGCTGGAAGCTGCGCGCAAGTCCGGCGTGGTACCTCCCAAGCCCGCCTACCTGGACGCGAACCACTACTCTGGCAACGAGACCGACGTACCAGCCAAGAAGACGCTCAAGCGTGACACCAGCATCATAATTCCCAACCCCAACTCGCGTTTCCTCGGCTGGGACGTGCAGGTGAGCCAGGTGACCAAGGGAGCACCGACCACCATTGCCGTCGCCTCTGGCTTCTCCATTAGCAACACCATTTCCGTCGGCATGAGCAGCACTTTGACGCTGGTCAAGGACTTCCTTCAGGTCGCCATGTCGGTCGACTACAGCCAGTCGTGGCAGACGACGCAGACGCAAACCTTCACTGCTACGGTGCCCGAAGGCAAGTACGGCGCTTTCGTCACCAACCCGTGGACCGACCGTGCGAGTGGAAATGTCTGGAGCGGTACTATTGGTGGTGATGGAGAGCTGTCTTACTACCAGGCTGACTCGTTCACGTCAAAGCAATACGACAGCATGGAGTGGGTTGATGGTGTTACTAGCCTCTGCGTAGGCGACACAGTTCCTCTCCCAAGGTGCTTGGGCGAGGGTACCTTGTAGACTTGGGAAATAGCAGAGAGAAGTATGTGGGACTGGGAACATTGGAGAAAGCTGCAAGTGTCTTTACCGAGCCCGCATTCATGGCATCGTTCAAGTAGCGCTCTTGTTGTAGATGAGCTATCGCTAGACATATCGAGCATTGTATTGTATAAACAACTTGTAGACATGCATTCTAGAAAGAACAATTTCTTTTATCAATCTCCGTACCATGATCTACCAAACCATGTCTCTTTGCGAACATGAGACCTGGACGATAACCAACACGCCAACTAACCTGGCCTTGGCAACATCAATGCACCCGCATCACCAAGTAAGAAATATATATGACATCTCGCAACAACAACAACACTTCAATCCATCCCATCAATCCAAGGCTTCAACGCCGCCAGCCCAATAACAACCGCCTCCTCCGTCCTAATCGTCCTGCTCCCCTGCTTCGGCACCAAATTAACCCAAGCATCAAAAAGCTCACTAGCCATCGACTTGTCCAGCCCCTTCTCCACTAGAACAGGGTCATTAGCCACAGCCGGCTCTATACCCGCTTGACCACCAAATACAATGAGAAGATGTTTGAAAGAATTGGGAGCCTTTACTGTTGTTGTCGTAGACCTGTCGCTACCGGCGTCGTTGCCATGACCAGAGAAGAGCGAGTAAACCGACTGACCACGTTCCGAGGTTCCAATCGACATGTCGTAGCCATCTGGGTATTCGCAATCGGAAAACACGGCGCTGATGGACGGGGCGCGTCGGACGGTGTAGCCCCAGTAATAGCCTCCTTCCTCGCGAGGGAGGCTGGCTGCACACGCAGTAGCATCTAGATTGTCGCATTCCAGCTGTGATAAATGGGGCCAGTTGGGCGGTTCCTCAGCGTCTGTAAAGCGGACGGTTGTGCGCATGCCTTGTTCGACTGGGGCTTCCTTGGGTACGGGGACGCGGATTGGGTACGGCAGACCGCACTTGACGTATGCGTACTCATGATCGTCTGACGACGGCGACTTTTTCGGTTTTTTGCTCTTGGGTGTGGGCGCAGGTGCAGGACCGACAAACACGCCTTCGCGGTACCGACACCACTCGTGACTCCGAAGATGATGCGGCATATCCATACTGGGCAGATTACCAACCCACTTCAGATTCTGATGTTCCTTGAAGATGCTCATTCGGGGATCCTCGGCATCGTACCGGAGATGGGGAGGACACTCGGCATAAGACAACAAGTGGTAGAGGAATTGGTCGGGATTCTGCCAGGCTTCGTCGTGTTCCATGATGGAGTCGAGAACTTGTTGCTTGGTGCGCCCTTTGCGTATGTACTTTGGATCCACGACTCTGGTATCAACGTTACTTGGGTCATCGTCATATACGACGATTTCATCGACGCAGTAGATGGCGGCTGCGCGGGCGATGCGTCCGACTTGGATGGTCTTGTGATCAGGCTTCTTGGCGTTTAGAGTCCAGCTACCAGGCAAGGCAATAGTAACGGTCCAGTCGCGACCTTTGGTAGGATCAAAGATGGCAGTGGGTTTGGAAGTATCAATGTGTTCTATATGTTGTTCTTGAACTTCGCCCTTTCTCTTCTTGGCAGGACTGGCGTTGTCGTAAGAGTTTTGATGAACGACAACAGATGCCGACGCTTTGCGCTTCTATCACAAGGTCAGGATCCAATTTTGCCCAAACCCCAACATGACTTACTTTGCTATGGTCTGCCATGATCGCAGAGAGATGTGAACAGGCCGGTGCTACGATGTCGAAGTGGAAGCCGCAGATATCGCCAGCTACTTTTTGTCCTGCATTAGCGCGGTTCGCGTGATCCACCCGCGCATGCCTGTCATCATCAGCCCTAACGCAACCTGCCGCAATGCCGCTCAGGCAACACTGCGACGGCGCAACTCAACCACAATACAAACAGACTCTCCCACCATTCCGACACCTCTCCTCCCCCACCGCAGTCGCAGTCGCACCAGCCGCCCGAATCAAACCCCCTTGCTTGAACAACCTAAACGCCCCAAGATGGAGGGCCACAAGTAAACGCATCCGCCCCATCTATCGCATCCCACCAATCCGCTAACGACTCTAGATCACCCACCCCTCCTCTCACAACACCCACGACATCCACGCTCTTCACCTTCCTCGCTCTCTACCTAACCACCCTCTTCTCTCTCGATACCTGGGCCGCTGCACGGGGCTCACCTTACCGCGCACCAGGCAACACCTCCTCCTTCTACCGGCCGGGCGCCACGCCACCGGCGCCGGATAGTTACCAAGGCGGTATGCATGGGCGGGGGAACGCTGGGCCTGGAACGGGAGGAGGAGGAAGAGGGGGAGGGGGTAGAGATGTCGGGAGGGTTGCACAAGCGAGAGATTCTAGGCCGCCGATTAAGATGGGTGGAAGTGCTGCATGTGGTGCTTGTATGATCTAGAGAAGATATGCAACGGTAACAGGGCATTTCTCGGTTTGTAAATGTGTTTACAGATGGTGGTTTACACCATCAAGGCTGACTCTAGATGATTGGTGTGGTTTTTGTGAGTACATGTTATAAATACCTACTACAAGTGCATCGCAATCACTGGAAAACCGCGACGTGATTCATATCAAAAATACATTCATTGCTCCCTTTCGCGCCATGCTACTCAGTGATGCGAACGAAACTAACTATGCTCCCCGCCTCACATTTGTACTCATCAAAGTAATTTTCTTTCCCTTCTTCTTCTTCCCACCAGCCTGCTTCTTCGGCGTCTCTTCGCTTTCACCCAGAGACATGGCCTGTGCTTGGGCAATCATGTCTTCTTCGGCAAGCAGATCCTTCTCCCAGCCCTGTAGCCATCCATCATCGCCGTCGTGATGATCTTGTGGCCCGAGAACGGGGGATGTGCCAGCAACTACCGCCGTACCCCATACTGTCCGTGGCGCTGACGGGCTTGACGAAGGAGATGCCAATGAAGCGAAACCATCGCCCCGGCGTGGTGGCCAGGGCGGCGACGTCGAAGGGTTGTCTCCGTCTGTCGTCGGATGTGCGTCAGACATGCTTCCTGACGCTAAAGGCTGGAAGTCGTCGGCAGAGAACCTCTCCGTCATGCTCGGGCGCCTCCTGCGCGCAGATGCAAACTCGGCGTATTCGGCCTTTTCCGCACGTTGCCGCGCCTTCTCCTCCTTGGTCTCTTTTTCGGTGTGCTTCTTTCGCCTCTTCTCAATCTCGGGCCTGAAGCGCTCCAACACTTCTGGGGCGACAGTGTCGGTCCAATCACATTCGAGAAAGCCAACCTCGCAGCCATACGGTAGATGCGCCAAATACTTTGTGCGCTTCCGCAACTCATCGTCAACTACATGTCCTGTAGACACGTGCTCAACCCGAGGAAGGATCGTTGAAGGAAATGACGCAAAATTGCCAAAAGCCGCTTTCAAGATGCGAATGTCTAATGGAGATAGATAGTAATGCAGTAATGCTTGGTAAAAGAAGTACTCGGATGGCGTCTTGTGGTGCTCGTGTTGTTGTCGATTGCGAAGCTCCGCAAGCGTAAGAGATATCCCATGACTTGCCGCAGAGGAGTGCGATGACATGGACACCGTCCTGTCTTTGCTTTGAGTGACATCAGCCTCGGAGGCGTTCGGTATTGGGGTGAAATCCTGGCCAGACTTGGAAGCGTTCTGTATCGTGTACATCTCTGGTGCGGCACCCTCGTCGAAAACGATTGGTGCTCTCTTCATCTTCGGTTCTGCTGGTTTGACTGGTTCTTCTGGCGGATTTCCGATTCCCTTTAGCTTTTCTTTGGCATCTCGTATATTTTTGATTGCCTTTTTCGTCCACTCCATGCTGTCTTCGGCAAACATGACCTCATCTTCTTTCCCTTGCTGCTCAAGCTTCAGAATCTCCTGATCGAGTTGTTCTAACATGTAGTCCTCCCCGCCCCGCATCACACGGGCGTAGTCGGTAACCTCGGCGGCATGGTACCAGGGAATATCCTCGTCTTTACTCAGAGCATCCGCTCCATCACGAGGCATAGCCAGGGTGCTTCCAGCGGATCTGACAACCAAGCGAAGTACTACGTCGCCTCCCTCTCTGGGAGGCTCACCCTCCTGTCCTGTGTACCAGCGCACTGGTCTAGTTTCGGATGCATATATGGTGTCAAAGCACAGCGGGCACTTCTTTGAACGTGCCCTTTTCTCGGGAGCCTTGCCCTCGTCTTCGGAATGCATGTAGCGGATGAGACATGGGAGACAGAAGATATGGCCACATCTGGCCATCCTCGGGGCTACTGGAGTCCCTAGGCAGATAGGGCAGGAGGCCTCTTGTGAAAGCTCCGATGCCAATATCTGCAGGACGTTGTTCCAGTCCAGGTGGATATCAGCATCGACGCTTTGCGCGCGATAATCGCCGCGCGGGTCTACGATAAAGCGGTAGTTGGCGTGCACATATCTATCCAAGGTTAGCTGAGCCCTCTACAACGTTCTCGGGCCGCTGGAACTCACCTCGCCTTGTCGACGGCGTGGTAACCCGAGCCAAGACCCCAGGTCGGGTTGCGCCGATAGTTCCTTGCATAGCCATGCGACTGGTGGTTGGTTGGGCGTGGCGGCAGACTAAAGTTCATGAGGTGGGTAATAGACGTCTGCCCCTTGCGATTGTTAAATGGACGCATGGCGAGAGACTCGACAATGGCATCCTCGTCCGTCTGCCTGAATCGCTTCGAGCCTTTGTGCTGCTTCTTCTGCTGCTGCGTGTTCCGGGGAGTGGGTGATGATCGCGCCGGCGCGCCACTACCCCGCGGCTGTGCGAAGAAGCTACTGGTACTGATGGACGGTGTCTGGTTCTGGGCGGGTGAAGCGGGTCCAGAAGGTGCAGAAGCCTTGGACGAGGACACGACGGGTGGGTTGCTAGACATGACTCCCAGCTAAGGGCTCACGATAGCGCGTCGATGACGATGACGACGTCGGCCGGAGTTTCTGTTTTGGCGGGAGTAGCCGGAACTACAACCAGGGTAACAGAGACAGGACTGAGCGTCTCCGACGGCAGGCCAGGGATGCCGTCTGTTCAGCTATTGCGTACGGTGCTGGCGCGCGCAGTACTGGCTGGTGTCCGGCTTGCGTGCGACGCGAGAGGAGATGCAGGGTGCTGATAGAACGAACGTCGATATGGCGAGGAGGGAAAAACAGACGAGGAGAGGGCAATATGGGTGTAGTAGTGTGTTGATGCGAGTGTAGGCGTCCCCAAGAGGGTGACTTGGAGGGGACAAGAATCAGAAGGTGGAGTGGCGATTGACAGCCTAGGTAATAGACATGACGACGTGCAATCACGTGGTTCGTGCGGTTTGCGGTCCAACTCGCCCACTTACAACGTCTGGAACAGCTGGCCTGCAACAGAAATTGCGTTGAGAAGACGTAGAAATTGAAGACCAGCCAGCGAACTTGAGCTGATGGATTTAAAGACAAACGTTGTGCAGCACAGCGAATGTCGCCGTGGTGCTTGGGGGTAAACCTTGGGATCCATCTCTGACGACAGGGTCTCCGCACAGACGGTTGCGATTGCCCTTTCGGATCGGCTTGGGACTTTGTCTACAACCTCATCCCAATCCACCCTCTGCACTCTGCACCCCACCCATCTCCTTCGCGGGCAGCCTCTGCTGCGCTCATGTCATCCTGATACCATGACCCCGCGGTCGTCTATTCGCCCATCCACACCTCAACCCGCCTCGCCTACCGCCGTCGCGCGACCCTGCACCGCATCATCCAAATAATTATCCGCGCATCTCTCTACGCCGCATTGTCGCCCATTGCCATCACGCCGGGCGCATCTCCTTGTCGTTGCAAGACAAGATTGTGTAAGAGGCAGTCGCACTCTCCCCGTTGCCTCACAAGTTGGCTGCTTGGTCTCCAGCCGGCGCCGACTGTGGAGGCAACACCGCGTCTGCCGCTCGTGATGCCCGGCCCTTATATGCCTGGTAGGAGGCAGGAGCAGCAGTACTACCACCACCATATCCCGCCCCAGACACACTCGCCCGTCCACCACAACCCCTATGCCGCCCCTTACCACCACCACCTCCAGCAGTACGGGCCTCCCCATGGCTACGCCCAACACATGCAGCCTATGCAGCAGCAATGGTACCCTTATCAGCAACCACCGCCGCCCCCGCCGCAGTATGCCATGCCTCCGCGCCAGTTCCAGCCTCAACCCCATGCCTCGCCTGTCGTAGTCTCTTCGCACCTGCACATGGCCCCGCCAGTCAATCGCGCCATGGGTCAAACGCCCCCCATCGTCCATTCACGCACTCCGCCTGCTCCCCGTATGCCCACTCCCCAGCCGGCGCCGTCCACAGCTTCACTCCAGTCGCACACCCAAGTCACCTCTCCGACCCCGCAGACAAGCACCAGCCTCGACACCTCTCCCCCGGTTGCTGACTCAAAGCCTACTCAGGCAGCCCCGACCACCCCGCAATCCATCGCATTCAAGCCCTTCTATCCGCCTCTACCCTGGCTGTCCGTCCCCGACTCAGAGTTCCCGGCGCGCGCTGCGCGAGGGCGGAGAAGGCGAAGAGCCCCCGTGTCTACCGAAGAGCAGGCTTTGGCGCTCCCGTCACGCGAGCAGGCTGTGGATGAGGATGACGCCAACGAATTTGAGCATCACACTGAGGGCGATCTGACTCCAACTGAAGAGCCTGAAGAATCACAGGCTTCGACTATTGCGGGGCCCTCGGACGCTGAAGTCGATACCCCGTCTACCTCACACCCGCCTTCCGAGGCCGATTTGGCGCAATCTATCACACCGTCTACTACAACACCATCCGCCGTGCAGTCGCCTGCGCAGCCCTCGGCTACCGTCAAAAAGCATGCCCGCAACAGCACGATCCCCGCCGTACCCCGCATCCCTGTCAAATCCGCAAAAGCACCAAGTGCGGCTTCTACTACACAACAGTCGGTCAAGTCGCCCGCTGCGACTCGCAGGGAGTCGACACAGGCTGAAGACGCAGTGGCGGCGACACCGGACGCGGGCGCAAACGCCGAGGAGATGCCATCAGCATCTCCGCCTAAGCAGGCAGCGCCAAAATCATGGGCAGAGTTGCTTCGAGCAAAGAATGCTCCTGCTACAGCGCAGCCAGCTCCTGTGCCCAACGGCGCTGTTGCTGCTCCCAATGGCCCAGTCGTGCCGAAAAACAACACACTTGCCGATATTCTGGCGTCTTTCTCAGTCGATTCAGGAAAAAAGGTTTCCTTCATCGAGCCTCGTGGTCTGGTAAACACGGGTAACCTCTGTTATATGAATTCGGTATGTCTTGACCTGTCGTCGCCCTGAGTCCTCTGCTGATATTTGTCCAGATTCTTCAAGTACTTCTATTCTGCGTTCCTTTCTACGACTTCCTTGATCAGGTTGCCAAGCGCGCTGCTCATAGCTTCAAATCTGAGACACCTCTTGTTGACGCTATGATCATGTTTCTACGCGATTTTCGACTCATCGACTCTGCGAACAATGTCGAACAACTCCGACTCCGGCTGAAAGGCAACGAGCTTGAGCAGTACGGCGACCCACTTACGCCCGAGTACGTTTACGATGTTATCAAGCGTTTGCCTCGTTTCGACAATATGAAGAGGGGTCAACAAGAAGATGCTGAGGAGTTTCTGGGGTTCTTGCTTGCCGGACTGCACGACGAGTGCGTGCACATCATCAAGAGTGGGAAGCAGAGCCAGCCCGCAGAAACCAGTACATCACCCAATGCTGAACGCTCAGGATCTATTGACGGCGGCTGGGAAGAAGTCGGACATAAGCAGAAGACCGCTATCACGCAGAACTCTGGTGCCATTGACATTGAGAGCCCGATCACAAAGATATTCGGTGGAAAGCTGCGCTCGGAATACAAGAGACCCGGTGAAAAGGCTTCCGTTACGTTGGAACCGTACCAACCGCTTCAACTTGATATTGGCGAGCCCAATATCAACAACATCTCCGATGCCCTCAAGAACTTGACACGCCTGGAGACATTGGACGGTGCGGCTCGCGGGGCCAAGGCCTCTACAAAGCAAGTGCACATTGAGACTCTCCCACCAGTCTTGATACTTCATTTAAAGCGCTTCCACTATGACGAAAAGGGACCACAAAAGATTTGGAAGAAGATTGGGTATCCCCTAGAGCTAGAGCTTCCTAAAGAGGTCTTCCCGCCACACAAACGAGGCAGCTATCAGATTCAAGGAGGTTTCCCGCGTTACAGGCTCACTGGCGTTGTGTACCACCACGGCAAGAATGCGAGTGGCGGTCACTATACCGTCGACCTTCGACGTCAGGAGGGCAAGGAATGGATCCGTATGGATGACACCATTATCCGTCGTGTCCGCGCAGAAGAAGTCGCAGAAGGCGGTGCCGAAGAGGATCCCAAGGTCCTGGCTGCCGCTCTCGAACAGCACAAAAGCGACGCTGGCAAGAGCAAAAACTTCTTTGCCCAGATCGACATGGAAGAGGAGGAAACCGACAAGGGAGGTTGGAACCAGGTCAACGGGACAGAGAAGCAAAAGGATGGGGCCAAGAAGTGGGCTGTCGCCGTCAACGGTGCGGCGACACCCAACTCAGCGGGTAAGAGGACGCCACTACCCAAGGAGAACGTGCGCGACAACAAGGTGGCATACATCTTGTTCTACCAGCGTATCGAGACTTGAACCAAAACCAAAACATGTAGTGAAATGGTCTAGCTAGGTGGGGCGTATGATGATCCAGCGTTCACATACACACATGAACCATCTTTGACATGTCAACACAAAAGTTTACTGCAGCATCTACGACCTGGGAAGAAAACATATATGGGTCACGATATTTATGCCAACGACGCGTGGATCAATCACATGCATCGCGTCCTCACGCGGTATATGGGGGGAGGGGGGAAGAGTCAGGAGTAGTAACGTCACGTCACATGAGAGATACCCCTTGTGATGTGTGGGGGGGTTTTTCTAGGATATGACGGAATAATAAAACAATTCAACATTTTCACCTCTTGCTTTCCATCTCTCTCTCGTGATCGGTATGACTGGGCTGCCTGTGATTTGCCTGCATGGTGTTTTGATGGATTGCTTGGGAACATTGATGTACGTGAAGATTTTCTTTGTTGTTGTAATAAGGTGGAATTAGTGTGCTGAGGAAAAAAAAAGCTAGTTGGGGATCTTGATCTAGTCTTGATACAAGCAAAGGGTGGATGATGAGTGCGTGAGGCGGATGGGAGCTGCAGGGTCGAATTAAATATGATATTGAGGAAAGGCTCCCTATGTTGCCTAGGTTGAGTTTTGGAGTGGGTTGGGGAGACGGGGCAAGGGAGAGAGGGTAGAGATCTTTTAAAGCTTTGGATGATACTTGACGGCCGAGTAGGTTTGGACGCGAGAGGAGGGTACCGTTAATTGGAGCAGAGAGAGGATGGGTATTACTCTACAGCGAGATAGCTGTTTAATGCTATAGGGGAAGAAACACGAGTGGAATGGTATAAAATAATGGAAGCAGATATGAACGCGCCATGTTGTTACAATCGGCACTTTTATCCATGCAGTCCACGAAATTGAATTACAAGTTCTGAGATTGTGCGTTGAGATAGGTGACAATAGTGATCGAAGGATACAACCCGGGCCGTCCAATGTGCCCGCATTAGCGTTACGCGGGGAAGATACCGAAGATACCTCGGCTCCTACGCGCGCAAGTCCATCCACCATCCTCCCAGCAGCGACCATGTAGCATTTCATACCACTCCCGGTCGCCCCAGGGCTCCCTGTACCATTCAACTCCCCAATCGAAACAGCGACAACAAGCACGAGGGCAACGATCCTCCCCGACGAAACCTCTGTCTCGACGCGCCGCTCTCCCATCCACCATGTCGTCCATCAAACCCCAAACAGCACCCCCTCCCACCACGCACGTCCTCCTCTCCTACCCAGCCGACTACGTCCTCCTCGTCACCATCAACCGCGAACGACAGATGAATTCGATTCCCTTCGAGGGCCACCTGGAAATGGGCCTCGTGTTTGACTGGTTCGATCACGAGCCCAATCTACGCGTCGCCATTGTTACAGGAGCCGGCAAGAAGAGTTTCTGCGCAGGCCAGGACCTCATTCAACTCGGAAAGATAAGGAGCGGGGAGCTCAAAGCGAGTCCGGGGTTGATGAGGCATCCGTTGAGTGGGTTTGGGGGGCTGAGTAGGAGGATGGGGAGGAAGCCGGTTATTGCTGCTGTTAATGGGTTTGCGCTGGGTGGAGGGTTTGAGATTGTTCTGGGTTGGTGTGTTCTTCGCTTTCCTTGCCTCTCTTTCCTTCTTTCTTTCTCTAGAGATAGGAGTGTACTAATTCCTTTCTACAGTGATATGGTAGTAGCAGCACCACACGCAACGTTTGGTCTCCCAGAAGCGCTTCGCGGCATCTTCGCCGGCGCAGGAGGCCCGCCTCGTCTCGTCCGCAACGTCGGACTACCCATCGCATCTGAAATGGCACTGACCGGCCGTCCCATCACCGCACAGCGAGCCAAGGAGCTCAACCTCGTGAACCGAATATCGCCATCCCAGGATACCGTCGTGGAAGAGGCATTGAAGCTGGCGAATGAGATTGCGGCCATTTCACCCGATTCGGCAATCGTCACACGGGCAGCGCTAAAGGAAGCTTGGGAAACGGGCAGTGTGGAACGGGCTACGCAGTTGACGATTGAACAGTATAATCACGGTTTGAACGCGGGTGAGAATGCGCTCGAAGGGCTAAAGGCTTTTGCTGAGAAGCGGAAACCGAATTGGCGGCCTTCTAAGCTGTAGATGTGAGATTGAGAGATATTGGGCTCGCTGGACCTACGCTTTTTAGCAGTAGGTAGCTTACCGTTTTGCACTTGCATTTTCCAAAACATTCTTCAGGCGTTCTTGCTCGGTATCAAGTGGCTAAGTCGTTCCTCGCAACGACGAAACTTTGTCCGTCATCATGTGTAATGACAAAATTTGGCAATGTTTTCCTATACAGGTACTGAGTAGTTTCGCAGGGACTAGAAGATCTGATAGATACAAGCTTCTTTTTACACTATTCGTCCACCCTCACATACATGAAGCTGATGGCTTCCATAAATCCCAGGGTAGTATCTCAGCGCCAGCCTTCTCGAGCTGAGATTCTACCTCTCCTTCGATAGCCCCCGCGGGCTTGTCACCGATGTCGTAAGTAGAGTGCGCACCCCTCAACAAGACGACATTGAATCCAGCCGCCAACGCACCTCTGCAAGTCGAAAGCACACAGCATTCGCTCTGTATTCCAAAAGCCACAATCGTCTCTACACCCTCCTTTTTAAGCTGATCTGCAAGTTGTGGGTTGGACTCAAAGGCATCCCCTAAGAGCGTTTGTCAAAAAATCAACAGGAATAGCATCAAACTTCAAGAGTTCCGTATTACTCACGGACGTTCTTTGACACCAATGTTTCCCATCTGTCATTGTGTCGTGGCTTGAACACGAGCTCCCAGGGTTTGCTCCCTTTCACCAAAGGTCCCTTCTCTGCAACCTCCTCATGTTGCACAAACACAATCTCCACATCTGGTGTTCGTCCATGATCGTCAGCCGAGTCAATGGCTTGACGCGCTCTTTGCAGGATCCTAGTTCCGGCTTCTCGAATTCGCTCCGCGTGTGGTATCTCGGTCGTCGCATTTTGCGCCAATTCGACTTGTATGTCGATCACGAAAAGTGCTGTACGCGCCATGGCGGACTCCGCGCTTTGGATGTAGTGGTCGCGTTCTTTGTGGGAGTCGGGAAGCCTTTGTAAGGTTGTGCATGCCCATTGCAGGGCGTGTGAGTCATTGTACCAGAGGAGCTACGATACTGCGAGCGGAACGCTGGTAACGTGAGATCCTTGTAAGGACACCCGCGACAGTAATCCAAAGTAAACCAGCTTCTAGGCGAAGATTGAAAGGGTACATCGAGATATTAATGAGATCAGTTGCTAAATATCAGTTGAGTTTCACCTCTGCAGAGAACAGCAGATTGGTGACAAGACATCTCTCAAGCAGCTCGTGCACGACGGAATCGTCGCTTGCGCAAAGGATGAGGACAGTCTTGCAAGGCACTGTAGCACCTCATGTTGATCAGCAAACCAGTGGCCGAGTTACCTCTTGCAAGGACGAAACTTCGTCCGTTGTGGTATATGAGGGCAAGCTTCGGCAATGCTTTCCCCAGCACCCGACGTCAATCAGCGTCTTGCTGATCTCTATAGCCAATAATCGTACACCAAGCTTCATGAGGCTGTCTTGCCAAAACCCGATAGGGTTAGCAAAGGATGCGGGAAAGCGTAGTTGTCGCATGCATTCTACCTACCCCATAACCCCACCTTCCCCCGCATTATGGCACCCGGATGCCGCTAGCTCAACATGATGTCCAAAACCCGACTGAGGGAAAATCCCTCGGTAGGCGCTATCAGAGGCGGATTATAATGGAGCTTTTGTCGCTAGGATAATTAGTATTGACTCGGTTACATTGACATTGTATTGGAATAAATCTGAATCGTCTATCACTGACTTGCGCTGCGCGATTCGAATAGGAGCTAACAGGCTTGCTTTGACATCATACCTGTTCTGCCATGGTGGACCGACGAGCTAGCGACGCAGCTCCTCCACTTCAAACTCCCATTGCCCCCGTTGCAAAGCGGAAACGACGTGCCTCCTGCCTAGGAGAACAGGAGCGACGCGAGAGGAAGAGAGCTATTGACCGCGAAGCCCAGCGCTCACTAAGAGAAAAGACCAAAACGCATATTGCAGAGCTGGAGCGAACAATACAGATACTCCGAGATCAAGATCGTAATGGAGCGACCGCGAGTCTACTGTCAGAGATTGATAGCCTACGAGTGGAGAACGAACGGCTGAAAGATGTAATCGATAGTGTCAAAAGCGTGGTAGGACTGGACTTTGGCGTGTCCGGTAAGACTACTGCGACAGTAGTGTCACGACCACGAGCAGACGATGGTGGCGATGAAGCCACCTCTCCTGCTGCGACCAGTGCCGGTACGCATGACTTTTTATCATTGACTCTTGATCCTGCGATGGCTCACGCTAGATGGTAGGCCATCAGTCACCTAAGCCATGCGCCGTCTCGTCTAGCAGTGCGACGAAACCATCTCCATCAACACCCATCGATCGATCAACTACTTTTGTTCCGTCGGCGGTCAAGCGACCACTCGATCTCGATGGCATGACAGTCATGACAGACCTGCATCCACCGGCAATGCTGGCAAATCAACGTCAACAAGTCGAAATGGAGCTCGACCTCCAACCAGTTCGAGAAAGCTCAGAAGAAGGGGAGGTAGAAGACTTACCTTGGGGCAATGCACCAGCAACAGCGTCCTGGGCACCCATGATGGAAGAAGTACGCTCTTCTGTGTCTATTCATTGTTTCCCCTGCCGACTAACCCGCTCTTTCTGCAGATCTTCGGTCCGAACTGGCGTTGTCCCTCGCCGACTATCCTCCACATCGGCAATCCAGACAACCCAATCTCGAACTCTTCCTCCATCTGCCCCGTCTGGAAAAAGAGCAACGAGCTCTTCGGCAAAGTCTTCACCTACCATCATCGTTCCCCAGGTGCCACGAGCAGCTCTTCTTCCTCCAACAATAGTCTAGTGCGGTCCGATACTGCAGAAGCAGGACTGCTCTACCTAGGCATAAAACAGGGTTGGGACAACTTACCCTCACTGGAATGGATGAAGAGTCCAGCGCTCACAATCTTGAAACAGGTTGACGAGCTGCTATTCAAGCATCTGCCCAACGTAGAGAGGTTGGCCGTGGCGTATAAGAGTTTCAAGTTGCTCAAGGTACGTTGAAATTCACTTTGAACATTGGGGAGGCATGGAGAAAATGTCGCAAGCTATAAGATGGGAAGCTAATGTAGAAACAATCGTACAGTATTATCTCAACGCGACAAAAGAAGAATTGGATAAAGTGCCGCACTGGCTTCGCCCAAGGTAAACCACCCACCCACGCATGTACACTGTGTTCCCACTTATCCATCCCCCAACCGAGCCAAGTTCCCCTAACACCCAAGTCTCCAGTTTCTCACAATCATCGACCTCTCACCCCATAGCCCTCGATTTCTTCGCCTGGCCTACCATCCGCTCCCGCTTACTCAACCACCACACCACAATCTTCCAAACAAGCGCAGGTGCCGATCTTTCCAGCTGCTACTCGCGCTTCCTGCGTTTCGACTGGCCTTTTGCCATTGAAGATGCTTTCTTCCTCGACGAGGATACTGGCATGCATTACCCTAGTCCGCTATTTGAGCGCTATCACGGAGACTTGAAGTATTGGTCGGTAGACGAGCAGTTCTTCGATACATTTCCAGAGATGAGGGGCGATATTGAGGGCGATCAGAGAAACGCAAGCGCAGGGAAGGTGTAAAGGAGAGCATCCATGTCTTGACTTGATGCGCGATTCCCTGTTTCGCGGTCGTGTCTCCAGATACAAAAATCTGCAAAGGATACAGTGCAAGGGTCTTTCTGGATCTAAATATATTTTGCTACTAGGACGTCGAAAAACATAATAAATAGTCCGATAACTGTACGTATCAAGTGCACGGACGCGGTGGTTATCAGCGGCTATCGTGCCTGGTAATCTGACGCTGCGCTGCGATGGATGGATGACCAAAGCAAAATGACTCAACACTCTTTGCAAACTTGTAAGCTGAAGTCCCTAGCACATCGGCCTCCCATTATCGTTTCCAGGGAAAATAGATCAACATGTCTTTACGACGCAAGTCCTGCAATGCTTGCTTCAAGAGCCGTCGGAAATGCAATCGAGATTACCCCACATGCGCATCCTGTCGGAGGACGAAGAAGGATTGCTATTATGCTTATGCGATGATTCCCCAACCAGGCCTGCCGGATCATTTGGTTTCGACGGAGAGCGAAAATACAGATGGCGACGACCTCGTGGATACTCTTATGACAGCCGGGAATGGGGTCTCTACAGCTACAGATATGCTCCATCCTACCATTTTGGATTTTGAACCTTACCAATCTGCATTTCCACTGGAAGACATGCGACAGCCGGACGATGCTATAACGTCAAGAAGCCAATTCAGCTTTACCAGTCAGCAATGCAGTCCCGCTATGTTCCCGTCGCGAATACCGTCAACATCGCCAACGTCGAGCATACCGAGTTTCCTCGGCGGTCTTGGTGACTTGCAGCGCGTAGAGGGCAGCACAGAAAGCTGGCAGTGGGTCATCAACGAGCTGAAGCGCTGTCCACGCGACTTGGCCATGCGCGGCGAAACACTATTTCTACACAAGGAGCTATATCGTAGCATGATGCCGGCGGCGATCCGAACAGCCTTGGGCCTGTCGGCGACGTATTGCTTGCTCAACGAAAGTAATCAACATGTCATGTTCCAAGCCATCGATGCCGAGGTGTTTGATTTACTCCAGACGCCTTCATTGTCGGGAGTAGATATAGCCAGAGCGAAGAACAGTGGAGATGATGGCGGCATGACTCTGATCGAGGAGTTGGCGCGGCTGCAGGCGCTCACATTGTACCAGATGATACGCATGTATGAGGGAGGACTCGAACAGCGCGCTCTCGTTGACCTTCAAAGAGGCATAATGACCACTCGGGCGTTACAGCTACTTAGGCGATTGCGAGCGGAGCGTGACAATGACCACGGCTGGCATGCCTGGATTATCGCTGAGAGCATTCGTCGCACTGTCTTGACGGTCTACATGTTCTATGCCGTGTACTCTATAGCGATACATGGCTTCTGTATCGATTTCCCTACGATTGCAAAACTACCTGTGTCGACGTCACCGGAGTTGTGGCACTCCGGGGATCTTCATCCGTCGCAGCGTTGGAGCAATGAGACGGAGCGGACGTTGGCATATGAGGATTATACGGAAGCGTGGATGGTATCGCCACATGTCACGCTGCTTCCGTTTGAGAAATTCCTTGTTGTCCCTTGCAAAGGACTCGAAGGCGTCGCTGCGTATAGTGGTGCTGTATTGTAGCCTTAACTCACTACCCTTCTAGTATCATGTTTCGTATCTCTAACTACTCCATCTCGCCGCCTCTGCTTCTGTATTACTGCTACAGCAGTCCCCTAATAGTCATTACCATCAGCCGTGTTATTTTCGACTTCCCTGCTGTCTTTAGTAGAAAACAGCGCAAGATGACAAAAGCCTCCCTTATCTACCGGTGATTACACCGTTTACACCGTGTTTTAGCAACGACACGTATCCAGCCCAAGAAGTACTCAGTCGCTTCACTATTCGATGCCGAGATGCTTGCTCTCCAGGGGTCCTGAATACACTCATCGTCTACCAACTACCAACTACCGTCGAAATCAGCCAGCCTTGTGGACTCAGCTAACAAGAAGCAAATATACGTATCTGGACCCTTGGGGAAAGGATGTTCTCATGCCACAGCACTACGTCTCCTTATACCACACAAAATGAAGGACCGACAAACGTTTCAAGGTCACTTCGTCATTCATACAACCGTCCCTTACGAATCCTGGAATACTCCACTTTCTCCACACCCTGAGCAGCGATCACCAGACTCCCAATGTTGGAGTTGCCCTCAACATCGGCAAAACGGAGTCTCAAATCTTTGAGCAGTCTAAACCGGCCCGAAGCAGGGAGGAACGATCCACCTGCGGGAATTGGTATGTGGAAATTGTTTCTCGTAGCCAGGCTGGAGAAGTTTATCGCTATGTCTGGGCCGTTGATGAGAAAGTGACGAACCAGAGGTGGAGCGAGGCTGAACGCTATGAGGATTAGTGATGCGATGGCGAGTATGATGGTCCAGGGTTTGTGAGCTACAAGGATCTCGATGCGCTCATGTTTGTTACCTTGTGAAGACCAAACTTTCGATTTTGCGCTATAGTCGTTTGTCCAGTTGTAGTGACCTAAGGTTACCTCAGCTTGATGACTGTAGTTGTCGACCTTAGGCGGCACAAATGTGACGTTTGTATCCCAGAAATAAGAAGTATCGTTTCGAATGCCACCAGTTACGGTATAGATACCATGCAAACAAGTCCAGTACGAATTTAGCAAATGGCCAAATCTTTCAGACAAGGCCTCGTTAGAGAACTTTGTTGTATCTTGGCTTACTTGGTCCTTGGATGCGAACTGGGGTGCAGTAACGAGCGAAGGAGCCCTCAGGTAGTTGTCGAGGATGCTTCCAAGAGGATCAGTCCACTTTTTTTCGCCGCCTATACTGGCCATGAATCCGTCCATGAATGAATACATATTTGAATATATATTTTTTCCTGGTTTCGCGTCCATTATAGTGATTGCAGGTGGGAGTTGGTCCAGCTGCGAGCGGCGGACTTTGGTAGCTTGGCAAGTTGAATTTACAGCACACCAAACTTGAACCTCCACATAACTGGTTTCCACCGAGCAAGATACACTGCCAATAGTCCCATCACGGTGGAAAGAGTCAAAGTCGAAGGTTGGCGAGGATAAATAGGCATCTTTAGAGCTAGCATTCCAGTTCCTTTCGACATAAGAAAGGTTGAATGGCTGCACTGTCTCGGGTGCCTGTGTCCATCTTTCCAGAATTCTTTTGTCTGACCACCAGATGAGACCGTCCTTGCCAGTTACATTCAGAGTATCTGGAGGCAGTTCCCCGTAAGGACTTGTTCCGTTCGTCGTATGGTTGACGGGGGCGCATGTCAACTGAAGATACTCCGTTTGTAAGTGAAATGCATAGTCGGTTGAAGTAGTATTATCTTGGGCACCACGAACGGGGATGCCGACGAAAGAGGAATATTTAGCCAGATCATCATATTGTGGTCTAGTCTCAAACCAACCGTCGCTGTTGGGCTTTGCTATCTTCTCGTAGTGCTCGATTCTAGGTATTTTGATGTTGCCCCATAGATCGACTGGAGAAGCTTCAGTACTCAAGGAAGCAAAAAGGGCGGTGATAAAAAGACTGTTCACAGTTGGAATCATTTTAACCGCTTCTTCCGATATTTTGCCTGGTACAACATATTGAAATGATGCAATGCTGCGTTTCACTGTCGTCTCGACCGACATTTGCCGGAGTGATGCTTGACCCCCGATTGGCGATAGCATCCATATAGCAACGAGCAATACACTCAAGAAACTGATTTGACGAAGGTGTACCTGTGATGTGACCGTGCTCGTGAGGGATGTACTCGCAGCTAACGTGTCGAGGATCTGGATCCGTTCGCCTTTCTCTAGGCGCCAGAGAAGGATTGCGTGGGTTGCTCGACCAACGACAGAGGCGAAGAGGATTGGGAAGATGGTAGGGCCCTATTTATAGCGTCAACTTCCAATCATCCTTACCATTATGTGTGGATACATACATATTTCGTGGCTCTTGTTAGAACGCTGGTAGCCGTTGGATTCTCGCTTGTCGGAGCCTCGTTGTATTGCATGACTACGAGCGAAAAGACAAGGAAGCATGCGGAGAAAGCGAACAAAGCTATGTCAAACACCCCATGCAGTAGCATCGTAGACAGAGGACGCTTGATACGGCTCGGCGATGTTGGCCAGCCTCGTGGGATAAGAGTTGCATCGTTGAGGTCAAGAAGAGGGGTTGCCGTCGATATTGACTCCTGTTTGGGTTCGAAGTGAACTGACAAGGTAGATTGGCTAGCCCCGTAATGAAGACTCTGGGTACTCTCCATGATGCTGTCAGAGTTATTGAGATGTGAGGAAAGAAGGGGGAAAGACAAAGAGGGAAGGAAGCAATGGAAGAAGGCTACCGATCTTGCGAGATCAACAAAAATAACAGCTCACTACTGCATGTACACAGCCTCGGGCTGATATCCAGCCTCTAGAGTGGCTGCTGTTCATGGTGTGGTTGAGCAAGGCTGGCCTATCGCAGAAGCTTTGTTCAGCCTCCATATGCAAGTATGGAACGCGAGCACCGAATCCAACATCGAATCCAATCCGACGCGTCATTATAGATCTGTGATATGGATGGAGGTTCACGATTGCAAAATCTGTACCATGGTTGAAACTGGAGTGAACTGGCAATCCTGAAGACAAGTCGGGTATCATTATCGAGAGAAAACTTGCCAGCTATTAGACCCTGCCTCCGTGCAACTTCACACTCTATAATTACTAAACCCTCTCACTTCCCCCTCCCCTTCCCACCCCGTTTACCCCCTCTACCACCAGTCTTCCCCTTCCTCTGCTTCTCACTCAACGACCCATCAAGCAGTGCAGTAAAAGTCTCGCTACGCGTCTTCGGAGCATCATCCGGCGTCGGAACCACAGACTCCTCGTCCTGCAAGTTCTGCGTCGAAAGCCTCGTATTCCTCCTTCTTGTGACGCGCTCCTCGGCTCTTGAGGGCGTTGCTTCAACGTCTGTGTCTTGGGTCGGTGTCGCGACGACATCGATCGTGTCCGAGTCTTGTTTAGCTTTTGTTGGTACCTTTTTGTCTTTCTTGGGGGGACGGCCGCGCTTCTTGGGTTGTGGTGTGTCGATTTCGGGCGAGGGTTCTGCTTGAGATTTGCTGTCGTCCTCCTTGTTGTCAGCGTCGGCTTCGGTGCTCTCTGCGCTCTGTGTTGCCTTCTTCTCTGCCTTCTTGGCTTCCTTCTTCGTCTTTGACTTCTTGGCTTTTGTCTCCTTCTTCTGCTTCTTTGACGTTGTCTGGCTGGACGATGTGGCTTCCGAGTCGATTTCCGTGCCATCTGCTGAAGTAACGCGGGCTTTCTTGGTCGCCGGCTCTGTTTCCTCTAGACCTTCCATCACCTCATCATCTGAGTACTCTTGCTGGTCGTCGACTTCGTCGACAGCCCTTTTCTTTGGTGTCGCGTCCTTGGATTCCATCTCTTTGCCCTCATCGTCGAATTTCTTGTTGATCTTCTGGGCCTTCAGGTGCGCTCGCGCCTTTTCCTTTGCTATGCGCTCCTGCCTCTCGAGATCGTACTTGTCGTTGCCAGCCAGTCCATGCTTGATGAATCTCTGGGCTGCGCCTACATCCAGTCGCGCCCTGCCTTCAGCACTACCCATTATGCCTCTGTCCTTGATGTCCTTGATCTTGCTGTTGTACTGCTTTAAGCGCGCAATCTCTTTGAAAACATCGTGCTCCATCGCATTGACACCCGAGGCCTTGAGCACGGAAAAGAGGATCGCCTCGACGGCATATGCAGACATGCAGTAGAACTCTGCCTTGTCCAGAAGCGGGAGGGATGACGCGGTCGTGTGCAGCGGCGTTGCTAGTAGAGGCTCGAGTGCTGTAGTGAGCTCGTCGATGTTGACTTCCAGGTCCTCAACGAGGTCGGGAAGGTCTGTTTGCGGATCCATGATGATATAGTGATAGTCGCGAATACCGAGCTCGTGTCTTGGGAGGTTGCGACAATTCGCGACAAGTGCGGGTGAAGTTGTTGTAGTCGCGGTCTGGAAACACAAGCCAAAGAAAAGTTGCGGGCCGAGCGTAAACCCGCGCTAGCTCCGGCATCCAAACGTTGGATAGCTCATAGCGTCATTCACTCACCTCCGCCGACTCTGAAATTGCCTTCGCCCTTTGTAGAGTTGGTCGCAATATACACATGTGAATTGCAAATCATTCAAGCTGTCTTTCTCCTCTGTTTCACAATTCCTCCCCAGGCTTCGGCCTCGGATACCACACATAAGAAGAAGATGCGACTCCGGTAGCAATTGCGCGAGCCGGGTGGCTTACTATCAGACGAGGGACTTCATGACGAGCCGGAAGAAGTCAGAAAGCGTGGGCGCACAAAACGAACTGGCAGATGGGTCCGTATTCATGGCGTTACTCTAGAACCACCACGACTTACAAGATGCAGCAAAGATAGACCAGATCAATCCGTCCCCTCACCAGCTTCTCACAACACAGCCGACTTCTACCGCAGACAATCTGTACTCGACCGCCGGGTTCATATAATGGGCATTGGAAATGTGGGCAAATTCATTGCGCATGCCCTACGTGGAATACCAAATGCGCCTCCAGTAACGCTGATCTTTGGGGGTTGGGAAAAGTACAACGAATGGAACAATTCGCAACAAAGGCTGACGCTGGTCACCGAAGGTGATGCAGAGATAAGGGACGGTTACGATGCCGAACTAGCAATACCGCGTGTCCGATACCATGGTCAAGAGGTGGGCTTGAATGCTTCCTCTGTAGATGCTCCAGGAGGGCCTCGAATCTTGCCTGGAGAATCAACCGAACCTATCAGCTCGCTGATCATCTGCTTAAAAGCCCCTTTTGTTCTGCAGGCCATCTCTTCTGTCAAGCACAGGCTGCACAAAGACTCTGTGGTGTGTTTCTTGCAAAATGGCATGGGGGTAATCGAGGAAGTCAATAGGGAAATCTTCCCAGATCCAGAGACCAGACCACACTATATCCTCGGAATCAACTCGCATGGCATGCACACTTCGCGAGACGGTCGATTTACTACCGTCCATGCCGGTTTTGGGACGATTTCCTTGGGTATTCTACCCCACGAACGAGACCGCAACCCCAACGAGCCCTATGTGCCCGAGTTGAGATTCACCGCACCAAAAGACAGCAAACCATTCTATCCCGACGAGCCCGACAAACTCAACCCAGAGTACCCACCCCCGAGCAGCGGCAAGTTTCCCTTTACGCCCAACCAACGCTACCTGCTCCGAACCCTCCTCCGCACCCCAGTGCTGAGCGCAGCCTCCTTCTCACCCCCAGACCTTCTCCAGATGCAACTCGATAAGCTAGCCGTAAACTGCATCATCAACCCCCTCACCGCCCTTCTGGACGCGCGAAACGGCGCCGTCTTGAACAACTACGCCCTGACCCGCACAATGCGCCTCCTGTTATCCGAAATCAGTCTCGTCATCCGCTCCCTTCCAGAACTCCAGTACATCCCCAATGTATCTCAGCGCTTCGATCCGGGGCGTCTGGAAACCGTTGTCGTGGCTGTGGCACACCGCACCAGGGATAACGTGAGCAGTATGCTAGCGGATACGCGTCAAGGTGCACAAACAGAGATTGATTACATCAACGGATGGGTTGTCAAGAGAGGGGAAGAGCTGGGAATTCGATGTGCGATGAATTATATGATTATGCAGTTGGTCAAGGGGAAGAGGATGGTGGTGCAGCATGAAATGGAGGAAGGGGTTCCACTTGTGGAGGAGAAGAAAGGGGGTAGGGCGGAAGCAGACTTGGTGGTGAAGAGGGGTCAGGCGGAAGCTAGTAAGGAAGATGCCCGTGAGAAGGAGAAGTTATAAGGGGATACACGTTTTGAGTCTTGTGGCTACGGTCTTTGTGTAGTTCGATCACCTAGCTTCTCAAATACTACCAAATACAACAAATGTAGATGAACAGATGGGCAATGCCCATGACTAAAGTAGGTAATCGATGGACAGCGATCTGCGGCCCGCAGAGCAAGATACGCCGTTGATCGCAGTCCTCACTTCAGACGCCATACGCCCATACGAAACGACCATGCCCGTCGCTCAAACTCAATTATGGCCCGCCCGTCCTCCCATCGTTCGGGTGTCCACCCAAGAGCGGGTAGGCATATATCGCAGAGCATACCCCCCAAGCAAATACACCGACTACGAGCACGAATCCGATTAGATGCGGCACTGTGCGGTGCGCGAGCATCATGCGTCCATGGCCGTTGATATTTGGTGGGAAGATGTAGTAACGTCTAGAAGGTGGATAGCCTCGCTGCAACGGAGTGGTAGGGCTCACTTCGATGCCAGAGTCGTGAGCAGAGCCGGGTGAAGCGATGGTCCCGTACACGGCGTCTCGAAAGGAGGGTTTCGGTGGTTCATCGCTTCGTGTTGGGTCCATCTGTGAGGTTGTCAGCAATCGAGTTGAGCGAGCCAGAGTACATGGGCTTGCGTATCTGACCTCATCCGCCATAGTGTAGCATTGTCTTACTGGATGTGTACACGTGGAAAGGTGTTTAACTCGCTGCGAACGCTCGAGCTGGTAGCTATCCTGCGTGAAAAGCAAGGCCAAGCAAAGCCGCAAATGTCCGGCGAGTCTGAAAAGTGCCGCAAGTGCTGCTCAGCCTCGTGTCAAGAACGCCATGTATCCTGGGTAGTACCGAGCATCAGCCGGTACGAACGCGTAGAGGGCGTTCGCGGGACGCTGCATGTTGATCAGTGACCAGGATGGCAGCGAGACGGGCGAGGCGCTTGCACGGCTCAGCTAAGATGCAGGTGGGTGAGTCTTGGTCTAGTTTCGTGATGCGATGCCCCGTCTCCGCAGATCGTCAAAGAGCCCACACAGCGGCCCCGGTCTCCCCGCCCAGGAAACTAGACAAATTGGGCAAAGAGCATGGTGCTAAACTGTGGCATGGCCCATCATCTCTGTGCATCATGCAAGTCCTTCTCGCGAAAACAAAAAAAAAATGTCTCTCGGTGATGGTTGTGCAGGTCATCGGTTTGCATGTACGCCAACGAGATGATTCGCCTAGTCCAGGCCTTATGCCACAGGAGGCGTGGTCGTACCATGTGCAGAAAGCGGGGCACGCACTTAATGGCTGATGTGGCGGAGGAGGACTGAGGTCCTGCGCAGAGTGCAATACTCAAGTGCATAAGAGTGCAAACAGGTCTCATACGACATTCCGCGTAATTGACGGCCTCCCGATGCGACAGCGCAGAACTCTGCCCGACACATCTCTCTCCCCAAGGAGAAACCTGTATATTCTGACGACTCGACATAGATTACACAGCTTCCGACGACTCGGCGTAGGTTACACGGCATGTTTGCTATCTAGGACCTACCGTACCTGGACGTATTCTTGGAACTCCGACTTCATCTTTTCCTTCTCTTCTGGCCGTCTTTGCTCCGTGGCCCCAGCGCTGTTCTGGCGTGAAGATCGAGTCTGTTGACCGTTGTTGCTAGCCATGGCATCAGCCTCTACAGCCTTCTTCGGTTACATTAAAATCGAAGACAGCCCCGAACCAGAGGTACTCGCCGCTGAACCTACAACGCTTCCTGTCAAGCTACCGGCACCTATCAAAACCAGAGATCCGGAAAACTTCCTGAAACGATGCTCAGGTCTTTCCAAGAAGACAAATCACCGATGCGGCGTTGTTATTGGGAAGAAGTCGCAAAAGGACGCTCATCCTACATTCCTGCCTACGTGCAGCTCTCACCGTGATCAGCAAAGCCTTGCTGGATGGTGCCAGTTCATGTGCTCGGATGGAGAGAGGTGCGGGAGGCTTTTCAGATGGCGGCCGTACGTTGCATTCAGATGTGAACCGTGCATGGAAGATGTACTGACCACGTATCTCTGTCTATAGGCCATACTTTGAGCTTTGTGATGATCACCAAGGTCATCCAGATACGCCCTGTTACTTCTTCGAGCAGCTGCCACTTGAGCTGCGACACGAAGTCTACCGCTATCTACTGCCTACTGAATCAATTGGCTCTTCAACAGCTGCTGTCCATCGAGAAATTGACGAGGACCCTTTCTCAACCCGCATGCTCAACTCTCGTACGAATAATCGCTTTCTGCAGCAATCACCGCCATCCGTGTCTTCGGGTCTTGCACCACCACTCGTAGCTGCATTCCCCATGCGACTCACAGACCTCCTTCTTGTATCCCGTCAAATTCACGACGAAGTAAAAGACCTGCTCTTCAGCATTGTCACTTTCAAGATTGATGTCCGCAAAGACGGTGCGTTCATGTGTGGTCGTCGACTGTTGGAACCAAAACGGGCAGATGGATCTTCGCATATGATGGCGGAAGAGGCCGACAAAGCAAAAAAGAAGTTTCTGACAAGCTTTGCTTGGGCATCTGTAAAGAATTACACTGTGGATATCTTACTGGAGAATTGGGGTGATGCGTATCCTCGCATCAATCACGGTCTCAACCCTCCTTGGGATGAGGAGGTCGAAATCTACGACATCAGAGGTAGGTATCTGATTCATACTCTCGACGTCTCACTAAAAGAAGCAGATTACGTCTCTGTGGTCGTCTCCGGCATTTTGGCCAAATCGAAAAAGCTCTTCAAGCTACAAGTCCGACTTGGGCTAGATGATTTCCAGTGGGACGAGTATGAGATTCTGTCAAACGCCAAATTGTTGTTTAGCCCGTTCGAGCGATTACGAAATGTACGACAGCCGAGTATTGGTGGCGTATTCGATGGACGACCGAATAATAACTCGGTGTACTCTGTGATACCGGGCACTTCTCAGATCTATTCTGCGCCAACAGGTCACTACGAGAACTGCTGCTCAGTGCCCTCGATGCCTACCAACAAACCAATGCTAGTAGCCGGTATGCCAGCTTTTGATGCTTATGCCGCCGAATGGAAGCACCAAATCTCCTCAGAGAGCTCCAATGCCATCACGGAGGAACCGCCTATTCGGAAAATGTTTACCGAATTCCGCAACTTTTATAGTGAACTGGCCACCTACGTACCGGATGTAACGTTTAGGAATGGAAGGCATACTTTCTTGCATCGAGCGAGGGTGGCGCGCGAACAGGAAGATGTCGTAGCATTCCGTGGTATAAGAAATGAGCTGATTCACTACTGGGAGGCTTACAAAGCTGATGAAGAGCGGAAGAAGCGGGAAATGGACAAACGCTTGGGAAAGCTCCTCGAGAGCGACATGTATCCTTCGCACGAATGGGAAGATGCGAGTCCAACACGACCTCAGTCGCCATTTGGTCAAACCGCGCAGTCTCCCGTGCTCTTGGACCCTGATAGGATGGCTCAAGAGGGTATCCCTATGACGGGAAACTCTGGCGAATCGAGACCGTATATATCGGACCAGAGGTCAGTTCAACTGTCGCAAAACCTACAGAGTCGCCAACAAGAGGCGCAAAGACAATACGCGATGCGCCTGCAGCAGCAGCAGCCGTTGGGCAACCTTGCCGCGAGCAACATGGCCGCGCGCCAAGGACAACAACAGTGCATAATGAGAGTCCAACAACCACAACAACAGTCACAAAACCATACTTCTCCTCTCCCCTCTCCCTCTCCTCCTTTTCCTACCCAACAGCGACACACGACCAATGGATCGACGAGCGTCCCAAGAAAAGGCCATCCCACACTCTCAGACTACGCTTTCCAACACCAACAGGTCCTTCGAGCCCAGGCGCAAGCCCAGGCGCAAGCCCAACAACAAGCATATCAGCAGCTCCATCCACGCCTGACAGGAAAACAGCAATACCAAGCCAGACAACACGCTCTCTTCCAACAATCCCGCCACTGCCTCGCCAGACTGACTAGACTAAAGAAGGAAGAAGGCACGATTCGTCAACAAGCAAACCAAGTCCTATCTTCCTTGCGCACGAAGCAGAATCCTGCAGACGCGGCTAAACTACAGCACAACTACAAGTTACAGGCCCATGGAATGACGCTGGCTGTGCTGGAAGCACAGAGGAAGTATGATGAGGTTGAGGGGGAAAGAAGGATTCTGGAAAAGTGCTTATCGAGGACAACGAACATGGTGGCGATGAGAACTCAGATGAATACCATGATGGAGGTAGGTGCGAGGAAAGATCAAGTACTACTGGATACAAGTGAATTTCTCCAGAGGAAGGCGGATAAAGACTCGTTGGGGTTGAAGGAAGAGGACAAGGGAGATGGGGAGGACGGTTCAAATGTTTTGTTTGACAATGAAGATTTGTACTCTGATCCGTTCCACGATGAACTTTCTGCACGGCGGATAAAAGAGGAGGAGGAGGAGGGGGCGGAGCGTGGGAAGAGGGGGCGCGAGTGCGATTCTGCGGGTACTACTACTACTACCACCGTCGACACTACGACTCAAACCCCCGAATCCTACATGCGACACAAAAGGTCAAGCAGCCCGCGCATGGCTGAAGAGAGTCTGGGCGCAGCACAAGGGGGAGTAGAAGTAGATGTAGGTGTGCCAGGACCGTCTGCGACCAAGAAACGGAGGATCGACTCGGGGTACTATGAGACAATGGAATGTAACATCGACTCGAGCTCGAACGACGAGCGGAGACAAGAATCTGAAGATAGGTTGAGGGCGTCGCAACTGCAGATACAGCGTGAGTGGAAAGGCCCGTCCTATATGGGGAAAGGGAAGGGCAAGATGCAAGGTAATGGCGATGCTGAGATTGCGTCTAGCCGGGATTGAACATGTTGTTGGGTTTGAGGAGAATAGAATGGCAAGTAAAGGGGACTTCAAAAGTGGGTGCGCGCAAGGATGGAAGTGGGTTTCTTGAAAGTGCGGAAGCAGGTAATTGGATGGTACATTTTGACTTGAGAGATTTCTTGAGTTGAGACTTGGGGGTATGTATATATCACAGGTATGAAACAAAAGACCGTACGGGCAAAACACTTTGGTTGAATGGAAAGAAAAAAGAGCATTTTCTCTGCAGAGGCAATATGCGTGTAACCGAAGTGGGGTGGTTTGATTCCCAATATGAACAAACTATGCCAAACACCGCCGCCCCATCTCAGGATATATGCCGTGTTCGCTATCTATGCATCACAAATACAGTCTCTCTGCATCTTTCTCTGCAAGCATCTCTCTCCTTTCGAATTCAATACAATTGGGCGTCTCTCCCCTAATTCCCAATCTCGCGTGTGTTCCATTGCAACTTAGTACTGACCAGCCGCCGCCTGGCAGGCCTTGAGCTGGTCCAAGTACCAGCCACAGATAGTCAGACTACCCTGGTTCTCGTCCATGCACTTGCGGAAGCTCTGGACATCGTTTGCGCAAGGACCCGACTGCGCCATCTGAGCAGACGCCGCGTCAGCGGGCTGGTGCTGGGCGGAGAATTCAGTGTTTTGAGGCGAGGCTTCGGCGGGGGCCGAGGAACCGCCTCCAAACCAGCCGCCGACTGCGTGGCCGATGGAAGATCCTACTGCGACACCGCTGTGCAAAGCGCGTTAGTCAAATGCATATGCGTAGTTTGTGGCCCAAAGTTCTTCTTTGCAATGTTTCTTCGCATGACTACGTCATGGCAATGGGGGTGGCGCGACATGGGTTCGTAATGGGAGAATGGAGTGCTGCCTGGGGTCCTACTTACGCAGCGGTGCTAGCCATTTGTCCGAATAGGCCGGGTCCCTGGGGCGTAGGGGCCTGAGCCTGCTGTTGGGGAGGCGCATGAGCGCTGGCTGGTGCGCGAGGGGGAGCAGCGGCGGTCGAGTGCGGGCGCGAGGAAGCGGGCGCGGGTGCAGTGGTTGCTTGCTTTGCAGCCGGGACCTGCGGGCGGCGAGGGGGAGCGGTTCCAGAGCGCTGGCGAGGCATGTTTGATGGATTCGGTGGCGGTGGTGGTGATGTTGGGATGAGTTGAAATGCGTGGTACAGCGGTTCGTGAGAGTAAATGCGTCAAGATGGCGAATTCAGATGTTTTGAGCTCCGAGGTTCGAGAAGCATCGGTGTTAGCGCAGTTTAGAGGGCTTGGCGTGCGTGCATATCGCCGGCGTCCTCATTGGCCCGTTTCCCTTTGAGTACCTGTTCTGTCAGATCACACAAAAAGACTGAACACTGCTAAGTAGTAAACTAATAGATCGCCATGATGCCATCTAGCCAGTCTTGATAATCCGTCCAACTGCTTGCGAGACAGATTTGTGTCGCCCGAAGTTAGTGTATAATCCTCGTTGAACTGTCCAATCCGCAATCGCCCTACCTTTCCCTACAGCTAGACGCGTAGAGTCGAGATTCAAACGGAGACGCAGTAGTAATTGATGTTCGTCTAGATGACCATACTATACAACTGTTTTGTCTAAGCTAAGTACTACGTATAGGCTTTGCCACGGAGAAGGACCTCTAGCTTTCCAAAAGTTGAATGTCAATCAGCTTAGCAAACATCTTCCACCTCCATGTCACCCCCGCTCCTGGGCCCCAGATCACTTCGGAGCGTCCGATTGAAAAGTTCCTTGAGCATCTCAAAACAGATCCCTGACAACGCAGCATCATACCGACCCTTGCTAAGTTCGTCACGGATGAAAGCATCTACAGCATATTAGTGCGAGTTGCCTACACCAATTTTGAAACTAGACTTACGTTGTGCCCAAGCCGGTTCGTAGAATGAAAATGTTACTCCAGCCTCATGAAGCGTCTTCCTAATCAGATCCCTGCCCTCAGGCGGAACATGGTTATCCATTTTACCAAAGATCATGACAAGCTCCCCCTTGATATCCTTGGTGCGTGCAAGGGAGTCGTCCTTCTTGCCCTTGCCTAATGTGGAACTGTGAATGTCCGTCGCGAAATAGCAGATTGCGCTGGATATGCGCGGATCAAGAGCGCAGCGGTAGGCTAGGTGGCCACCCAGGCACATACCTAGTCATGGTTAAGCTGGATTGATGGACAAGCTGGAGTAGAAGGCAGATAAATGGGGACAGCAAACATGACGTAAGATGGACATAGAATACGAGGGACCAGTAACATACCAGTAGCGCCAACCCGTCCGTTGCACGTTGGCAGTTCAAGCAGTGTGTCAATAGATAGTGTGGCATCTTCGTCATATGCTTCAACTGTCTTGGTGATCTTCCATTCATTTCCGGCATCCGTACCCGGACCGTCGTACGCAAGAGGTTCTGGACCTGTGAACTCGTGATAGGATGACGGAGCTGCCACAATATAGCCTTGCGACGCTATCTGGCGGGCGAAGCGGGCTACGGGTCCAGTGACTAGTCGGAGCTCAGTCAGTAGGTGTGATAGATGGTGTGGGTGACATTATGCAGCTGAATCGGTGGTTTCAGCGAACAAGAATATAAGTGACGGAGTTTCTACAGCTAGAGAAGGAGAGGCAAAGAGTTTGAGATATATAGCTTGGTGGCCACGTCTACTCTTGGATCGTCCACATCAACTTTGCATTATGAATAGGAACAAAATAGTCCTGGTTAGGAAGACGACACATATTGGAAACAAATCTCAAAACCTGTTGAGATGACGCAACGTACCTTGGTATATCTCGGAGAACACAACGACACCCGGAAACTTGGCTTTGGGGTAATTGGGGACAGTGGGATGGAAGATGAAGATCCCTGGGTGACGAGCGTACAGATCAGCTTCAGTGTAACCAAATGACATTTACAACAGCAACGTACTCATGTCACCGCCTGCCTTGGTCGGCACATCCTTATGTGTCTCTGTGATGAGCATTGTGTGTTTCTTGTCTTGTTCGACCTGGGTGTTTGTTTGGCTGTTGGTGAGCCTACGCGTTTGCGAAAGTGATGTCTGAGGTGGGGTGGTGGGGTAATGTTATCAGCACGGTCCAGGTTGCTGCGAGACTCGACAGTACGAAGCAGATGCGACGATGGCAGGGCTGGCGTCTCCCACAGTTTGCGTATAAAACCCATGAGAATGGTAGACCAAAGTCATGATTTTGGATTGAACTCATGTTAGTATTGCAGATACCACTCTGTACGTATCAAGGTCGACAGGGCATACACACGAGCTCGTACGCATACTCATACGACGATTATTCTGTAATAGTATAGGACATTCTGGCACATGTTGGCTGCAAGTGCCACAGCAGATTACTTCTAGCGAAAGATTTGAGTAGGATGTGAATACGTGCCTTGTTGATGCTTGGAAGTGGCCTTTGCCAAGTATATTTTGGCCTAGGCTATGTGTGGAGAGTATCTGGTTAATGGAACTCGGTTCAGGGTCTAAGAAGGGAACAGCCCAGGAGGAAGCCATTCAGCCCATGTGACAATATGCAGCCCTGGAAAGGTCACACTCCGGATCTGATAATATCTTCATCGGAGTCGCGGGAATCCACAAAAGCTTATCCTAGCACTATGAGTGCCCAGTGGGGTCAATTGGGTAGCGTTAGTGGAGCCTCTTCGGATGACACATGCGCGATGATGTCATTTTTAGCTACTTGTCGCCAGTGGTGGTAACGAACGACAGAAAAATATTGTAACAATGTCATCCGACAAGTACGGTTGCAGCGGCACCCGGGGCACGGAGACGTGCCGGCTTGGTATTGCGAACCAAGATGTGACGAAATAGTCGAATGGCTTTTGAGGCCTCACCGCTAATGGCGCCATTTCGGCGACGATCTTCTCACTGTCGAGAAGTAACTGCGAAAGCACAGCAACTGGTTGAACCCCGAATGCAAGTTGTGCGCTGCTGCCAGTGTAGACATAACAGGCCGGAAACATCGCTGTGCACAATGTTTCGGTAGTCGCGCACCCCTGTCATTGTAAGCGTTGAGGCTGCGCGGGATCAAGCGATGTCGCCTCAGATACGATTCGAGATAGGACCAGCTGCGTGGCTCGCTTGCTCGGTTAATTATGGCGGTGAACAGCGAACAAAGCCGAAGCATACGGCATGGTGTAACGACTGTGATAAGGCTTCTGGGATGTTGGTAAATGGGTAGGGGCGTTTGCTGCAATTTGTATGGGTTGCAGCGGCTGTGTGTGTGCAGACAGAGAAGACAGCCGATAGGCCGAAGAATCCGCGGAGTACATGGTGCAAATCTGGTGACTTTGAATGACCCAAGACATGGCATGCGCATCGTGAGATGTTGCTGGTATGGTGTTGTAGGCCAGGGTGGGGTATGGTGTTGAGGGGCCAAGTGCAGGGATATTGCGCCTGTCATATAACTGGCAAGTGGGGTTGCAGTCGACCCAAGGATCTCAGCCTCCAGAAACGTGGCTTGAGCCGCGGGATGACGAGCGCGAATTGTGTCTGAGTGTGAGATGTGCTCTTCTCTGGTGCTTGGAGCCCGAACCCACCCAATAGTTCTGTGCTCGCTGAGTCGTAATACCGCCGGTCGCATGTCATCTCGCAGCAAAATGCTGATGCCATTAAACGGGCCCACGAGGATCCTTGCTCACTTGGTTGGTCTGTGCACGACCGCCATGCAAGAGAGTGTCTTGTATGGTTCCGCTAAGCGGAGAAAGAGTGGAGGGTCTGGCGCTACCATGGTGTTCGATACCGAAGTCTTGTACTACCCGCAGTTCGTGGTCGAACACCCGGGATAACCGCAGCGTTTGGCGAGTGTCAGGTGAGCATTGTGGCATGTCTGCTTCTGGCAGTTTCCAACAAATCAACAGTAAGGCGGAAGGTCTTGCGTTGTGTACCTCAGAAACATCAAGTACGGTAAACACGTTAGGTTGGGATCAGGGTCCAGCAAGTCGGCGTGGTGTGGCACGGTCGTCTGTACATGCTTGGCCCCTCATGTGACGGCTCTGACGCGACGTGTGACAGGCATGCGCATCGCCCGCTGCTGTGTCAGGCAGATGATATGACGGGCAAGGTGAGCAAAAGTTATTGTGATGCAGCCTTAGGACATTGCAATTGGCCCAAGCAACAAGCGTCGGATCTCATGCCAGCTAGCTCCTGCAGGCGGTGCTCGGCAAAGGCACGACTTTGCAAAACACGGCAGCCGTCTATCACGACATTCCTTCAGAGTCAGGGTCTGTAGTCGTTATCAGCGGGTGGTTGATGAGGGGTAAGCGTGGACGGCAAGGTGGAGGAGGATTAGAGTAATGGAGCCAGCCTCCTCGACAGTTGAGTCTAAGCAAGGCCGGACAGGTCTGGAAGATTGCCCCCCCGATGAGGTGGTCGACCAGCGATGTGCACCCTGCCTATCTATTTCTTCGAGTGTGAGATTCAGAGCAGGATGAGGGTGAGGGTGAGGGTGCAGGGAAGGCGCGTTTACTAGCGCTATCTCCGTGTGAGCCAATCAGGCGCTGCAGGGGTCTTGCCCCAAGTTGGATTTACAACCTGGGAGCCAGCTTTTGATGCCCTCTCAATACCTTTGGGCTGCGTGCCATCGCACCTCTCTCAAACAAGGTCCCTCCCCGCGACAACATTCACCGTTGCCCCTATCTTCTGCTTCTTCCTGCAGAGACTCACCACCGACGGCATTGCCAAAGCCTTGTCTACCAGGCCCCTCCAGATCACCGGGCGTTCCAAGGCGGCAAGCCGTGTTCGGGAAGCCATCTAATTTCTCAGGTGCTCGTCCGCCCTCCCCACCCAAGCCCATTCACTGTTGTGTTTGTCCACAACGGCCCCTGCGCGAATCAGCGCTGGTTTTTATTTTTCCCCCCAGCTGCACCTCGAACCAGCGTGCGCCTCGGGTCGTCTTTTTTTCCTGGCCAGTATCTGCATCCCGGGCCTCCGCTGCAGTCGCTGCAGTCGCTGCTGCACCTCTCTTTGGCTCACATCTAGAACACGCCGCTTGGCCTCAAGCTCTGTGCTACGGCCGGCCGCCCGTCGACTGCTCTCCTTGCGCCGCTGCATATTCTTCTGCCCGTCCGCCAGCCCAAATCTTCCTGTATGTCGAGTCCAATCCCCCACCGCCAAGACTTTCTTCGCCAGCACCGTCGACTGTGACTATCTGTCCCGTCACTCTCCTGTGTCTTCTTTACTGACTGGCTCAGTCCCTAGGTCGCCGCGTCCCCCAGCGGAGGTACCTTGCCTACTCGTAGCTCACGGCCCTCGTACCGCGCCTTCCCTCTCGGACAACATCGTCTTTTGCTACGACAGCCGCGGCGCCCTATATGCAGTCGTTGTCTGCGGCTCTTTCATCATGGATACCGAGGATGGTCACATCTTCATAAGGGTGCGATTCTCAGTGACTGGCTCTGCAGGAGACGCGCGTTGACACGCTTCTAGAATTTGGCCTACTTTGTACGAACACACGAAAAGGCCCTGGCCAACGCCCTACAACTGCAGCGGCAGAATCCCAAGAATGGCCAGGCCATCACTTCTCCTTCGTCGCCCAATGGCCCTGCCAGCCCGCCCTCGTCCTCATCGTCGAGCGTCTGGGCAGCGGCCCTGTCTTTGCCGTCCCTGACCTTTACATCACAGTCCATCAAGCCAGCTAAGCTTACACTGACACCCCACCATCTCTTCTACATTCTCTCTCGCTTCGAGGAGCTTGGTATACCTGTTGGCTCTATGAATGTGCGGCTGGAGAATATCCACACGGATGCTTCGCCTGCCAACTATGTCTCGTTCCTCGGCAGCGCCCAGCGCAACAAGACCAAGCCGTCCGATCGCGACTCAATACATTCCGTGTCCAGCGTCCGCAGCGTGATGTCAGGCATGTCCTCGCTTTGGTCTACCCTCCGTATTGGATCAAACAGTGAAGCCAAGGCAGAGAAACAGAAAGCCCAGCTCCAGGAAGACCTGCGATATCTGTATTCTGCCTTTACCAAGATTCCATGCCTGAGGCTATCTCCTGACCACAAAGCTCGCCTTATTGCTGGTTACGAAGAGTTTCCCTTCGACACCGCGGTCCCTCTGTTCGCTTTCAAGAATGTTACTGCGCTTGAGATTCACGATGTAGACTTTCGACAGTTCTATGGCTGGGATCGCCTGGCCGAAAATCTTCGCAGCCTTACTGTCAAGCGAGCTGGTGTTGACGATCCCGCTGACCTTCTAATCAATGTTGTCTTGGACGACATGGACAAGCGCCGCAGACGCTCAGCAAAGACCAATGCATCTTCCGCACCATGGTCTACCGCAAGCCCATCCGCTAAAGTTAGTCAGTTGGCGCGATCAGAGTCTCCGCCACTCTCTCCTACCACTGCAAGCAAGCAGAGCACAAGTCCGAGAGGCGCTGCGGTAGCGCGAGACAATTCTTCCAAGGCTAGTCAGCGACAGCGTAGTACTTCTCCAACGCGTCCCCCAAGCTCCCGCCATGGTTCAACTCATGTCTATGGCCGAAGCACTACAAATGCCCCAAACATCCGCCGGTCATCTGGTAGCTCTAGTTCTAGTGTACGCTCCACTACTCCGAGGGGTAGTTCTTCTAACCTACTCTCTCTGGGCTGGTTCCCTGCAACGAAATGGCGCTTCCTGCGACATTTGAGTTTGGCTGACAATGCTCTCACCAACATATCAGTTGCCAGTCTTGCTCCTTTGGCGAACACACTACAGTCTCTTGATCTCTCTGCCAATCTGTTTGCTGAGATTCCGGACAGCCTTGCCAGCCTGACCTGTTTACGCGCACTAAACCTTTCCAACTGCATGATCGATGGTCTGCACTCACTAGGTCGCAACCCACTGCCAGCCATCACAACGCTCAACCTTCGCTCCAATCGCTTGACATCTTTGGCAGGTGTTGAGCGGTTGCTGTCTTTGGAGCGAGTGGACTTCCGTGACAACAGGTTGACTGATCCCACAGAAGTCGCCCGACTTACCGGTGTTCCTGACATAACCGACATCTACGTTAATCGCAATCCGTTCTGCAAGACCCATACCACCTACAGGGTCACCATTTTCAATCTATTCCGTAAGACACCAGGCTACACAGAAGATATCGTCATCGATTCCACGGGACCCAGTAATGCCGAGAAGAAGCAACTTGTTGATCGAGTTCCTGAAAAGCATGGTGTCCCCATTGTTAAGCCGCCACCCGAGGACGATGTGCAGCCCTTGCGACATGTACCTCCAAAGGTCGTAAAAGCTATTGATGCCCCGTCCGACGTGCCTGGGGTACTTCAGCGTACCGGGTCTCTACAACGTACCAAGAGTGGACGCAGTGCACAAGGATCTCAGAAGAAAAAGAAGGGCCCCAAGAGAAGGATAGTCGAGCTTTCCCAGAATGAGCCCCTGCAATCATCGTCGCAGTCGAGTCTGACAGGCTTGGCATATGAGGACACCGCGATTGGGCAGGCTCCCAAGATCGCCAAAGCTGCCAGCAATGCGTTGGTTGCAGACACTCCTCGGCTCGCAGAGCCATCCAGGGGACAAGTATCAGGAGACCCTATGAAGAAGACTGCATCGGATGAACGCACCGTTGCAGATGAAACCCACACAAGCCATCAACAGCTGCCACCCATCGATACCACCAACTCATCCAAATCTCCGGAGCCAGAAGCTGCAGAGTTTGACGTCAACGAGGACATGTACAAGAAGAAGATCGAGGCTCTCAGGCAAGACTTCGGTAATACGTGGTTGAGCGCGCTAGGGGACGAGAATTGGGACAACACGTCCGTCACTAGCTTTCCTTCCGATCGCGGATACAGCTCCCCTACCATTCGACCAACACTGCCCCGCACACCAAGCCAAAGCATTGTCTCTGGTCGCACACTTGGCTAACATAATTCTCTCTGATCTATGCACTTGCGATACCCAAAAGAATATTTCAATTCGTCAGACTCCTATTTCAGCCTATGGAGGCTGTCACATTTCTCTCTACAGTTTGTTCATCCTCTAGTTTGTCAACATTTGGGCAAGGCGTTGGATGGATATTAGTCGGACTGAGCGTCGCGATTTGTCACGCTCGTTGTATCGATAAAGTCTATCTCCCATGGCTGTCTCGACTTGTTTGTGGTATGTATCCCTCTCTGATCAAAAGGCGGCAGTGTTGCATTTCTGCGTATTCCTTTTTTCGGGAGCATAACGACCATGTTCTTGTCGAAATGGGTTCTGTATGATATTTCCATGTCGGCGCATTGTGGGTCGATTGCTCACTCTCGTGGGCAAGGCATGCATGGTTTCTTTTTCCTTGTTTCTGCTGCTTGTTAGCGTCGTTCGAGTTCTGGTGCGGAAGCAGGATGAGGGCGTTGGATGGTTGGTCTATTGCATAATGAAGCGTGCGTTACGGATGAAGGCTCGCATAAATACAAAGATGATGTTGATTGAATGGCGGACGACGTGCGTGATTGGAGCGTACGTGACACGTGAGGTGTTGAGATCAGCACTCTGCGTCTCTGAACTGATGGCTGGTTTCTAGGGGGGCGAGAGAAGGCCAAATCTTCTACTACTTGCTACATGTTCAATCACATTAATCAATTAGAAAAACTCGACCTGTGTCGATGCAATTTGTTCCAGACTTTGGCGGTGGAAGTCTATACATGGATCAAGCAGCTGAAGGGGGTGTGGCGATAGAAGACTAGATATGGCTGGGCGGCAGTTGCACCTGGTCATGTGCAGTGTGCAAAGATGGCACGCCCCGGTACCTGTGCCGCAACCGTGGTATATTATATCTTTGCTAGATAGCCGAATTGCCATTCGCTTGCCTTGTTGCATGCACGCGGGAATCGAGGCCTTTTATAAATCTCTCGACGCGCGTCTGTGCCCTCGTGCCAAGCCAGCCCTAGACTAACTGAAACGGAGGCTGCCCTACCTCTGCAAAACTACTCAGGCGCCGCGATCTTCTCACCACCGCAACCCAACCCGGCCTACAAGTCAGTGTACAGCAACAGTTCTCACGCTTCCTCCTAGGTCTCTTGTGCCGAGCAGTTCGCACGTCATCAGCCGCCAGTCTCTTTCTCGTCACGCCCGTCGCCCGCTTGTTACAGGCGGTGAAGTCACTCTCAGCATCCCACTCGACAGGCTCCGGCCATAACAACGCCTCAGCGCCCTCCCCCGCTCCCACCGCGCTCGCCTGCCCACAACGTAGCAGCAGCCCACACAGGTATCATCGCCTCAACGAGCACAATTGACCAGCGCACATCGCAGCCGCCCCACCCGTCGCGTGATCCCAGCTCTGCTGCCAGGCACTTTTGAGGGGCTTTGAGCCATACTCCACCAGCACATAAGCGTCCACCACCTGCAACCCGACCCAGCCGACTTGTTGAGACCAGAGGTACGTCGGCACCTGGACTGCAGCCCGTTGTTGACCCGTGGAGCGCTACTAACGCACAGGGTGCAGGAGAATTATCACCAGTGCTACGCGCAACCCTTCCCCACCCACCCGCGCGAGGTCTTCCCGTGCACCTTCAGCCACCTACACCAGCGCCAGTAGCAAGCCACAGCTATGGCCGAAAACGAGGTGGACTTGGACTCCATCATAGACCGTCTGCTTGAGGTCCGCGGCAGCAGGCCCGGCAAGCAGGTCCAGCTGCTCGAGACGGAGATCCGCTATCTGTGCACCAAGGCGCGCGAAATCTTCATCTCACAGCCCATTCTGCTCGAGCTCGAGGCACCGATAAAGGTCAGTCACAACACGTAGTGCTGCGAAGCCCACGATGCGGCTTCTGAGCACCTACTGACTTGTTTTGCCCATCAGATTTGCGGAGATATCCACGGCCAGTACTACGACCTTCTGCGGCTCTTCGAGTATGGCGGCTTCCCCCCAGAGGCCAACTACCTCTTCCTAGGCGACTACGTCGACCGTGGCAAACAGTCTCTCGAGACGATATGCCTTTTGCTTGCATACAAGATCAAGTACCCCGAGAACTTCTTCGTTCTCCGCGGCAACCACGAGTGCGCCTCCATCAACCGCATCTACGGCTTCTACGATGAGTGCAAACGAAGATACAACATCAAGCTGTGGAAGACCTTTACCGACTGCTTCAACTGCCTGCCCATTGCCGCCATCATCGACGAGAAGATCTTCACCATGCACGGCGGTCTCAGCCCAGATCTCAACTCCATGGAGCAGATTAGGCGCGTCATGCGACCCACCGATGTGAGTCAGGTCCATGTCACAGTCGACATGTGAGTCTCGGTAGAGTACACAGGCTAACCATGATAGATTCCCGACTGCGGTCTTCTCTGCGATCTCCTTTGGTCCGACCCAGACAAGGACATTACCGGATGGAGCGAGAACGATCGAGGTGTCAGCTTTACCTTTGGTCCAGATGTAGTGTCGCGCTTCCTGCAAAAGCACGACATGGACCTCATCTGCCGTGCGCATCAAGTTGTAGAAGATGGTTACGAATTCTTCTCTAAGCGCCAGCTCGTAACACTGTTCAGCGCACCCAACTACTGCGGTGAATTTGACAATGCAGGTGCCATGATGAGCGTCGACGAGAGTCTGTTGTGTTCTTTCCAGGTAGGTTTTCCAGTACGACATGACAGCAAACCCCTACTGACAGCTTGTGCAGATTCTCAAGCCCGCAGAGAAGAAACAAAAGTACGTCCCCAGCCTTGGTAGCGGCAGACCAGCGTCTTCTCGCACCAAGAAAACCTAGAAGTAGCCACCACTACACTCATTCAGAATCAATACGAACTTCTCTTGTAGCAGGTTTGGGCGTCGTTAGACGACGACAATCGTCAGCCCTCCCCGAGTCCCGATGCCGAACGAACCGAAAGACGCGCCATGTCGATTTCGTCACCCACCTTTCGGCTACGGCTACCCAAACGGCCTTTTACATTTGTAAAGCAGTCCTGTCCTTGATTTCCTGTCATTCCAGTACCGTTGCGCACGCACCATGACAAAGGGCACCCCGGTCGACCCTTGTACCCTGGACGATTCGATGATGATGGGCTTGATGTTTTGCACTTTGGCGGTAACACAAGATGGCAGATATCAGAGCATTGATCATGTCGGCAACATGGGCAGCAGCAGCATTTCAGAAAACATGCAAAAACCAAGGAAAGGAAGGAACATGATAGACGGCCTTTTTTCGTGAGTTATCTGGGTAGCATAAGGGTGGGAAGCGTGTGGGCAATTCATCGCTGGCCTTTGTTGGGGCTTGTGTAGGCTTATTACTCCATTTTCCATCGGGCTCCTGAGGCTTGTCATGTCGGGGTGCGAGGCTTACATGCGATAATGTCAGTCCTTTTTTTCTTTTCCTTTTTTTCCTTTTTGTCGCGTTCAACAAGCAACCTTTTTAGGGATGAAGGATGTAAGCTAGTGGTCTCGAGAATGGAGTATGAGTATCCCCCTTGCACCATAATTGAAGTTGGCTCGGTGAAACATGCAGTTCGTGCGCAAATGTCTATAGAGCATGGCCGTGGCAACATTGTGGTTTTGGAGGGTTCTGCTTCGGTGTGCCACTAGGTGTATTGCGAGATTGTTTGAGTAATAAATTTACGTTGTGTCAGTGTTGGGTAAGCGAGATGCGTGTGCTATCAATGGCTATTTCCACGATCAAATGCGACAGCTGTCAAGCCTTTGGTCTTGTATGTGTCAAGTTCGTACCTGATACGAGACATGATACGAGGACGACCAAAAAAAGTAATTGACACCTCCCAACACGAACACGAATATTGATCAAAGATTGTTTTTCTCGACTGTTTGTAACAGATGAGAGAGATAGAGAGAGAGCGCGGGAGAGAGAGACAGGCCCTGGCAGTTCTCCATGCTGATCAGCTAGAGAAGGGATGGGTTGGGACGGGCAAGGCTTGGCTTGTGTGCACGATGATGTCAACGGGTAACCAACAAGCCGTTCTCGGATATTTAAGATGTATGCACGTGGCAGAGACGAGAAGAGCAAGGCAGAGAAGAAAGCAGTAAAATATGCGAAAGCATCATGTGTCACATGGTGCAAGGAACGAGGGCAAAACGAACAGGTCTAAGCACGGTACTTGGGATGTGGCAGTGCAGGCGGCGCGCGCGGTGCAGCACAGCGCAGCGCAGCGCAGCGCAGCGCAGCGCAGCGCAGGAAGAACTATTGAAAGGAAAAGGAAAACGGGCCAGGGAAAGGGACCCTCGTTGGGCTGTCGTCGTCATGTCCGGTGTTTGATTGGCGGCGGCGGGGCTTAGAAGACGATCTGAGCGTAAGCGCCCGAGCCGACCGTGGTTCCGGTGCAGCGCAATCGCTGTCGTAACTGCACTGTGCCACCACCTGCCCGTTTCTATGTAGTCATTCTCTCTCTAACGTTATCGATTTCCGTGCACCTTGGTTCTCTGTTGTTGTGTTTTTGCCTGGTCATTACCTGCGGTTGTTGAGGGATCAATGTGTGTATGTGTGTCGTGTAAACACTGGATACTCGCCGCCTACTAGCCTCGTCGTCGCACGCTTCGCCTCGTCCGTCGCTCCGCTCCGCTTCGTCACTTCGCTCCTCGCGCCTGTCGTCACGTCACTCCTTTGTCCACCCACCACCTCGCTTGATCTTGTAATGCTCTGGAGGATATAGCAGATTGTCTGCGTCGCCCGATACCATGGCCGAGTACGCGTAAGTCAACGCTGGACGAGTGAGGCGCTGGCCGGGCACTGCTAATCTACTTGTACCCAGCAGCTTCATAGCCCATTCGGCCCCCTGGGTCCACGGCTCAGGCACCATGACCCCCTCGCGCCTTCGCTCCTTGTCGCCCATGCCCAAGAATCACGTTACCCGATCCATATCCACGCCACAGCTCGCCAAAACTGCCCGCTCGCAGTCGCAGTCGGAGTCGGAAAGCGATGGCATGAATACTATCCCCGACCCGCGATCAGCCACCCCGCAGCCCCCTCTTTCACGCCACGACTCGACAGACTCTCACCCAGACCTCAGCCAGGAAGTTTCCACACTCAGCACCAAGCTCATCAACGCCATCAACCACTCCACCATGCTCGACGATTCATTGCAGCAAACGAGGCACGAGCTGGAAGCCGCAAGAGAGAAGCTGGCGCAGTTGGAGGCCCAGGTCAGGGAGCATGAGGAGAAGGTATCAAAAGGGCTGCTAGTGGACAAGATCGTCTATGATAAGATGGAGAAGCAGTTGTCCAGTGAACTGCACGAGGAGCGCAAGCGACGGGCTCAGGCAGAGGCTGCAAAGCGAAAGACTGACAGCGAGGTCGAGGCTCTGACAGCTGCCCTCTTCGAAGAGGCTAATGTCATGGTCGCGGCTGCTCGCAAGGAGACCGAGGCTTCCGAGAAACGCGGCGAGCAACTCAAGCAACAGCTAGGCGATGCCGAAGTGCTCCAACACTCCCTCCAAGACCAGCTACAGGATCTCAAAGGCGTCGTGGAGAAGATGAGCTCTCATGGCGACGACAACGAAAGCCACATTCTCACAACAAACACCGCTCCGTCAACACCAGGCATCACCCCGGCGGACAAGATGAGCAAATTGTTCGAGGCCATGAACCTCACGCCTAGTACCCCGGGAACCGATGAGATCACCCCTGATCACCCGCTCCATTTTTCCCATCTAATCCATCCCGTGCTACGGTCTGACCTTACCGCTTTCAAGGAATTCCAAGATATGCTCAAGACCAGCGCGCGATCCTCGGCTCCAGCAAGTCGTGCTTCGAGCGGGAACTACAGCAGTTTGAGTGTTCTCGGACTTGGCTCACTGACCAACAGCTCCACCACATCTCTACCGTCCAAGTCGTCTGCCTCCGTCACCAACTCACCTCGTGAATCTGTAGCCACTGCTGGTATGCCCAACCTCAAGGACGAAAAGTTCTACAAACGCGCTCTAGTCGAGGATATAGAGCCTACACTGCGTCTGGATATCGCTCCTGGTCTCTCCTGGATGGCACGCCGTACCGTGCTCAACAGTATCACTTCTGGTTCTCTAGTTGTAGAGCCAAACCCTGCTCCGTCATCCAAGTTCCGAGTCCCAGTCTTTCCATGCTCGTTATGTGGAGAAGCAAGAAATGGCGACCAGTACGCTCGAAAATTCCGATTCAAGCCCTCCGACACGGAGGATTCGCAGCGCTATCCCCTCTGTGACTGGTGTCTGGGTCGTGTCAGGGCAACATGCGATTACATTGGTTTCTTGCGCATGGTAGCAGCAGGACACTGGCGAGCCGAGACGGAAGAAGAGAAGAAGTCTACTTGGGAGGAGAGCGTGCGACTTCGTGAGCGCATGTTCTGGACCAGAGTCGGTGGAGGTGTGGTCCCGTCTTTTGTTCCTTTGCGAGACGGCGGGAGCCCACACAGTCCTACGTTTACAAGCGATGATATCAAGCAGCAGCAGCAGCGTGAGGAACGGATGAGTGAGGAGGAGAGTATCATCTCGTTTGAGCCTAGAGATATCACGGCGAGTGGCTCGGCGGCGTCAACAATGGGAAATGAGTCTCCCCGGAGGAAGAGCGAGGACGATCCTTTTCAAAGTAAGAGTGGGGAGGACAAGGCTAAGAGGATTTCTATTGGTAATACGGTCATCTCGACGAGGAGCAGCGACAATGCTGCTGCCCCGGAACTCGGATCTACTACTACACCACCACCACCCGCCGAGCAAGAAGCCAAGGGGAACGACGAAAAGAATGAGCCCTTGCCAATACCTTCATTAACAATAGAGGAAGAGAAGAAGATTGAACAAGATGCTGAAGCTCAACTTCAGGACGAAGTGAAGAAATCGCTGGAGAAGCCTGCGTTGCAGCGTCAACGCTCATCTTCTAATCCGCCGCCGGTTGCTGCTACTCTGCAGCAGAGCAGGAAGAAGGAAGAGAGCAGTAATCGACTCAGTTTGAGGATTCCGGGTTCTATGGGTACGGGTATGAGTATGCCTGGAGTTTTTGATTGAGGGGTGTGTGTGAGTGAGAGAGAGAGAGAGGAAGAGAAAGAGAAAGAAAGAGAGAAAGAAAGAGATGGGTGAGGTGTTTTGTTGGCGTAAACAAGGAGGAATCATGATTTGGGCCAAGGTTCTCACTACTAATACCGCAAAGTGTGTGTTTCTTTATTTTCCACATTGGGGGCCAGGGGGGGAAGGTTTATCCGACCCTTGAATTGAAGCCTTGCTGAGGTTGGCTGAGGTCGCTGCTTTGCGACAAGCTCGATGTTTGGAGCTTTCAACATACAACATTTGGTTGTTGTCTCTTTTTTATTTCTCAATCTGTTCGAAGCATTGTTTAAGGCGCGGCTTTTTTTTTCTGGACAAAAAAAAGGAGGTTTGAATGGTTATGCTTCTATTATACATAACATACAAACGCTTTTTTTTTCTTTTGGCTTTGGTTGTACCTCGGCCTGAGTTGGGGGATGGGAGGGGTGGGGGAGTAATATATACCAGGAGTTTCTGGTCTCTTTTTTTTTTATACATATCACTATGTGGACTTTGGAAAGAGAGGGATTTTGGAAGAAGGGCAAAGGCTGGGTCTTCTGGCTTGAAATTGGTCAAGACATGATGTGTGTCTGCCTAATGTATTATATCTATACCAGGGATGGTGGGAGTGGGAGTAAGGCGGAGGGGAGGAGAAGAAGGACGTCGACGATCCGAGGTCTTGTGTTGTAACCCAGGGCATGGTTGAGTGATAATACATGTATTCGCGAATGGTAATTGTGTATACCTCTCCTGCTTATTCTGTTTTTCTTTCCTTTTATTGTCTGCAATTTGTGAAATTATGTTGTCTGGATTCCAAGTAACATCGCCTTATCGAATAATTGCATAGGTAGCACACACAGAGGCCGACGACTTTGCAAATGCGGTGCTGACATTTGACGGACCCACTTTTGACCGCAGTACCCACTGAACTCCTGTACCACGCACTGCGGACTCTGGCGCCAAGATGCCGCATCACCACTACAACATCAGGCGGTCTTTGTCATCTCGTTGGAGAACAGTGGCTTTGTAATGGTATTACACGGTAAATTCACTTAGGCGTCATGTCCACAAATCAGCCTCGCCGTTATATCACGCGTAGCATGCCTCGAGCATATATATCATGACATCTCCTTTGACCAACATGTGTTAAACTCACCACAAGAGAAAAGAACATTACCAGCAAAGCAACTTGACGCTTCAACAATCAATATCGTACTTGGATATACCATCCATACAACAGATCCCGTCACCTATACTCAGCATGTCCAAGATCGTCACCGTCATCGGAGCCACTGGTATCCAGGGTGGCTCAGTCATCAGAGCGATTCTCAAGGACCCCAGTTATACCATCCGAGCTCTCACCCGCAACGTGGAAAGCTCTGCCGCTCTAGCCCTGAGAGCTCTTGGTGTCGAGGTTGTTCAAGGTGACATCAATGACATCAACTCCCTCCGAGTAGCCTTTGACGGCAGCTACGCCATCTTCGCCGTAACCAACTTCTTCGAGAACATCCCCACACTGAGCATAAAAGAAGCCACAGAGAAAGAGACACGCCTGGGCATCAACCTAGCAGAAGCAGCCGCCTCGACAGAATCTCTAGTCCACTACATATGGTCGACTTTACCCAACTCACGCAAGAATACCAGCGGTACCATCGTAGTCCCCTTCTTCGAGAGCAAAAACACCGTCGACAAATACATCAAGACGAAGCAACCGGAGCTGCTGGCCAAAACTACGTTTCTCCGCTTAGGCTGGTACGCAAGTAACATGTCATACCCGTGGTTCAAGCCCAGCGAAATACACACTGCAGACGGCAGTAAAGTCCATCTTCAGGTCATCAGCATGTCACCCTCAGTCACTATACCGCTACTCGGTTGCGAAAAGGTGAACATAGGCCTTTTCGCAAAAGCTATCCTCGACCACCCAGAGAAGACGCTGCCGGCCAGGACTGTGGCAGGTTTTGCTGAGAAGATGTCGTGGAAGCAGATGGTGCATTGTTATGTAAAGGCGCACGGCATCGAGGTCAGATGCGCACGCATCTCCAAAGAAGATTACCGAGCACTTTGGCCCGTGTGGGGCGAGTTGATGGATGCGGCGAATGATTACTACGAGTTCATGGGGCCTGGGGGCATGCTGGGTCGCGACGAAGAGGAAAATGTACTGGGGAGCGAAGAGCTCGGTGTGCAAGGGCTGGTGGGAGTTGCTGATGCATTTGCTAGGATGAAGAGTCTCAATTGATGTTTGTGTATATTCACGAAGGGGTGGTGGATGTACTGGTAGCGAAAATGGAAAGGCTAGAAGATCAAATACAATCATTCTTGTTTGCTCAAGTGCCACCGCGAACTATGAGTTTGATGTGGAATAGAGCATTTTCACAGTACTATGGAGAAGATGCTAACAGGATATACGAGGACCGTGTAAAGGTATGCCTACCACAAAGACTTGGTAATTTGTCTTTATCCCAACGTGTGTTATAGGCCACAACACCTGTGGATCAGAATAGTACCTAGGTAGGCGACGTGGTATCGTGGCTCTCGCGACAGTGCTGAAAACATGATGTGGGCAGGACCCCACTTGAACACGGGACACATGCATACCACACGTTACGAGACATCCACGTGAGCAACTTGAATACGGTCGAAGACATGAGCTTATGGGATTATGAGTATATATGCCAACAACATCCGAAGTTCTTCATCGATCATCAGATGGGCCGGTAACTCAGTGGTAGAGTGTAGGACTGCAGTTCAACCAAAAACTGCCTTCCCGAAGTCACCGGTTCGACTCCGGTTCGGCCCTTTCTTTTTGCACCACCGTGTCATCTTGCTCTCGCTCCATGTTCACCTTTGGGACAATACGTTATAGCGTTTAATTGCCCTGCTTGCAGGGCCTCTAAAGTCGTGATGGATGGGATAGTTCTTGTTACACGAAAGTCGTGCCGCGGCAACGGCTAGCAAGGTAGTGTTCATATAGCCCTATATATAGCTCTCTCGATTACTTTATGCTTCACTCTTTTGAGTCGTGGAATTCTAGACGGACAACTGAAAATTTTCCATTCGATCATCTGTCAGGTATGCAATCCATCTATTTTGCGGTGGCAAGCTGCGCGCATGAAAGTGCTACTTGCATAATCCCAATAATAACACCCAATCCTCCGACCAGTAGCACTGCCCAAAGAGTATACCATCGGACAGGATCTCTTTTATCCTTGATCATCTTTCTTGTCTGTGTTGGTCGCTGCGCTGCATTGTACCTTTGAAGTTCAAGCATTCTTTGTCCTAATAACACCAAGTCTGACCAAGGTGCCAAGGTGTCTTGCTTCCTTGGATTTCCGGTGTATTTGGATGCAAGTTGCTTGGGCGCAGACGACGGTAGAGAGAAGAGCAAGTCGTCTAACTTGCCTTCCAAAAGAAGGTCAAATGCGTTGTCGCGGTCCACTATTTCCATTGTCGAGAAGGCTAGCTTCTGCGCAAGTTTCCTGGATTTGCGTGTTTGGCTTAGGATGAAACGTAAAGACAACAAAACCTCTCTGTGAATAGAGTGTTTGTTATGCTTCATACCGTCCTGCATGATCCTCAACCGTTGTTAGGACACGTCCGATAGACAAGAGGAGTCTCGCTTAAACATACCTATTGCTGAAAGTCTGATAGTCCCCACCAGCCAAGGCCAGGACACAGAGAGACGGGTACTTATAAAGCCGGAGGGTCTTGGTCGTGGATGACAGTACTAGCTGCAAGTGCTGGCTGATATCTGAAACCCATTCGACACAAAGACGACCGATATGGACCAAAGAATGGTAGTTGAGATTTGAGAGAAAGATCAGATCATCTGGCCATGGAATTTTGTTGTACGGAGTCGGAAGTACCCCCAGATGAGAGATGAATGAGCCACTGGACCGACTACAATTCTCTAAATGCTGGTGTATAGTGTCTGGAGAAGTGCCGCCTCTGACCGCATAGTGTCCTGAGATGGGCGAACGATGCCAGCTGAAGAACGAAGTCAGGCAGCTTGTCGCTGCTATTGCGATCTGGTAGAGACACTGAATACATTCGGAGTTCTTGTTTTGAGAATCTTGTGTCTTTGCAATCTGTAATTCTTTATCCTCCACAAGGGCCTCCATGATGTCGTCCATGGAAACACTCTCTCCAGAAGGATCTTTGATTAACTTCTGAAAGGCTCTGGTTAGCATTTCGTAAAATGCCGAGACCGTAAGTCGATTTGGTAAGACGCCGCACACGATCAGTGGTTGAACTTCAATCTGGGGAAGGATTCGCTGCACGTCTTCGTCAATCCAGGTCATTAGTGGATTCAGGTCAGGCAGCGCGCGATCTGCGTCACGGACATTGGCCACGAGTTGTGCCCTCAATCTTTCTCGCATGGCGGATACTTTCTCTTTAGCTCACAGATGTTGGGGATCGACAGCTGTCACAGAGACAGCGCGGTCTTGAGCAGTATTTAGATCCTATATTGAGAGTACGACTGTCGCTTCTAGTGCAAGGCACACTGGCATGGAGGACTCATGACGTGGCGTATGTTCAGCTTCGAAGGCCTGATCTGCATGGTGTCAGCCTAGCCGCTGTGTGGCTGCAGTCTTGTGCATACATTTCGGCTAATCATGGCTATCGACGAGAGCGCAGAATCCGTCTGCTTGACGCCTGGTATCGGCCAAGAATCCAAATAAACTAGTCATCTCAAATCATTCCGAACATTTACTATGATTCTTGGCATAATTCTTGTTGAGATCTCAGCCGATTAGGTCGATTGTTTGAGTTACAAACTACGTTGTAAAAAGCAAAATGCTCAAGAAGAATACCTCGTACCTATACTAGAGATAATCCTGATCACAAACGTAACACATGTCCGCTTATCTGTGCTTGAGCTTTTCTAAGTAGCTGGTAATTCGGTTACGTCTCTATGCTATAGATGTAGCGTGAAATTACACTTATAGCTATCTCTTCAGCACGTACGGATGTTGCGGACGGAAACCTTGGTTCTGCTCTTTTGGCGAAGCAACAACTTGGATCTGTGGTGATCCAACGATACTCAAACCTCGTACCAAAGAACCTTTCGCACCACTGCTGATTCGCCGGAGTGAGGCCGAAGTCAATGTGGTGTTCATGCAGTATGTCCGGGAACACTTCATCAAACACGCTACAAATGCTGATCGAGAGACCCAATGTATCGCAAATCCTGGCCAAATCTTGTTTGAGTTCACGAGTTTCCGCATGATCGTGACTTCCGTGTATGTTCCCAGGTTGATCGCACGACTGCTGTAAGGATGATGAGCACTCGTGGTCCATACCACATCCCATTGAAGGGGTCCAATCCTTCACGATATAAATAAATGGAACCAAACATTCGTCTAGCAATGCTGGAATGATGGCGGAGTTAAATGAGCCACATATCTTGTCGTTTTCTGGTAGTATCAGAGCGATATGCTTATGGACGTGGAGAGGTAGTTTGGCAAGATGCCTGGCAACACGCGATGCATGTATGACATTGCGGTCAATACCATTGGTATAGAAGTGTACGCCTGTTGTTAAGGACCCGATGACGTATAAGCCAGCTGTCGTTGTAGACTCCAAGGTATTCCGATCGACGGAAAACCCACCAAGTGGATGAGGTGTCAACAATTTTCGGGAAACAAGCGACTCCACTATACGGGATTGAATTTTGGACACGTGGATCTCGAGACCACTGGCTTCAATCAGGTAGTCGGAACTCAGAGGCTGGTCCCTGGTCGTTATTGTGTACCCTGATGAATTATGCTGAATCTCAACCACATCGCAAACCACTATACGTCCTTGCTCCATCAACGATTGCAAGCGAACTGCATTTTCATAAGGCATGGCGTGCACATAGCTGTACCACATGCTGTTCCATTTCTCTAAGAAGGCCTTTCGATCGTCGATGGCCAGAGCGTCCCAGAATCGTTCGAAGAATGGCGCTGCAGCATCTCCGAGCGCTCTCCATTGCAATGTACCCCTTTCCGCGTCCTGGATGTCGCGCGAGAGCTGCAGTAATGGATCTTCTTTGAATAGAAAGTTTGTCCAGTCTTTCAAGTCCAGTTCCTCTGCAAGAGATCTAAACTTACTGAATAGCCATTCTGGGGATGCCGCCTCGGCTCGATATTCTTCTAAATGCCGGGCAATGACGTGAAGTGCATATTGACCTTTGTAGGGCTTGAGGAGACGGTTGGTTTGAACTTTGGGAAGACGACCACCGCGAGAGACAAGCATCAAAAGGCCTTCGTGTCCAGTGTCTGCCATGTGTATGGCAGCATCGATGCCGCTAAGACCAGAGCCTACTATACAGACTGAAGAGTTCTTGGGAATGGTATTGAGCTTTTCAAGGGGCCAAGGGGTTTCAAAATAACCAGGCGTGTTCGCTAAGTGTGGCTGTGAACAACATGGAAAGTTTCCTAGAGCCAGCACGACTTTGTCGACCGTGTATGTGCCGCCGCTTTCATCCACGATCTCAAACGTTCGATCCTTCTTTAGGACAGTAACAACTTCCTGGTAGACGACTTGCAAGTGTACGTTCTTGCTTCTGGCGTTATGGAAAGCTGACTGAAACAACCAGTTAAGGTATGTTCCATATAGCTGTCGCGGCGGATAAGAACCCTGTTCAGCGCGAGGTTTGTTCGACTCCAACCATCGAGTAAAATGTAATGGGTCAGAAATGCAGAGGCCCATAGTATCCGCTCTCATGTTGATAATAGTGTTTCCCGAACCTTCCGAATACGCTAGCCCAGGACCAATCTGTGAGCGCTTTTCGAATAGGTATATCGTTCGGATAGGAGTATCGTTTTCCGTCAGCTCAAGGATGGAAAGCAATACGGCAAGGCCGCAAGCGCCTCCCCCACATATTGCTATGGAGGAGCTCATGTTGCGTGCTTTGAATAGAGTGCAGTTCTGCACAAGCTTTTCGCTTTTCCTTGTGTATGTTGTTTCTTTTAACTTTGCATTGACAAAGTAACATGTTGCATGATGTCCAAGGCTGTCAGAATCTCTACGCCGCGCGTCGCAGCAGGGATTAGTCACGCACCTTCTTGCGAAAACAATCCACTGTCATCACTTGACGCCTGAGGTCTAGACGGCCCTGTTCAAGCCAATGCTTGAGTGTTGACGTGGTCCAAGTTCCGGTCAAAGTGGGGTGAAAGTCCTCCCCGCGCAAGTTGCTTGGCGAAGCCTGCACGGCAACCTTCAGAGGCAGGACTTGTTGCATAGATACGCATGCAGCGCGTGCGGATGTTATGAACCACGCCACTTGGGTGAACCGGCCCAACCACCATAGGCGAAAGAGGCGTTTCTCTGCATCAATCACAAACGTCGCTAAAGCCATCTAATCCTACATTGCTCCGCCACATCTTACCGATTTTCAGGGTGTGCGGGATCCCCCGTAACCTCGCACCCTTCGCAACCTCGCGCCCTTAACGTTGGCTGTGCCCGTCTGCGGTACGCATGCATGTTATCACCTGCGAGCAAATGCGTTTCCCAAAACTAGTGTTCTTTGCTTCACGCGCTCAGGCCTGGCTTCTGAATCAAAGCCCACTGCTTCGCCAGCAATCTTCTATTTTCCACTCATACTGTACAATGTCCATCGATCCTCTCACTGCAACAGCGTCCGAGCTGCAGGCTAGATTGACAGCCAAAGCCGTTACCAGCAAAGATCTTGTTGACTTGTATCTGGGCCAGATAGCACGGCACAATGACTATCTCAAGGCGATTATCGCTACGACGCCTAGAGACTTGCTTTACCAGCGAGCTGTAGACCTCGACAAGGAGCGCGCAGATGGTGTGTTTCGCGGACCGCTTCATGGTATACCTGTCCTCCTCAAGGTACATTGACCCTTAATGGCGGACGTATCTGGAACTCAGATGGATACAGGACAACATCGCGTCAGCTCCAGAACTAGGGTTGCCAACTACATGCGGCAGCCTAGCACTCGTAGGCTCAAAGCCATCAAAGAATGCTGCCGTAGTCAGTCGTGTACGCCATGAACCCAATGCCTACGACAGATCAACGTTGACCTTTGTAGCTCATAGCTGCTGGTGCAATTATTCTTGGCAAGGCGAATCTCTCGGTAGGTACTATCGGTGTTCCAGTATACAACTCGGCTAACACAATCTCAGGAATGGGCGTGGTACAGGTTCGTACTTACCATTGAATCTCAGAGAGGCGTCGCTTACCTGTCCGTGAAGATCAGAGCTCGCCGACTCTGGTTGGTCTGCAGTAGGTGGACAGACCCAATCACCCTATGTGAGAGGTGGTTTTCGTGAGGATGATTCGAATGGCGGTCACAGTGTACTTGCAACCTTCCGCTTTTTTAGAACAATGGTTAACAGCTAATAGAATCCCGGCGGTTCGTCAAGTGGCTCGGCCGTCGGCGTTGCGGCAGGCTTCGCTCCCATTTCCATCGGCACCGAAACCATGGGCTCGCTCATGATGCCAAGCGATCGAGCAGCCCTATATACCATCAAGCCTACGCTCAAAATTGTCCCACAAGACGGAATGATCCCGGTAACGCTTGAGGCGGACTCGGCAGGACCTATGACAAAGTCTGTTATGGATCTTGCAGACCTCCTTGACGTTCTTGTTGATGCGAGCAAGACGACGGTCCCGAAAGGCGGTTACAAGTCCGCCGTGACTGGATCATGGGGGGATATCAAGATAGGTTATGTTGAGCCCGAGAAATGGCTGTTCCCTGAATTCATCGTAAAATACGAGAAGTCAGCAACGGATCAGATGGTAAGTGCACATCGCTCGATTAGGGCACAACTCACAATAAAATAGTTACGTGACTGGAGATCTGCATTTGATAGACTCAGATCTGTGGCCAAAGTCGTCAAACCTGTCGAGCTGGTCTCAATCGATGAGGAAACAGAGGGCGGCAAGCGAGATATATTCAACGCGTTCCGTAGGCTGTCCAGCGCCTACAGGCTTTACTGACTGACTAACTTCTTACTAGATTGGACCTTCAAGGGCCTCCTTGAGGATTACCTAGCGAGCATCAAAGGTTGCAAGATCAGCACGCTCGAGGAACTCATCAAATTTAATGAGGAACATGCTGATCAAGAGCTCCCACCAAGTAGGTACTCCTGCAGCAGAAGGAATGACACTGTTTAACAACATCCCCAGGCGCGAGTAACCAAGCGGGCCTTATCAGAGCTTTGAACACCAACATGACAGACGACGAATACCACAATATCATTCGATATGCTCGTACAAGATGCGGTAAGGACGGTATTGATAAGGTACTCGAGGAGAATGACGTCGACATCATCATGGGCCCTGGAGATGGTCCGATGTTCACCATAGCTGGCACAGCCGGTAAGCCTTCAATCAAGACCCAAGATTTTGAACCTCTCTCACGCTTATATCATAGGGTATCCATCTGCAACTTTACCGCTCGGTTACCTTGACTTCAACGGTAGGCCTTTCGGTCTGCAAATAATCGCAAAAGCCCACCAGGAAGCTCTCTTGATACAAGCTCAAAGCGCTTGGGAATCCACTTTTCCTAGTCGTCAACCACCACCACTGGATGAGATAGATCCACAGAGGACTTGAAAGTTCCATCGATCCATTGGTATCTTCAAGGCGTCGAGTAGGTTTCGTTTCGCTGATACGGAAGGATTGTGCTGCACGTACTTCTCAAATATAGCCGCATCAAGTGGCGTAAATGATCAAAGCCATCGCACGATTGGATAAGAATCTACACAATGATGTCATCTTATTATGGTGCTATGGTTGTATTGCACCACTTAAAGCTTCTCACTAGGATGCCAAGTTCCAGAGCTTAGTCATAACGACAATACTCTTCCACCCACCATAGCTGACATCGACACGTCCAAACAACTCAACAGCAACCATGAGCATGCGCAAAGAGTTCCCGTCTTCTGCTGAGTCACAGATCCCTTTGAAGTTCCTTAAAGATTCTCCTAGTTACGATGAATCCAAACCGTACTACGTGTCTGGACTCCTGCCGCACCACCAAGAAGTCTTTCGAACCAACATAGAATATGAAATCCTCAGCCAAAGTCGACTCTACGATCTGCGCGGCTACGAACGCCAACTTTCTATCGACCGGCACGGTTTTGAAATTATCGATATACCGTCGAATACTGTGAGCTTGGATGTGCGAGGATCACAAAAGCTGCAGTATATGGAGATGATGACAGAGCTTGCGAGAGAAACACTCGGAGGATCTTTCGCACTGTGCTATGACTGCAGGGTGAGTTGAGTCACAAAATGTAACTCTAAATCTCTCTAATCTGCATAAAAGTTTCGATCAAGTGAATCGCTCAAACGTTCCAGCACCCGCCAAAACATTGGTACTGCTGTAGATCCAGATATTCCAGCTGAGGCTGCTCATGTCGGTTCGTCGTCCGTTTCCGAGTCATCACCTGAAATCGTTCTAACGATATCAGATCTTACCAGGGAAAGTGCCGCGCGACGTGCGAAACGACACCTTACCGCCAAGGAAGCTGATACATATCTTAACGACGATTGGAGATTACGAATTATTAAGTTGGTACCCCTCATGAGCTAGGAGCTGGCGCCTAACCCGGACGATAGCATCTGGAGACCCTTCGACATAGTCAATGATTTCGACTTGATGTACTGCGATACCTCCACCGTTCGGCCAACAGATCTTGTCGCCGTCGATCGCGTCTCCACAGAATACGTTGGAGAAGTCTACATGCTCAAGCCACGCGATTATTATGATTGGTATTGGCTGAGTCACCAAAAGCCGAGCGAAGCCAGCTTGTTTGTTAGCTACGATAGCCGTCCAGGATCTGGACCATCATGTAAGCATTAACCCGTCCCAGCTTCCCTGTATTGACGCTTTTAGTCTGCCCTCACACGTCTGCGAAGAACACACAGGTGACGAATCTATGCAAGCCTCGAGAGAGTGTGGAGCTGAGAATCATCGTCTTTTCGCCGGATGGGGATAAGGCTAGCTAAGGTGGCTGTTGTGGGTGGGGGCGGACAACAAGGCTGAGAACTAGGTATGCATTCCTTACATATAAGGTTTCAAATTACCAAAGTGCTAAGCGCCTACTGACATCCATCCATCCTTGGCGACTGGGGTGCCCTAATATATGTGCATACCTAGTGCTGTTGGTCCTCCTAAGGGATTGTTCACTAATCGCATCGTCTGCCTACTGCCTGCTCGCACGCGGTGGCTATTGATCCTCGTGACTCCCGATCCATGTGGCCAATTAACCATACGTATGTAGTGAAGCATGGTAGGTGGATAATTTGGAATTTGAATCCGAATGACCTGCAATGCGGGTAATGCTGAATAGAGTTTATCACTACCATCGGTCTTCCAACCTTGCCTGATTGACGCTGCCTCCTCGTCATGCATATAGCCACAACCAGCGTTAGCCAGCGCGTCTCAGAGCAGCCGGAACCAATTGGAAAAGACTTTTTGATCACGATCACCCGCTTGAATGCAGCGTGTGGAAGATCATAGCCTACAACTGACTTTATCTCACACTCTCTTCCGCACTGCCGCGTCCAAGACCACTCTACATGGACCTAGATTATGTGCTCAGCTCATATGTGCAGACATGCATATACAGGTGCGGGGTATTCGATAAGGAAATGATAAATATCATGACAAATTGATACTGATGGAGTATGGTCGTCAACACGCTGGGGCGGGAGCTCCGAAGACAAAAGGCGCACAGTCTTGATTGTGATCAATCTTTCAACAACCAAACCGCTAGAACATTCTCATAAACCGAAGCAAGACAGCAGTAGGCATTCTACCTCATGTCTCATTATCAAACGATTTGAATAGCTGACACAAGTGACAGTAATCAAGAATGGAGGCAACTTGCCAGCAGCGTCCTTCCAGATGTGCTGTGACGACACCAGAAGTGCCACGCGCAAAAGCACAGCCTTGGAAAGCTTTCATCAACGATCCAGAAATCAAGCCTTTTGCAGCGGATCAGAGCGATAACGGCGTGCTTCGTTTGAAGACTGAGAAGGACGAGCATGGTCTCGGTGGCTGAACTGAGGAGCTGTCATGCTCGGGCAGGGGTTTAAACCAGCGAAGAATTGGCATCCTAGCAATTTAGTTTGTAGGCATAACCAAAGTATGCACAGTTCTCCAGAGTAGTCAGCGTCTGGCTTCAAAAGAATCCAACTCTTGCCACGATCCTTGTTTTTCCACCATGGAGATATGACATGCTGTGAAAAGGGTTAGGCAGTCGTCTGAGTAAGCGCCACAGCCTTGGATTTGACACGTATAAAGCCCTTGTCCTCAGAACATCCATTGATGATTCCTTGTCTCAGCATCAATACTGCATCTGATTAACGGGCACACTAGTGCAACCGCAATGGTCATCGCGACTCTCAATTTCATTAAGCCACTGGAGCTATACGAAACAGAACAGCCATACTTTCTCAACATACCAGGAAGTGAGCCAGAAACGCAAATTATACAGACAAATTTGGAATACACACCACAAGATGACATCACAATAGAGGATATTAGAGGCAGGACTCATGAGTTCTCTCTAGAAAAGAATGGATTCAAGGTCTTGAAATACGATGCCGAAGGTCTCGATCAACTACAAGGTTCCAAGGTCGACACTTACTGCGAAGAAATGGCTGCGTTGGTTGCCGAGGAATGTAATGCAGTCCATGCAGTTTGTTATGATTATCGTGTAAGTGAAGATTCCTCGAATTTTGTACAGGTGCTTCGAGACGAGAGAGCTTAACCTCTGTGGAGCTGTAGATTCGCAAGAATGATCGTGAAACCATCGACTACGAAAAGGATCAAGACCTCGGGCGAAACACGGCTGCACCCCCTGTTTATCCCGTGCATGTCGACCACACTGTTGATGGTGGCCCCAAACGCATCAGAAGGCATCTGACGGAACAAGAAGCCGCCAAATATTTGAATGGTGGATATGAGTCACGTATCATCAAGTAAGTGTGTAGACCGAGCGAACTCCTGCTGTGTGGTTAACGGAACTACAGCGTCTGGCGCCCTCTCAGCCATCCAGTCGAAGACTGTCCTATCGCCGTCTGCGATGCTTCGAGCATTAATCCATGTGACCTTGTGGCGGCTGATCGCGTCACGCCGGATTTTCGAGTAGAACTGTACTACATGCGCTATAATCCAAACCAGAGGTTCTACTGGCTTTCAAAACAAGCCACAAACGAGTTGTGGATGTTCGTCAACTATGATTCAAGGAATCGGCTTGACCTGCCTCCGTGGATGAGTAAGTAAGACCGCTCTCTCCTCATTGACATTGCGATTGACCTTACTCCTGAAGCATGTCCTCACGCGGCGTTCCTCGATGCTGGAGCCCGGAAGGACGCGCCAGCACGAGACAGCATCGAAGTCAGGGTAATCGTCTTCAATGCTATTACGGGGATAGCTTGAACCGATTGTAGTGGGTACTCAAGTGCCCAGGCGTTCGTAGCAAGACGACAGGCTGTAAGGAATTAGCAAATGATTGCTCTAGCTTAACAAATGCCTAGTGGCCACAGATGTGCCACGTATCTTAGAAGCTGCCTAGACTGTACGTGGGATCACGAACTGAAGCCAGACGTGAGTGTCTGTAGATGAACTAGAAAACGAAGTTGCCTGCGAGCCCTGCCTTGCGCCATGGCGCCACCGCGCCAATGCACCCAATATCGCGTGCAACACTGCAGGTGAGGTTATGCACCAGTCAGAAGGCCGGATGTGTAAACCGGTGTCAATCGGTGCTGCATGATGTTGCAATATGTTTCACTGTGTACGAACAGTATTTAAGGATATACATTCCTGGTTGTACATATGTAGCAGGCGCAGAGTGAGTGCACCGGCTGGCAGCTGTTGAACGGCCCCGCCATGTCTGAGTAAGTTAGCGCACTGATTCCCCGCTATCTGTGCGCTTGAACACGCAGCTCAACAGTGCACAGGGACGAAGTAACCAACATCGACCAGATCGAGCTGGCATCACTCACCGACGATTTCACTCGTGGTCAGGTGAAGAAGTTTGCTAGTACAGATTTCGCATCAAACATAGAGTCGCTGCTATCTCAGATCCAAAACCCCTCTATAAGGTCGAACATTCGCGTCCATGCATCGAGCTTCGACGCGATCATGGAATTGTCACAGCTACGGTGGAATGCCTTCGCGCCTACTACAGGCCTTGCTCTACTAGGTGGCTTCCTTTATACCGCAATCCACTTATCGGTGCGACAAGCAGAAGCGGATGGACATTCGAAAGCATGCTTCGAGGCTGTTATCGAGAAACTCCGGCGGTGCAACGATCTAGGCACAGAATTCTACTCTCGGTGTTCAGATCCCGCTTTGCCTGAAAACTACAAGAAGGAACGACTCGAACAGGCATACCGTTTGCTACTATCCTTTACTAGCTCCATCGTCAAGACCCTTGAACACGCTACCCCGCTAGGTATGTAATCCCGAGGCTCCACTCAAGCTAGCAATAGCGTCGACTGACTACCTAGTCTCTCTGGACGATGCGCGATGGGATAACATCGCCCAACACGAAACAAGCTGCACCAGATACCTTGAGGAGTCAACCATTTTCCTTTCCAATGTACTGGACAAGGAGAAAGCCCACAAAGACGACCCATCTCTGAACCAGGAACCGCCCGATCGCGACCCTCCCGTACACGTTTTGCCGAAACGACTCGCCAGATTCTTTGGTCGGGATAAGGAGTTGAAGGATATTTCTGAAAGACTAAACAAACACAACAGTGTGACGCTTCGTGGTATTGCTGGAGTTGGGAAGACATCTGTGGCATTGCAGTTTGCATACCAATCTCTGTCAGACTACAGAGTGATCATCTGGATCAGGTGCGAACCTTCAGGTGAACTGGCCCATTCATGCCAGGAAGCGCTCCGCCGCCTTGGCGCGATTGATGAAGGCCAGAAGCAGGTCCCAGAGATCAGAAAGATCTGGCAAGCTTATTTCGCCAAGTTATCGTTCCGATGGCTGGTGATATTCGACAATGTGGTGGAAAAACGTGACGTCGAGCCGTTCTGGCCCCAGGGGCATGGGAAGATCCTAGTAACCACACAGAAGCGGGATATCGCCTTTCGATTGACTGACTACGAGATCGAAATCAACCCTTTCGCTACTGAGGAAGGTAGAGACTGCATCATGGATCTATTGGCATGGCCAGGAGGTGTCCCAGCGGACGCAGAATCCGCCGCAAAACTGAACGAAGAACTCGGTGGTCTTCCACTCGGCATATTGCAAATGACTTCAGTGATACGAGATCGAAAATCGACCGTCCAAGACTTCCTGCGCTTGTACGAGAAGAACAAGGTTAGATATCACGCTAAAGAGACTGAGATCGAAGGCATTGCACCCAAATCAGACCCAAGGATAGCGACAAATTGGCAACTCCCCTTCGATCTCCTTGAAGATGACCACAAGTCTTTGCTGGGTATTCTCAGTCTACTTTCCGCTAGCACAATACCAGAGACTCTTTTCAAACACTGGGACGAATGTGAGGGTCGATCTACTTCTGGGCTTCTGGACTTCTGTGATGACGAAGACGACTTCATGGAGGTTGAGGAAAAGTTATTCAAGCTCTCTTTGGTGGACAAGGATCCAGCTACAGCGATGCTGAGCTTGCATCGACTAGAGCAATCTCAGTTTGAGATCTATATGGACGCCCCGACCCGCCAAGTCGCTTTTGATCGAGCAGCCAAGCTTCTTCACGACGTCTTTCCGAAAGAGCATATTGGTCAGCGGTTTACGGGCAAGTGGGACGACTGCAATCTGTACATCCAGCATGCCAACGTACTTAACTCGCATTATCTCAAGGTCGACAAGAAAACCCCCAAGTACAAGGCAAGTCCAGAATTTGCCAAGTTGATGGCCTGGTGTTCCTGGTACCTGTTTGAGATCGCGGATTATCCCAACTTCGAAGTAGCCCTCTGTGGTGGGAGAAAGGCATGTAAAGAAGCCGGCACCGCAGCGTTCGATGACTCAACATGGGCGTTGTTGAATTATAACGCAGGCACAGTTGAAACTTCTCGAGGCATGTTCAAGAAGGCTAAAGAGTCACTCGACGAATCGTTGAAAGTGCGCAGAAATCTCGACAACGACGATGACGTTGCCGCAACACTGAACAACTTGGGTATTCTCCATAGTTCCATGGGTGAGTTTGATATTGCTGAGCAGTACTTCACAGAAGCTCTGGCGATACACGAAACCAGACACGACACAGAAGACCGTAAACTATCTATGACAATGGTTAAGCATAATCTGCTGAGAACGACCATCCAGAGCGGCAAGGATCTACCATCTGTAGAAGACGTTCAAAGTACGATAGATATTTTCCATACAACAATAAGTTGGTGGATGACCGGGCAGTAAGTTCAGGAACAGTCCACGTCACACTTCGACTCACCACGACAGCTCCTATCTTCCTCTCGGTAATCTGTATCTCCAGCTTGGAGAATATGAGAAGGCGACAATAGCATTCACCGCCGCGCGCGACATCTTGAGTGCACCAGGCAGAGCCGCCTCGCAGCCTGCCACTGCGATGACAATCTATAAACTCGGTCGCGTAGCATATGTGACACAAAATCTGGACAAAGCTGCGTAAGCAAGGGACTATCTGCTCAATCAAATCCATAATAATGTGTAGCAGAGATTACTTTCGAGAATCTATTATGATCTCACAAGAATATCCGCTTATACCTGCTGAGGAGGCGCGAACTCAATTCATGCTTCTGAAGGCGTTGGACGAGGGCGCCAATTCTATTCGCCCGAATGAGGAAGAAGAGGTTAGGCAGAGATTCTCCACTCTTATGAAATTGTATTATGATTCAGTTGAAGCAAGAGATCCAGCGCCTGTAGTTGAGCTTGCACAACTCGATGTCTGTATCACCGCGAAGTATCAGTAGGACACAGAATGGAAATTTGAAGAAAGAGTCCTTTCTCCATACTTTTTCCTTGATTTAACATGAAACTCTCAATCACCGCTGGTAGACAGTAGACGAAGGGAAGTCAAAATCACGATACAATATGTTCAATCGCACCAGTCTAAGAAGAACACCGCCGCCGACCTTCTCACATAGCAAGAGCAAGACAAAGGTAGAGAGAATGACAACGCTACTACTAATCTGCTCTCTCCACTGATGTTCATTATCCAATGCGAAGTATCCGCTGTCACCCGCAACTGTCTTGTGGTGCTTAAATCTACTTTCGCGACCATTGGAACACGTCAAGATGAGAATGACTCTAATGTCTTCTGACCTCTGTTTGGAGCCTTGTGCAGACTTGTCGAGCGCCGGAACATTATGCCACGTCCAGCAAATCTACGTTGAAAACTTCGAAAAGTTGCAAGCAGAAGTTGTGAAGACGAACCCTAATATCCTTACCACGGCCATGGGCCTTAAGCTCAGCATGATCAAGTAGACGACCTGAACGACCCCGAGACACTTCGGATCGACAAGGAACCTAGAAGTACAGAGTACCGTTGCTAGTTGTAATTTTCTTGCAATAAGCCAGCCTAGCCTGCGGTAGAGAGGGTATCGTTTCTGCACATGTACAATTCTATGACATGGAAAAACAAAATGATCCTTGACTCATCTACATTTGTGCGAGTTCGAGGACAATCAAACGATAGTCAGGAATCTACGTTCTCCAAAAGCCATCCTGCTAATCTCAATTGTCTTACGAGTGGCGAAGCTACACAGCCCCACTCGAACGTATACGCCTCGTCTTTTTCTGACAGGCCGTAGAATCAAGCCAAATATCTTATTCTGTCGTTGAAAGTCGTCTATTCCTGTCTTCAGGGACTTTTCCCACGAGGCTTTGTATAATTCGCCATCGCCATCGTCATCTTCAAGTCGATTGTAAGGATCATGACGTACGCAAACGGGTAAACAGACCAAGGATTTTTGAGCTGCCCTGTCGTAATCCCAGACGTCCCAGGAGTCGTCTTCAATATCCCCCATGAGACGGGTGCCGTTTTCGGTCAAAGTGCCGTGTTCGGTCAGAGCTAGTCCGGAGTCCTCGTACTTGTCGCGCATCAGTTTTAACAAAATGCCAGACATCCTCAAGGAGGCTTTCGACATTACTCCGAACGGATGATCCCCACAGGTTGGTGGGTCCGAAACGTCAAGATTATCGACCAGTGGAGATAAGGGGATACGACTGGCATCAGCGCCAGCCGATAAAAGATGGTCGTAATTCACTCCACAATTGACCGAGGCCCACGACCACGAAGGTGCCCTAGCTGATTTGGTTGTGTTTGCAGGACTTCCGCTTGTCGCATGCCATAGGATACCGAGAAGCATGTCGCGCCTCCATAACCCTGCGTGGTAGTTATCATCTGCTACTTCTCCAAACTTATTCGCAATTCCAGCTATCGCAGGTAGTCTATCTTCATCGTATGTTAGACTTCGAAATGTGAAATCCTCTAACATTCTATACCAGCAGGTATAGATGTCGACCTTCGGGTTTTTCGACGTGAGTGATGTTATGCCATTTATTATGCAGTGAAGTAGACGCTGGTTATCAGCTGATATGCTTGGGGCATGCGGTATTCCTAGCGGATGTTTTTCATTGGTCGACAGTGTTCGGCAACGCCAAATGAGACGGGTTTTCGAAAACATAATAGAGCGGCGAGACAAGGCCTGTTCCTGAAGAACCCAGGCTCTTTGAGCTACGGAGTTCTCCCAATTAAGGTCTCCCGGATTGCCATGGTGTTCTTCTTTCGTTGGATACCGAGAAAGATAGCATTCCTGTCCCGAAAGGACGACTGGACAAGGCCAAGAAAATTGACCGAGGCGCTCTTTAAAACACCCCTGAGTGGAGTCTGCTGCTGCTGCCGCAGAGATGTTCAACCTCGAGTTGCCGTACACAAGTCCCATTCTCGGCGCTTCTTTTGCCCAATCTTCTTGTGATTCTTGTTCTTGGATGATACACAAAGAGTCGATCCAGAGGTATTCTATACCTACTTCCCTGCAGACTTGAACTGCGTGCTGAAATGTTCTTGACAATTCTTCGTCCTTGATGCCCTGCTGTCGACAAGCAAGAGTCTGATCAGTTGTCGACAACGGTCGACGGTTGGGGTCTCCCCAGCAGTGGCTCAAAGTAGCGTAGTGACCACTCTTTTTCTTTCCAGACACAAGATAACATCTGTTGGATCCTTTCTGCCCTACCGCTATCACTCTCGTTGGCAGAGGCGGAGGCTGAGAATCGGCCTGCGAACATGCTGGATGTGAAGAGGTACAGATGTTCAGCCAAGCCTTTATCCTAAATAAACTTGCTGAGGAGCCAGTATGAGTGTCACTCCCTGTAGGAAGGCACGTTTCTGGAAGAGCTGTAAGATTGGCTGCCTCGTTGGTTAATCGTGGGAAACTGGTGACATTCTAGGAATGATAGGCGCTCACAGTCCATAGGTTTACAGATCAGTCGTCCACTCATACCAGGCTGCAAGCCGCCACATAGTATGGTGATTTGGACTTCATCTACCTCATCACCAGTCAAGGGGATTGTCGTTCGCACCCTCTGATATCTGAGTCCGATGTCGCCGTCTAAGGAAACCGAACCAAAGTCTGCCTTACCGGTCCATCCACCCCCGGGCTCCTGATACAAGCGACAATTTTCTTCCCACGCTATCAATAACAATCCGCAACAATGGCAACCTCTACGTGCGCTCTCGAGTAACGCACTGACTGAGTGGTGATGTTTTACAACAACCTCACGAAAGTTGTTGATGCTATCCCAGTGTGTGCTTTCTAGATGGCCGAGGCTCATACAGGTGGAACAAAGTCTATCGCTTCCTGAGCGATTTGTTGCCGGTAATTGACTGTCCTCAAAGCAAGCTGGTTGGGCCCGTTCACCACCAGGAGGACAAACCCATTCTTGAGTCTTGATTCTTATGCCACCCGGCACTACTTCCCAAGGCAAAGGAACTTGAGTCGTTAAGGTTGGACGCGTTAAAGTTGAGTATAACTGCCCCATCAGATAGAACTCTGCCAGTGGATAGGAATCGGCGATCTCGTATCTATTTGGGCAACAATGACCATGTAGACGAATGGATAGTTTCAATACAGGACAGGCAAACGAGTTTGGTGGGTGTCAAGACAGGAAGGCTAACTGGAGGCTGGGAGTTAGGAGAAATAAGCAGCAGGCGAAGCGCAGCTGCAGGAGGACGTGGACGTGGGTGGGCTTGAATGTGGTGGGTATAGATGCGGGGCAGTGCATACTCACCGGTCAAACATCTCCAGCGAATTGGATGCAGTGCATGAAGGATCGCAAACTCCCTCAAAGCGCCTCTGCCTAGCCGCTGCAACGCATCACAAACATCTGCGACTCATTGAAGAAATGAACCTACAGCTTTCGAGATACTTCAGGCAACTTGGAAGAAATCCGGCATTACCATCACCGTCGCAAACCTAGACCTAGTCAGCACAATCGTCACTACCTGTCTCCGATCGCGAAATAGAACCCATGTACTCCATGGCTTTGCCATTTGCAAAGGCTCATCCGAAGGCGTTATTCTTGATCATAGACACAGGAAGTGATCCCATCTCTATCCTCATTCCTACGTCGCGACGGAGACCTTGACTGGAAGACGCCAGCATATCAAATCTCTGGCAGCAGTGGTCAAGACTTTATTTTCGCCATCTCTGGTGACGAAAATGATGAGCTGATAGATTAGATCTCTTTTGCACACGATACTCAAGATCCAAAAACGTCAACAACGGTCCGTACATGGGTACTTATCTGCGACAGGCGGATGACCAAGGCGGATACACGGCTTCATCCACGCACAACAATCCTGACGACAGCTTGACGAATATGGTCTTTTCGAGCAAACCCCTGAAACACATTTGTATCAAGTACGACATATTCGATAAAACCGATGCTACCGTACTGGCTATTGGGACGACGGCACCTTCCAATAGCCGTATGGCAAACATGGTAACTGCGAGAACTTGCTACGACAAAATCAAGTTCTACCCTTCGTAGACTTGTTTCAAGTAGATCCAAAGCGGGACATCCCGATGGAGCTGGTGTTCACAGAGAGCGATCGTGGTACTAACGCGGTGAATGAGATCTAACGGCTGTGTGAATAGCAACCGGACCCAACTTCTTCACTATCGTCGTACGAGATGACGTAGGAACGTGGCTTTTGATAGTCTTGTTTCTCAAATACCCGTAGTTTATGCGCTTGTACCTGCCATTCTCCCGATGTGCAAGGCGTAGCCGTCTTTAGAAAAATTGTTTAGATTGCGATAGTCGTTGGTTCCTGGCCTAAAACTAACGGTACCATGGAATCGCTTAGCGAAATAGTCTTTGGCGCTGCGACAGTAGTATTCCCTTGTGGGTGACGTGAAAATGACGGAAATATGACGGGAAAGACGGGAAGAGCGTATTGATTTATGGTGAAGAAGAAAAGAAGATAATCAGCGTGGAGAGACAGATTGTGAAACCTGGAGCTGACGATCAGGGTGTGCTGAGAGTGTCGGTCAGGATAGGCCACAAGGCGAGCCTGGCCGAGGTATAAAAGTCAGAGATAAGCGCCGAACGCTTGCCGTCTGCGCCAGCGTACCGCGAACCCGAGCCGTGGGATAGCGGATAGGTGATCATCAGGACGGGAAGACTTCCAAGGTTCCACGCACGCGTGAACACATGTTATGACTGTGCATGCAGCAGCAGAACTAGTCTTCTGGACCCCTAGACAAGCAGATAGCATAAGGCGCAGCGCTGGAGGACGCAGCTCACAGCCCGTCGTGTCTTGAACCCAAATAAAAATTGACTTAGCGCCCGATGCTGACTCGGCGGAGGGGGCCCTACGTGTTGTGCAAGGGACCGCGGCGTGTCATGCTGGTGGAGACCAGCCGGTCAGGCTGATGTGGAAGAAGCAGAAACGTGGTGGTGTCGCAATTCTAGGCTCGGGGAAAGCTGCGCGGAATACTCAGCTGAAGCAAAAAAGCACGCAGGGTGGAGTGGACTCTGTGGACTCAGTGGAGCGCGGCACAATGGCATGCGGACGACGGATCGCTTGCAGAGGTGTAGGGGTCAGCTATGCTGAAAGAGGCTGATGGGCCCTCTTCTAGGGCATGTTAGCGGGATCTGGAACATGAATAGACTGTGAGGGGGAATCCTTGCAGAACCAACAACTGCAGGGCAGCTGATAGCAGCAAGTGATGCTGCTTAACTCTATCATGCCACCGCGCCGTGGGTGCCCGCTAGGAGCTGGCCTCGCCGTGCAGTTATCTACTCCGTCAGCGTCCATTCGCGCACTTGCGCACAGTCGTTCTTGCCCTCTCCCCGTCAGACGCCAGTCGCACCTTCCTCGGTGACATCCGCATTTCATTTAACAGCAGGCGCACCCCTGTCGCAAACTTCCCGATATACCCAACGCGTCGCCCACTCTCTCTTCTGCTGCTGTGGCGTCATCTCTACAGCGACGTCAAGCTTTGTTCGTTTGTTCGACTTGCTTTTTGCTGGCGAGAACAAATCACTGTTACACATCCAGTCCGGGGATTCCGTCGTCAAACAACTACCGCAAGCCACCCGTCAATGGCGTCTTCTCGATCTCGATAGCTCCACGAATTGCTTTCTCATCGCACGCCGTCGCTTCCAAATACGACTCTGGCGATCGACCACCTTTACTAAAACCTGTGCCCATCTCGTCGAATTTCCCCTGCAGACGCCTGCATCAATTCACCCCCACATCATCAGCCTTCGACAATGGAGTCTACCACTCGACACACGTCTCAAAGACGGACAACACGACCTCGGTCGACAAATCCGTCGCCAGCAACATCGACATATGGATACCACAACACTTACCATACTCATGCGCAACTTCCCATTGGGTCACCGCCTTCGTATGCCCGAGCCATTGATCCCCAGACCCGCCGCATCCTCGATGAGAGGACGAGGACAGAGAAGGAGGCAGTCCGCAGCACACAATTACCACCGCCATACACCTGCACAGTCCACATAGAGGGGCTTGTTGGGGTAAAGCAAGAGCTCTCATCACCATTTCAAGTTTCGGGACATCGTGAGTGGAACGATGTTTACGCCATACTTCGAGGCACGCAACTGAGCATACACCGCGTAAAGTACCCGGGACTACTCAGTAAAAGCAAAGAGCCATGTGCAGGACGATTAATACGAACCTATTCTTTACAGCACGCCGAAGTTGGCGTGGCCTCCGATTTCAAAAAGACATCGCTGACACCAAAATCTCCTTTTGCGCACTTGGTTCCCGCTGTTGCCAGGCCCAAACTATATGAGACGGATCCTCATCTTTTCGAGCCTGTACGGGAACATGCCATCCGGCTGCGCCTGGAGTTTGAGCAATTTCTGTTTTGTCCATCGAGCGAGGAAGGCATGCTCGACTGGATAGAATCGTTTTGCGCCGCCATCGACATCAGCTCACCTCTAGAAGACCGCAGCGAGCCCCGCTACCGAAGTCTCCCTCGCAGGGGCAGACGACAACGCATCTTGGAAAACGCGCAGTTTGGAGAGAACCTCGAGAGCCTGACAAGTCTAGAAGCCGGTCGACGCATCATCGCACAACAGGAGCAGATTATCCGCCAGCTTTATCCACATCTGGCTGGGACCCGGGAACCAGGTATCAGCCACACAGGTCCCACGGCTGATCTAGAACTTGACGATTTCGACCCGGAGGATGTCCGCTTTCCCACACGAATCGCGAGAGATTCGCTAGCCCGCGTTTCTTCGCACGAGTACGAGCAAGGCGACGATGAACGTCCTGAAAGTGGCTTATCGTCTGATCCCAAGTCCACGTGTGCGCCACGGCCTTCGTCTGCGCAGACCCTGCGCTACCGTCGCCGTTGCGCCCCAGTGTTGCTTGCTTCTTCTCCACGTGTTAGCGATGTAGTTTTTGGCAAAGGCCAACGCTTCCGCATTAGCGTCAAGGCTCACATGCTCGTCGACTATACCCCGCACCCACCTCGGTACGACGTCCACGGCTTTGCGAAATCCAAGCGCCCTGCAAGGATCGCAACGGATCACAACTCTTCAACGGCTGCCGCAGACAAGACTGTATCTACGACTGTCTTGCCGGAAAGGCCCAGCTCGCCTCTTCGTGGTGTTAGCGATGATTCCATCACTTCCATCACTTTTGGTGAAGACCTTGGCCCTGTTCGCTCAAAGTCGACTAGTGATGCTACGGGCCCGTCTGGCCCACCATCGCCGTCTGGCATGTCGCAAACAAAAGTCGATGCTGCGCGCCAACTGGAAACGATGGGAAAGCGTCGACCGAGCGAGGATAGCCGCGAGACAGGCTTGAGCGTTACCTTTGGTGCTGGCTTGATGATTTGATCATTTTCTTTACACATTCCGTTCATCTATTTTCCTTTGTTGTACTGCATTGCATGGCGTCAGTTGAGCGCTTTTCTTTGGTTTACTGGCGTTACTACTATCTTTTTCTTTGTTTGAGCATCAGTACTGGTGTCACATGCCAGGAAGGAGGATATACCCATTTTACTTTGTATGGAGTATAGCAAGACGGATCTGCATCGGGTTGGAAACGTGTTGGTCGGAGGAATGGAGTCGGATGTATATAGCCTTATGTTAACACCCAACATACTCCTCAATATGCATAACACATTAATTTATTACCTTGAATCAGCGTTTCTTGCTCATCCTTACACCAAGCATGGTGCGCGGTGTGATTCCGTTGCAGTTTCCAACGTAAGCAAAGGCGCGGACCTTGCGGCCCCCGGACATCGCGACTCGTCGAGCGGTGTTGATTGGTAAACGTGCATGGCTTGCCTAACTTGTACTTGGCATTCTTATTCAGTACCTCTCATGCATGTACTCTCTATCCTCTTTCCTGATTCGTCTTTCCGGTTTCCAATACAGGTTGTGTCTACGCGACGATTGGTAAACGGCAAGGAAATAGGATAGACAGGCCGGAGTTATCTTGCTGACATACATATATGTAGTGATGGAGAAGCTGTGTAAGACGAGCGGACATGTAGAAGTGTGTTTTTGATTTAAATATGAGTATCAGCACAAAAGAACAAAACACTTCCCAATACCATCAACCTCATCCAAACCTTTGTACAAATACACTCCATCTCTCAACATTACCCACTTACAACATCTCGACTTGAAAAACAACCACTCATCCTACCTACCACTTTCCCCCCACAAAGCCATGTCTACCACCCCCATCGCCCTAATCCTCGGCTCAGGCCCCAACGTAGGCACAGCCCTAACCACCTCCCTCACCGCACTAAACTACCGCATCGCAACCGCCTCGCGCTCCGGCACCAACGCGCTCCACCCCACCAACGGCACGCTCTCCCTAGCCGCCGACTTCTCCTCCCCCTCCTGCATCCCCAGTCTCTTCGCTGCCGTGCTGCGAGAATACGGGGCCGCCCCCAGCGTCGTCATCTGGAACGCATCGGCGCTGACGCCGCCGCCTGTGGAAGGCAGCGTACTATCTGTGCCGCAGGACCAGTTTGTTAACGATCTTAATGTGAATACGGTGAGTCCGTATGTTGCTGCTATGGAAGCGGTGAGAGCGTGGGATGGAGAAGTGGGTGGTGATGGTGAAGGAGGGAGGAGCAATAAGACGTTTATTTACACGGGGAATACGCTGAATCAGACCATCATGTCTGTTCCGTTGTTTCTGACGCTGGGGGTGGGGAAGAGTGCGAGTGCGCATTGGGTTGGACTGGCGGATGCTACGTATCGGGAACGAGGGTATCGGTGAGTTTTTTTTCTTTCTTTGTTTCTTTGTTTCTTTCCCTTTCCTCTCGTTTGTTTTCTAGATGGAGATGCCGTCACAAGATCGGCATTAATCGGTCAATGCGACATTGTTCATGCTGTGCGAGCATCGAGATCTCGACTGTTAGAAGTCACCTTCATTTTCGGAAGTGGCCGATGATAGCTTGGGGACTTGGGATTTGGAACTTTGAATTGAATGCTGACTGCGAGGGATTCTTAGTTTCTTCTATGCGGATCAACGAGAGCCTGATGGTACGCCCATGGTCAAAGGTGTAGATGGACCTGCGCATGGAGAGTTTTATGCCTCGTTGGCGCAGCGGGATTTGGATGATGTACCCTGGTTGGCTACATTTGTCAAGGACAAGGGGTACGTCAAGTTTTAACGTCCTCATACGTTACTATTACGGGCCTGCGCGGTTTTCCTCTGGGGACTGCTGTGATGACTGAGCTTGAACGTGCTTTCTTTTCTTTTTCTACCTGTTTTGTTTTGCGTGAACTCATGTCCAACCCGGGAGGTGAGACGAAAGGAACTCAGTTCCAAAGTTAGCCCAGCTAAACATAGGGTGTCGACCATATCATACAATATACTCCCACTCATACTCATACAAAACCATTTACATGTCGTCCAAGTCATAACCATCATGATCAACCCTCTTCTTCCTCCCCTTTCTTCCCTTGCTACCCCGAATCTTGCGATCCGCAGTATAGCGTCCATCGCGATCGCCAACCAACATCCTTCCGCCCTGGCCAAGCACCTTTGCAGGACCTTCCTCCACAGTCCTTCCGTCTCTCTCGCCAACACCGATTTCGATGGTGACTTGCTTTGCCTTCTTGACCTTTCTGCCCTTCTTGTCGAACTCGTCGGTAGGTCGGCCTAGACGAACGTTGCGTGGAATGCGTGTTTTTGCGCCGAGAGCCCAGAGGTCACCCCAGCGGACTTTTCGCGCGTCACGGTAGGCTTGTTTGCTAAAGGATCGGGGAACAGTCCAGCGCTCAAGCGTTCCAGCTGGTGTGCAGACATCTAGAATGATGTGACCTCGTCGCTTCAGCGCAGGGAGAATCAGGCGCGGTAGGGTGAGTGGATTCACGTCGGCGGTCGAGGTCATGACGGGCTCTTCGATTTCTGGGTTCGACGGTGCGCGCCACTCGTGTCCCTCAAATGCGGCAGCGGTCGAGGCTTGCCCTTGCACGAACCCTTTGCCGAGGACGTCGTGTTGTGGAAGGCGTTGATCACGTCCACGCTGGACAGCCAGGTAGCTGAACTGCACATCCTCATGGTTCTTGTCCTTTGCATTCAAGATGCGTTGGAGGTACGGAGGTCGAATATAGCGCTGGCTGAAGAAACAAAAGTCTTTCCTACCTTGGCTGACACCTGTGGACTGGTACATGGGGCATGAGTTGTGGTTGGTGCATGGCGCAACAATCATTCCCGTCTCTTTCTCCGTGAACCTGGTGTCTTGATCGGGTTTTGAGACCTGAGAGTCAAGTAGCGTCTCGAGAGTTTCTGAGCCAGGAGACGAGATGTGCTTGTTCAGAAGGTATGAACGGGCGGCGGCTACGACTTCAAATCCTCGTGGGAGACCCTTCTCGATGAGAATGAGAACACCACCCTTGGGGTTTAACAGGGACCAGTATTTCTCAACTTGTTCCCTGCGCAGATAATCTTGCCTGATAGGCCAGAGCGTGTGTGGTGCGATGATGACATCATAGTACTTGCGCGGTTGCTGCGTGTTACCTTCGTCGGCCGCTGTCACTGTCTCTGGTAGTCGCGGAATAAACGTAGTGTTTTCCAGCAGTTTGCTTGCGCGGTGACGGAGCGTGTCAGATGCAGTCAAAACAGTCGCCTTTCCCAACGGGGTAGCACCATGCGACGTGTTTCCTGATTCTTCGTGCATGCGTTGCCATTCCGCCTCTAGCATCTCGTGCCAGGCAAGTACACCGACGCCTCCAGAACCAGCGTCTAGTATAGTGCCACCTTTCTTGTTCTGTAGCATGTGTTCGAGCCATCCTGTTCCCAGTCGCCTGCGAACTTCGACCATGGCGCTCATTACGCTTGCGTATGTGCCTGGCTGTACGGAAGCCATGTATACATCAGCTTCGATGTTGCCCATTTCCGATTGCGATGGGTCCAGTGGAATTGGCTTTTGTTCATTGCCCAATCGTGCAGGAGTTGTACTGGCCGAGTGAGGCAGACCGCGACCGCCAAAGATGCGATTCGCAGATTCGGCAAGGTGTTTGTGATTCGCGCGTGTCAGAAGCAACGCTGTAGGATCGACGAGAGTTTCTTTGGGCAGGAATACGGTCGAGGGCGATGGCTTGAAGCGACCGGCGATGGTCAGTGGATGCGCACGCATGAAACTATCATCCTCTTGCTCTTCTTCCATGTCTTCCCAAGCCTCTGCTTCCTCTTGTTGCAGACGACTTTGCTCGTAGATTTCGTCGTGATACGCCTGTGCCTCGTTCTCTCTACGCGCTTCCCATTCTTCTGGTGTCATGGTTTCTTTGTCCAGCTCAGCTTCTTCAGGAGCCATATCCTCCTCAACCTCAACTTCTTCGACGAGCTCAATCTCTTCAAGCTCGCCATCCTTTCCCTTCCTCAATAAGACAGTAGAACCATCAGGTCGTTCTTGCTCAATAATTTCCTCCTCAGCTATACCCCCAAGTTCTTCTATGTCTGCGGCAGGATCCACGAAAATTGCTGGGCCGTACAGTCTCTTGTATATTGTGTATTCCTCTTCGCTCAGGTGGTCGCGCGGTAACGTATCACCGAATTGCTGCCTCGCCCTCCGCGCGTTGACTTCGTAATTCACCGCTTCGGTCGCAGAAGGAGGCTCATCTTCCGTACTTGTCGCATGGTCTTGCTCTAACTGTCTCGTTCCGAGTGTTGTGGAGAATGCTCTCTGTGGCGTTGTAAATTTGGAGGCGAACAAAGGTAGTTGTCGCGGCGCGGGTCGTGTCTGGGCTGGTAATCTTGCGCTACGCGCTCGTGAAATTGCGATATTCAGTCGGCATGATGCACAAACGGACTGCAAGCCCCTCGTCTTTAGCATGGTCGAGCGGCGACTCTGGAAATTGTCGAATAATGCACTCGCGTCGGAGGAGAGAAAGTTCGCCGCATCTTTCACTCCAGGGTCCACGCTAAGCTCTGCTGCCCTCACCACTTCCGTCCAATCATATACCAGCTGATTCTATACCCCACATCGCCCGACCTCGATATCAAACCATGGGACTTTTCCATGCGCAGGCCGACACTTCTTCGGCTAAGCTTGTTCGCTGCATACTCTGGCGTTAGTACAGGCTCCAGAAAGCCTTCGGTAAGCACACAGGCAAATTGCTAGATCATGCTTCATCTGCCATGGGCATATGTCTTGGAAATGCGGACACTGTGCGTATCGACGTCCGGTAATTCTATCAACATCGACGAGGAGACTTTGCATCTGTCATGCTTCCGATCCGTTGGATGCGACCTCGGTCGACCCACCTATAACTTGTACCCCACCATGCACTATCATCATGCGCCTCACGCTCAACAGCCTTACCTTTACTCAGCTTGTGCCCAGCCCGATACAATACCGCGATTTGCACACGACTCATCGAGATTATATCAATAAGTGCCTTATCCGGTACCGTGGACTTTTCCGTTCGGCACGTCACGCCAGGTCCATTTTCTAATCAACAGACAAGCTTTCATCGAGATTATCCTCATTCATTTTCTATCGACTATCCTTCCAAACCACCGAAATGGTATCAGGGTCTGAGAAATTTGACTATCCTTCGCTCAAAGAGCTGCTAAAGGATACGACTGCTGAAGTCCTACTTCCAGGTGATGGCGAAGAGTACGAGAAGAGCATCGAAAGGTGGAGTGAGCACTGCATCAAACGAGCTGTGAGTTTACCTGGTTACACCTACCTGCAAGGTCGAGTCTATACCGGAGCATTGCACTTATACAAGGAAAGGCTGCTGTAATCAGAGTTCGGTCTGCGGATGACGTTTCCGCAACTTTAGCTCAGATACGCGAGCACAGCATCCCGTTCACAGTCCGAGGTAAGAATGCCCATGTAACAGACGCGCATGAAGCACACATTGACTCCTTCGTTACAGGAGGAGGTCACAGCACTTCTGGAGCTGCGTCTATCGAGGATGGCATCGTCATCGATCTTTCTAAGATGCGCAAGGTGACAGTTGACGTGGATGCCAAAACTATCAGAGCCGAAGGAGGAACTATATGGGAAGACGTTGATGTTGAAGCTGCCAAGTTTGGTCTTGCGACTGTCGGAGGTACGGTTAACCATACCGGTGTAGGAGGTTTGACACTAGGAGGGGGCTATGGTTATCTCACTGGAAAGTACGGCTTGACGATTGGTATGTTCTCCTATATCTAATCAACCGGCGAAGCTTACACAGCTGATATCACTTAGATAATCTCTTGTCCGTTGACATGGTCCTCGCATCTGGTGAGCAAGTCGTCGCATCAGCAAATTCGAATCCCGACCTCTATTGGGCTGTGCGAGGCGCAGGTCAGAACTTTGGCGTAGCAACAGCTTTCACGTTCCAGGGCTATGCACAGAAGAATTCTGTCTTTGCAGGACCTTTGGTCTTCCTTCCGGACAAAATACCGCAGATCGTTGAGTTCCTGAACAAGTTCCACACTACAAATGACGGCAACCAAGCCATGCTCATGGGTTTCTCCGCTCCACCGCCCGCGAATGCACCTGTCGTACTTTGCCAGATCTTCCATAACGGCACTGAGGAAGAAGGAAAAGCTTTCTTTGCTGACCTGTTTGAACTTGGCCCTGTAGCCAACATGACTGCCATGATACCTTACCCACAGCTGAACAGCCTTCTTAATCAGGGAGCCGGATTTGACGGGCGCAAGCTTTTCGGTGGAGGTGCTTTCAAGCTCCCAATTGACTCAAGCTTCGCTGTGCAACTTCATGCAGAGTTCAACGCTTTTGTAGCTTCGCACGAACGAATGAACGAAAGCATGATACTCTTCGAAGCTGTTCCTTACCAGAAGGTCATAGAGGTTCCCAACGATAAGATGGCGTTCTCGAACCGTGGCGATTACTACAATGTCGCAGTGATGATGAAATGGTGAGTTGGTACAGCGCTTTATGGAGCTCAAGTCTAATGAACGCACAGGTTCGAGCCCTCACTCGACGGAGAGATTCGTACATTTTCACGAAACCTCCTCAAGAAAGCCTCAGTAACTGCTGCAGACCGGTCAAAGGATGGCGGCGTGGCTCAATACGGGAACTATGCTTCCGCTGATGTTGAAGCGAACGAGATCTTCGGCGCAAACGTCAAGCGACTTGAGGAGCTCAAGCATAAGTACGACCCTGACAACCTGTTCAGCCACGGCACGAAGTTGACGCCGCGCCCTTTGGTGGTCGTCAACTGAATGTTCCAGTAGCACTTAGCTGTACACAAAACGCCATGAAATGTATGCTATGCAGTCAGTCAAGGAATGCGAAAACCTTCCCACTTGCCGTTACTACTCTCAGGCTAACCAGATGATTAATCGCGTTGCTGATGGAGACTGCAGATGTTGAAACATGCAGAACTCGAAATTTTCTGGAGCTCGGTCTGGGAGCTGGAGTCGCGACACCGGATATATCTCTACTCGACGCGACCGTAGCGCCGGAAATCAGCAACCCTTGACGTCATCTCAACTCGTCAGCAGTTAAAATATCAACAAGCTTCGACGCCACAGCTAAAACACACCGCATAATTAATCGCATCGAGTCGCTTCTCCTTTCGGCCCGGGAGATAATGTCCACCGACGCACCGAGGATGCTGAACTACGTTGTGGGGCACGCGACCCACGGAGATTCGTTCTACGGCTGCTTAAACCCGAAGGCGACACTCCGTTCTAGTAGCGAAGTTCGCCGTATACACGACCTTTTTAAAACTACTTTAATCGCTTGGCTTTGCACCGAGCTATACTAATTCCTTCACCCAAATCTTTCTTTATACTTAAGAGACGCGGAATATCTACTGGACTATACTTGGGTTTCCAACTCTCGTATCACTAATCTTAATCTGCTATACGGAACACGACACGGTCTCTAGCCTTCGCGGACGACAATTTTAGCTTCGCATAGACATGGAGAGTTCGAGGCAATCGCGACCTCAGAGGGCATCCAGAAGTCGGTCAAGATCCCGACCACGGCGATCCGACAACGCACCACTACACCGTATTCTGTCCAGCCAATTTCCGGATGATCATTCCGTATACCACCATGAAGATGGAGAAGGAATTCACGTCGACTCTGATGCCAGTTCGTTGCACAAGACCGAGACTGAAAGAAGAGATGCAAACACGGCCAGTAGCGACGATGACGACAGTGGCGATGACGTAGACGAGAAGGAAGCAAAAGATGATACCACTCACGAGGAAGAGACGACTTACGAAGAGATACGAGGGGGTATTCCATATGAACATGATGTTGAAGCATCACCACCATTGGAAAAGAAGAAGTCTACGCGGTCGGTCAAAGATCCGAATCTGGTATGTTCGCCTAACAACCATTGGCTGGTATAACAGCAGCTAATAATCATAAGGTTACATGGGATTCAGAAAACGATCCTAGTAATCCGAAGAATTGTAAGCCAGATTGATCCACTATATGCAGATGGAATGGTCTAACAACGCGCAGGGTCTATGAAACGGAAATGGGCAGCGACCCTGATTGTTTCCTGCTTTACCCTTGTCTCACCAATATCGTCGTCCATGATATCGCCCGCTCTAAGTAGCATAAGTTCTGACTTCGGTATCACGAATGAAGTCGAAGCTCAACTCACCCTGTCCATTTTCGTCCTAGCATATGCGATTGGACCGCTATTCTTGGGCCCTTTGTCTGAGATCTACGGCCGCGTTCTCGTCCTACAGCTATCTAACCTATTCTACTTGGCTTGGAACCTGGGTTGTGGATTTGCTCAAACGTCTGGTCAGCTCATGGCATTCCGATTCTTCAGTGGCCTAGGCGGATCTGCGCCGTTGGCCATTGGTGGTGTAAGTAACTCCTCGACAATCAATGCCGAAACCTTAATCTGACTTTCCCCCAGGGCGTTCTTAGCGATGTTTTCCTGGCAGACCAGCGTGGCCGAGCCATCTCAATCTACTCTCTAGCCCCGTTGCTGGGTCCTGCAATTGGTCCCATTGCTGGTGGTTTCATTTCCCAAAACACGACATGGAGATGGTGTTTCTACGCCACCACCATCTTCACCGCAATGGTTCAATGTTTCGGCTTCTTCTTCCTCCAAGAAACATACGCTCCCAAGCTCCTCGAGTGGAAGCGAAACAAGCTACGCAAGGAGACCGGCAACCAACAACTACACACAGAATTCGATAGCCCCGACCGCACGCTTGCAACGACGATCAAAATCGCCATGGTGAGACCCTTCAAGCTGCTCGGTACCCAACCCATCATCCAGGTGCTTGCATGCTACATGGCTTACCTGTACGGACTCATGTACCTCATGCTCTCCACCTTCCCCAGCTTATGGGTCACGCGCTACGGCATGTCTACGGGCATCGGTTCGCTAAACTTCATCTCCATGGGCGTCGGTTTCTTCCTCGGCACGCAAATCACCGCTCCGCTCAACGACGCTCTCTACCGCCGCCTAAAGAAGCGCAACAACGGCGTCGGTAAACCAGAATTCCGTGTTCCTATCATGATTCCTGCATCGCTGCTCGTTCCTATTGGCCTCTTCTGGTATGGCTGGAGTGCACAGGCTCAGGTCCATTGGATTATGCCGAATATTGGTGCTGCTATCTTTTGCGCTGGTGTCATTATAGGGTTTCAGTGTATTCAGACGTATCTTGTGGATAGCTATACGAGGTATGCGGCGAGTGCTATTGCGGCTGCGACGGTGCTTAGGTCGTTGGCCGGATTTGGGTTTCCGTTGTTTGCGCCGGCCATGTATAATAAGTTGGATTTTGGATGGGGGAATAGTGTGCTGGGGTTTATTGCACTGGCATTGGGTGTTCCGGCTCCGTTCATGCTGTGGAGGTTTGGCGAGAAGTTGAGGAGTACTAGTAAATTCGCGGCTGGCTAGAGCCGAGCGTGAGTGTGGAAGAGGATAGTAATACGTAAGAGTGGTATATAAGAAAGCTACAATTTTCTGTAGCACAGCAAGCCATGCCATGAAGCAAATTTACATTAATGATCGTGTAATCGCAGATCAGCGCATATTGAATAGCACCTGGGCTCAGACCGCACTAGCCTAGCCTGTCTGGTCAGACGAGCCTGATATGCTCTGAACGAACGTCTTTAAGTTGATCGAAAATCGAGACCGCATTGAATGTTTCCGTGTCCCACCCCAGTGGGTATTGATATAGCCTCAGCTTCCATAGACCGATGCGCTTGTAAGTTTCGCGGCTGGGCTCCGGTTGCATTATCAACCCTATTAAGAGTGGTTGCTCAAAGTCGAAGAAGTTATACTCTAGATCAAGCCATGCGCGAAGTTCGATGAGAAGCCCAAAAGTCATCACCTTGTCGTAGTGATTGCGCTCTGTTTCTTGATGGTCAAACTGGCACTGGAGAAAACCACCATCCTGGCCTAAGAGCATGTTAAATTGATCTCGGATCGACGGTCCGCGTCGTAGATCGAGATTCATGGGATTCTCCAGAAAGCCAGTCCAAGTCTTCATGGCAAGATTCAGCGTCATCCCTGTGAAATTATGGAAGTCTTTGGTCGACAAGGGACCGGCATAGGCTTGTTGACCGGCATAGGTTTGTTGCGACCTGTCTTCGAAGGAAAGCAGGGTGGCTTCATACATCGATTCAGCCCTCGTGGTTGCCGAAAGACGTAGCACTCTTGATAAGTCCTCCACGACTTCAAACCTAAATGTATCGGAAGAGAATATCGGAACCGAGAACCATGACCAAGAAGGTACCGCTTCAATGATTGCTTCCACCTCTATCATCGTGCTCTTATCCCATGGAATAACCAAACTCCAGGTAAAGGAGAATGGGAACATTTGCGCCCAGCAGCCAGCCAGATAAGTCATTCCACTGCTATCATGAACAGCTTGTGCAACTCCAGCGAAAGCCATAATACGGTCTTTAGGCTGCGTCAACACGCCTGTGCGATAATGACGGACAAGCCTCCCCCAATTTTGCACGAATTCTACCTGCACAGGCATACTCGTTACTGGGAGCCTGGTTGATCTGACAACAGAGAAATGTGTTTTTGAGGCTGTGGCTTCGGGAAACCTTTCGATCGGACCCAGAAGCTCATCACAAAGTGATTCCGAGCACTCCCACATGAGGTTTCGATGGCCTGCAAACAATATGCGAGGACTAAGTAGATACTCTTGGCATACCCAAGCTCGTGTAAATAGTGGCCAGTCCTTTGGTGAGAGCCAATCGATACCGAATGGTGCCCTATCATGACCACCGCCCCTAGGCGGATATTCATCTATTGTAGTACAAACATACACACCTCTCGATGCAACACTGGAACGACGAAGCATGCAAGGTGTCCAGACCAGTGGGTCTTGTCGTGGTTTGGTGAGCACGTCTTGTGGGGGCAGAAGATAAGCGATGGTGCAGTCCGCAAGCCCGTAAACATGAGCCATCTTACCAGCTTCGTTTTCCCAGTCGCTTGCCGAGTCTTGAATGATACAAAGACTAAGCCAAGCGGCCAAGTGGTCAGCACATTCGTCAGAAAGTAAAATGCTATAGAAAACTTACGAGTCGATCCAGATATGATTGTAGCCAACCTGCCGAGCTATTCTAATTGCCTCTTTGAAGATGAAAGGGAGCTCCTTCCAGGGTATGTCCTCCTGAAACTCATCAAGACGGGACAAGACTAGTCGCAGCTGCTGTTTGGGATCAATACCCCACATATGGCTCAACGCAAGGTACTTGCAATCGCTCGATTCAGACCAATTGCAAATAAGCTTCACTCTATCCCCGTTGATTGCAAGAATCCTACTGGGTCTTGTTGCAGGTGATAGTGTTTCGTTATTGGGTGCCCGACATGCGCCATGGGTTTTCAAGCAACTCTCGAGCCATCCTCGCACGCGTTCAGTGTTATCATTCGACCAGATTGGAACATGAGCTGCCCTCGCCATCGCATCTGCATAATTTCCGGCTTCATTGTCTAAGCAAGAGTCAATTGCTTGCTCGCTCACTTTCGTGATCCCACATACCTGCGAGCAGACGTAGACTGAATCGCCCCACATACGCCTGGCTTGGATATAGCGACGCTTCGAGGGGTATCGTACCGTCTTCGAGGAGAATCGTACCGTCTTTGAGGTAAATCGTACCGTCTTCCCGTTGCCGAGGCAGAATTTCGAGATACATCCAGTTGTTGTAGAGATTCCCGGGCGTCCAAACTGATGTGTCATGTGCAACAAAGAAGTAGAGGATTGTGCAGAGATGACAGTGTCCATTCAATCGTTTTAAATGAGCTACAGTACAGAGTTGGTAACGTTCTCGTGGGGCCCAGTCTGAACGAGGGTCATGATCATCAAGCCAGTTCAGCACTACTGAACGTTGAGTGAACAATGTGCAGGCTTTGCATAGTTCGTGCAGTCTAACGTTGCCTTCTGGACATATGCTGGGAGCTGAGGAGCGCCCTACGTCACGTAACAATCGCTTGGTGGTGCATGCCTCGAGCGCGTTGGTAGCAGAAGCAAGGCCGAGATAAACAGGCTTTCGAATAACGTCTTCGGTGGAACGGAGGGTGTTGGAAGTGTAGTTTTTGAGTGTGCGGAATAACCTTTGGGTCTTGGTTGGGAGAGTTATCGATACGTCTGAAGTGTCAAGCAATACGTCTGAAGTGTCATCCAATACGTCTGAAGTGTCGTCCGACATGGCAATGTGGGAAAAGGAGGTTTGAATCAGCCAGAGTAAGTAAAGAAGCGGTCCCAATGGTCATGGAAGGCTACACAGTAATGCTTAGACAACCACGCGGGGTTGCAATTCAGCCGCATCCTACAAGTATGCCTTCCCACCTATCAATACCTAGGTAGCCTCATGACAATGCGACCCAACAGAGGGAAGTCGCTAAGATAGATGCTGAAACGACCTTTGGCGGATCCATTCGCTGGTAATTCTCTTATGACCGAGTGGATGATCTCCTCGGCTTGCGCAGGCAGTCAGTCGATTCTCGGAAAGTCTTTGGGTGTATTTATTGCGCTTTACCTTCGTAATGGAGGGACGAAGATGGAGATGATCCGTGCCCTTGCAGCAGAGACCCCCGAACTTCCCCGCATAAACACACTTTTCCTCGACCAGTACTTGCGCCGCCGACCTACTTCCAATAACAGACTTTCGCGTAAAGACCACGCAGTCTATAAATAACGACAACATGTCCGACGAAGATCTCGAGCAAATCAGACGCGCGCGCCTGCAGCAGCTACAGCAACAAGGTGGGGGCGGCGGAGGACAAGGCGGCGAGGGCTCAGAGCAAGATTCGCGAAAGTAAATATACCAAAGCAAGAAGTTTGAACTTGTTTACTAAGAAATTCCCGCAGGCAACAAGAGGGTATGTCTTCAGAAGTAACCCCCAGGCGCATACTCCTTTCTCTACATACCCCTCCAACCCCCACCACCAGCTACTAACCCTACATACCAGCCGACCAACGCTCCTCCATCCTCTCGCAAATCCTCCTCCCCGAAGCAGCCGACCGCCTAGGCCGCATCCGCCTCGTCAAAGAATCGCGCGCAACCGACATCGAAAACCGCCTCATAATGCTTGCCCGAACCGGCCAATTACGACAAAAGGTGACGGAAGAGCAGCTCAAGGAGATTCTGGGAGCGGTAGCAGAGCAGCAGGAGAAGGACGAGCAGAAGATTGTCGTCAACAGGAGAGGAGGAAACTGGGACGATGACGATGAGTTGGAAGAACTCATGAAGGATGTTTGAAAAAAGGTTGGAAGGAGGTGAAGGGATATGGGTGGTTACATGTTGCATTGGATGGCGTTCTGGGAGTGTTACATGATGAGGTTCGTGATCGTGCAACTACAGATTGGAAGTATATGGTGCTGGCATTAGTTCCCAAAATCGGAATTAGGGTTCCAGACGTGAGATACGAGTGCTTGCTCTGGGCCTTCGACCTTATTCTTCTGGGGCTGCACGACCCATTATTATGTCTTCTTGATCTGCTTCCTTATCCTTCCTATCTCGATCTCCTGCGTCCGTAGGTCCCTCAAGATAGTAACAAGTTGCGGGATTGGGCCCTCAACGGCGCTTACAAATGTCGATTGCGCAGTGCGTAGAGCAGGTGGAACAAGGATACCAAACCATCTTAGTGGGTCCGTGGGCTTTTCTGTAGAATTGGTCTCCTCTTTTGTTTTCTCTGAGTTTTGAGAAGATTGTGAGTTTGGGTCCGGAGTGGATTTGGGGTCATCTTGCTTGGGCTTGGGCAGGTCGGATCCTTGAGCTTCGTTTGCCTGCTCTGTTGAGTTTGGAGTATTGTCGGGATCAGAGTGCTGGGTATTGGTGAATGGTGAGTAGACGGAGAAGTAGGGTTGATCACTTTTGGCGCTTCCATGTTCTGCGATGTGGCTGGATTGTGTTAATACAGTATCTAGGATATGTGTAATTTGTGGCGTGAAGGTAATACAACCCTCGGAAAAGAAGACTCTGAATAGAAAATAGTACTCACACCTTCCGTAAAGCCTGCATACGTTCGTCATAGCAGTCCTGTCCATACCGGATGGCAGAAGATGAATTGTGGAAGTTTGCCTGAGCTAGCGACATGTAACCCTTTGTTTATCAATACAAAAATTTCCATAAAACAAAATGGAGGAACGCTCACCGAAGACAGCTCCTTGGAGAGCTGCTGCATGGCCTCTTGATATTCATGCAGCGTATGCAGATAGTGCTCAAGCTTCGCATCCAAAAGATCAAGCAAACCATCTTTGTCCCGCCTCGAAGCAATTTCCGCTCGATTCGTCGGTAATTCCTGTACATCCGCCATGATTCCAAAGCCCCGCAGACGTCGAGGTGGTAAGGTAGTGGTGTAAAGGCAGTTGTTCAATAAGAGTCCGACACCACCCCAGAGCATCTCGTGCTAAGAAGCGGGGACTATACCGCATCGAGGTCTAGCAACTCGAAGCTCAGATATCCGAACATACAACTAAAACGATTCCCGACTCCCGCAGGGCAGAGGGACAAGACGCCAACGCCGTCCTCGAGCCCGCCCAACATGTCGAAACCAAATCCATTCATGAACCTCTTCCGGCGATACTACTCACAACCCACGTCGTCGTTCCTGCGCACCACGCCCGCCCGCCGCTGCCCATCATCACCCACCACCCGTCCACAATGCCTGCGCACACGCATCCTCTTCCCCAGCGGGCCGCCAAAACGCAGCGTAGGCGGCGGTCCCGGCCTAGACCCGAATTTCGTCTCCATCCTCGACCGGCCGGCAAAGATGGCGCGCGTAGGCAAACAGCACGGCCCGGGCCTCATCATCCTCGCCATCATCCCCATCACAGCCTTCATACTAGGGTGCTGGCAGGTGCAGCGTCTCGGCTGGAAAACCGAACTCGTTGCGCGCTTCGAGGATAGATTGACGTTTCCGCCCTTGGAACTCCCGCTGCGCATCGATCCGGCTGCGGTTCAGGATTTTGATTATCGCCGCGTCTATGCGAGAGGAGTGTTGAGACATGATCAGGAGATGTTGATTGGACCGCGCATGTTGGATGGCGAGGAGGGGTACACGGTTGTTACGCCGCTGGAACGGCGGGATGCGAGGGGCAATGTGCACAAGATATTGGCGTGTAGGGGGTGGATTAAGAAGGAGGCTGCGCCGCAGTGGTTTCGCAAGAAGAATGGGGCGCTGCCTGAGGGCGAGGTCACAATTGAGGGGCTGTTGAGGATACCGCCCAAGGGAAACATGTTTACGCCGAAGAATGAGCCGGAGAAGGGGAAGTGGTTTTTCCCTAGTGTCGAGGAGATGGCGCAGTATAGTGGGAGTCAGGCTGTATGGGTTGAGGAGACGATGAGTAAGTACTCTTTCCTGTTTGATTGATGCAATTGGGGGTATCTAACTATAACACAGCGCCTGATTTGCTCACTAATTATGAACGTGAACCCAAGGGCGTACCGATTGGTAGGGCGCCCACCGTGAACCTACGGAACAACCACACGCAGTACATCTTCACATGGTAAGTGTCGCCGTCTCGCTCTCTCCTTGCAAGCAATCACCTGACTCCGCCTAGGTACGCGCTCAGTTTCGCAACCTCGGTCATGTTCTGGATGGTTGTCAAGAAGCCAATGTCGGGGACCCAACGGCGGGTACGACACAGTGTCGATTGGTCATGAGACATTGTCATGCCTCTTCAGTCGTCATCTTCAACTTCCTCACGGATAGGATTCAGGCGTTTCCGTTTTTGTCCCTTCAGCTTCACTGGAGGCTCCATACGCAGCTGCTGAAGTAGCTCTCTGGGAAGCATCTTCTGCGCCAGAGAAAAAGATGTACTATTATTGGTGGTCTTACGGGTCCTGTCTAAAAGTCAGCGGACCGACCAAACATGCATGTTATGGATCTGCATGTTATGTATAGAAGTGTAGTGTAACATACCTCTTCATGAGCGCGATGACGTCGCTTTCTTCAATCATCTTTCGCCCACCATGCTGCGCATACGCTGCGAGATCCATGCTGATCTGCGCAAAGAAGTCGTTGGTTGTGTGCACAAGCGCGTCAAGTGTCTCCTTGTTAAGCTGAGTCTTGCCTCCCTGCGACTTCATGAAGCTCAAAGCGAGCTTCTTGACAGGCGCGGCTGGAAACGAGGGGAAGCCGATGCCGTGCTCAGAAACCATGTATTCCTTGGGTTTGCGAACACCCTTCAGCTCAACAGCAGACGCTCGCTCGGGTGACTTGGTCTGCAGACTTCGATCGATGGCTGATGCTTCTTCTCGATAGGCGGCTAGTTCGGCGTCGTCATCTGCAGGCGGATCTGATTCCCAGCCTAGCATGCCATTGGTTTCTGTCGGATCTTCGCCGTTCAGAGCAGCGGTGACCTCGTCCTGGTCGTCGCCGCTGAGTGAGTCGTAGTCATCCGGCAGCCCCAGAGGTTCTCCATCTAATTCTTGCTCGTCCTCGTCCTGCTCATCCTGTATTGTATGTGCGCCTTCTTGAGCTGGTACGCGCATACGCTCAGGAATCATGAAGCGGAAAGTAGGCTCTTCTGTGTCATCCTCTCCGTCGCCAAACACGCCCAAATTTACGTCGCTTCCCCGTCCGTCTCTTCGACCGGTCAATGCTTGTATTGTTGTTTCGTCTCCGTCCAGGGCGTCGTCGATGGCGGGGTCGAAGAGCCCATCTGCACGTCTGTTGATGAAGGTACCGTCGACCTCGAACTCCTCTTCCACCGCCCCTAGTTCGCTCAGATCCCCAAACCGCTCGCTCTGCCTTCCCCCAAACATGAACCGTGGATCCTCGCTGATTGCTCGTCTTCCAAACTCGAGCGATTGTACAGTCCCGCCATCCACATCGTCCGGTAGGTCAGGTAGTAGAGACTGCCGCGGCGGGGCACTGTGGAAACTATCGTCGTCGTCATACATGTTCTCGAGGGGCATGGAAAGCCGGGGCGCGGGCATGTTTGGGCCATCCTCAACGTCTGGAAGATCGAGGGCTGAATGGCGTGTCCGCTGAGGCAGGGCCTGTGGAGAGGGTTCGACTGGACGAGTATCACGAGCAAGCGCTGCATGAACAGTTAGCGATAGCAGATATAGCATCATCAAGAACAATACCTCTGCTAAGATCGCGCAGTATATCCCGCGGCGTCTCCCGTTGTATGCGCCCGCTTCGTCTGCGGTTGTTCCCTGGTGTCCTGGCCGCATTGGCTCGCTCTCTCAGCGCTCTTATCGCATGAGGGGTAGTTGGCGCAATCCTTCGCGACGGCAGAGGACGGGTTGCTGGACCGCCCCGAGGAGTCACGCCCGTTCCTGGTGTGCGAGCAATTGGCGTCCTTCTGCTTCCTGGAGTGGGGCCCGAACTTATGGCGCGGCGGAACGGCGTTGTGGGTTGGAGAGACGCATTGCTGGTGGGTGTTTGCTGCAAGTCATGCTCTGGGGGGAGACGCTGCCTTTTGCGCGCAGACTCGGCCATTACGAGATACACATCCGAAGAGCGCAGTGGATGTGTTGATAGACGTCAGGGAAACGCGTCGCTGGACGCGAACTTCCCCAGCATGCAGCCAGACTAACGCGAATCAGCTAAGCTAGCGCTTATCGATAACCTCCAACTTTCTGCTACTTTTTTTGTCGCGAACTCATGTGGCCCTTTCTCCTTCACACAAAACACTAGTCACACCATGTCGGACTCTGATTCAGAAGGAGGCGTGCCCCTGATTGAGGCTCAGTTTGACGTTGACGCTTCGTCGAAGAAAAGGAAAAGAGAAGCCGAGCCTGAAGCAAGCAAGGACAGCAAGAAGGCAGCCAAGAAGGCGAAGCGGAAAGAGAAGAAGAAGCAGAAGGCGAAGGAGATTGACGAAGATGATTTGGATCAGACGTTGGGGGTCAATCACTCTTTTGAGCGCATGGATGGTCAGCTTCTTGCCGACTATGTCAACGCGCGAACACGACTTTACGGCAAGGAGTTGAGCAGTGTGGAGCTCGAAGACAAATTCATATCTGGTAAGCCTGAGCTTGTCCTAGACGTGTTGCAAATGCTGACGTCAAATAGCTCGGACCGTGCAAGATGGTACCAGCTGGACCGAGCCACGAACTACGGACAATCTATCTGCTTTTCTCAACAAGCAGTCAAGTACATTGGAGCCGACACCAACCAAGCCACCCGGAGCTCCGCACACGCTCGTGGTCACCGTTTCTGGGATCCGAGCCGCAGATGTGTGCCGATCCCTCAAGTCTGGTCTGCCTAAACAGGGTATCAAGAACCCCAACGTCGCCAAATTGTTTGCGAAGCATCTAAAGCTTCCAGATCAGGTAGCGCATTTGAAGAAAACCAAGTGAGTTGTGCGCCTTGGGTCCTGCTTGTTAATGCTGATTGCGATGCAGAATCGATT